TCATCGAACATCACTTTCATGCCAAGAATGAAGTTCGTCATGAAAGCGACTTGGGATGCGGCAAGAGTCCACCACCCAAAGACATTGATCCACGCGCAAATGTAGGAGGCAAATCGACCCAAGGGAGTGCTCCATAAGCGATAGATCCAATAAGCCTGGCCCAAAGCTGTTGGCATGCTGCTGCAAATTTCTCCTAGAGAAATTGCCACACAAGTGTTGCAGAATGTCACCAAGGCAAGGCCCCAGAGGATGGAGACAGGGCCGCCATTGATGAGGCCGTCAGAAAGATCTTGTGCGAAGGTTGACCAAGTTCCCAGAACGCAGAATGCGAGGGCTAGCATGCTCCAGAGGTTGAACTTTCGTTCGAGAGTCTGGCCATGGCCGAATTCTGCAAGATCTTGTGCATCTTGGATTTGTTGCTCAGTCGGTTTCCAGGTTTCGGAATCCACGTCCATAACTAGGTCGAATTTAACGATGTGAAGCGTCTCAAAGAAGATAGATGGGGGTCATTTCCGTATGTCGATATAGGGCGTGATCGGGTATTCTCGTCGAAAGTTTGGATCCAACAAGAATGTGCGGTCTGAACGTTCACGATCGAGATTGCCGGAGAAGGATATATGATAATAGACGGCGGGGATATTCTACCCCATTCCCCAACGACCCGGGGGTTTCTCGTTATTTTTTCCTGGGGAACCCCACGGGTCTCGGGTTGTGTGGCCCTACCCCTCGAAGCTGGCCCTGACTTCACCGAGAGTGGCCCACTTGGCGCTGCGAGAACCTGGTTACGTCTTGGAGATTCGGCGAAACAGGCATCGGCATTTCTTCTGCACATCCACGACAAATATCTCCACCAAAGCTCTGCGCAGGCTGGATCTTCCTAGAGGGGAAGGTAGATGCGGGTACCTGGCGGTGCATATTCTTGAATGAAATCATCCAAGATGACGATCTCCGGCATCGATGGATCTCGTCGCGAAGGCCGGGTTCCCCGTGGAGAAACCCCATGGAGCGCGAATGGCTGTTTCTCCCGAATCTTTGACACACCGGCACATCCACGGTTCAATTCGCGGTTTCCGATGTGGCGAGTCCCACACAATATTCCATCTTCACGGTAGTTGCAGGCGAAAAGAAAGTTTGCGCTTCGGCTCGGGAGGCTCAGATGCGTTTTGACCTACCCGATTCAATTTAGCCTGGAATATCAAGGTACCCCAGTGTAGGATATGACACAAAACATATGCCTAATCTGTATGTCAACGGTGGGCCGTTTTGGCGACCGATAGCGCTTGCTTGTACCTACCAAAAAGGGGTTGAGGCAAAAAAGGTTGCTGATGTCTCCACTCTGGGGGGAGGAAGCTCAACACGGACCAACCGGGGATATAACGTGACGGGGGAAAGGAGAGAAGAGGTCAAGTCAAATCAACTCCAAAATATTTGATGATTGCGAGGGAATTTGAGGGCCAAATATAATTCTTGTCCATTGCAGCTGATCCGGGACGCATTCCCTAAGAAGGACTAGAGCGCGTTATTTGTTCTACATTTGAGAAGATTGATTCACCAATCAGCGCCCGTGCAACTCGTGGTGCTATACTCGCAAAGAAACCTATATGAACAGCATGAGTGATCGAACCTTCGGTCGCACCAGAATTCCGTTCATTCCTTTCCCTGCATCTTCCAACGATGGCGTCCTCAGATAATAAGAGAAAAGACACGGCCAGCTCCCGCCACCGCTCTCACAGAGGTTGTTGGACCTGCAAAAAGAAACGCATTCAGTGCGACGAAGCTCGACCCGGTTGTCAAAAATGTATTACACGAGGACTCGCATGCGAAGGTTATGAAATTCGACTTCGTTGGGGTGCCGGCATCGCTTCCCGGGGTCGGTACAACGGCGCTGAGAAGCCCGTCAAGGAGTTCATTCCGCCCCCTTCGAAACGGCGATGGGATCTCCGCAGCAAAGGGGAGAAAGGAGAGGATGGTGATCGCCAAGGGCAGCCTCATCTTTTACTTGAATCTAGCTTCAGTCCAGGTAAACACATTTTTTCAAGCCATTGCCAAGCTAAGCTAGGATCTACATGACTAACATTTGGCATAGAACTTGAACCCATCTCACAGTCTGTTAGCCCACCTGCGACAGTAAACATATTAAATGAGCCTTATGGACAAGACCTCAAAGACTATATGGACATCACTAAGCACTTTGAGCTACCGGCGTCGACAAGAGAGAGCCTGAGATTTGAACGAGATAATGTGGCTTTGTTTGATGAAGATCAACGGCTAGATGCAAATCATTATCCAGACACTGCTTTGTCCGGGAGACCGGTAATGATTGCTTAAAATTCAAGTTGTTATATCTCACGCCAATTCAAGAAATTTGTGATTCTGAACCCCTAGTTTTCGGTCCTTTGCTTAGACTCTGTAGAGCAACATTCTGTTTTGTCGGTCTGTCAGATCGGAAAAGGCATTGGCTAGATCGCTCGCTTCATCCATATTCCCAGCAGATTCGTTCTCACGGATCCTGGCTGCGTTATCTCTGTTGTAAACGATATATAGTATCGAGAAAAGGATCATGTTGACGATAAAAGCAGCCAGGGTCACAAAAACACCAGTGGTATACTTGGGTGCTTCAGATGAGAGAAAGGTCTGTGGCGAAATGATATTTGCCACGCAGTATGCGGAAAAGAACAAAGTTCCTGTAACAGTTTTCTTGGTATATCCTGCAATGTTGGAGGCCAAGACAGTATACATCAGGCCTCCCGCCGCAGCAACCATTGGGATCAAATATATGGCGGCTAGATGAGCCCCCAGTGTGGAAGAATTCACGGGAATTCCGTAGAGCAGTCCACATGCGATGATACCTGGGATGTAGCAGCATGCCATGGTCAAAATCAGTTTACCCTGGCCATATTTGGATGAGAGGAAGAAGCCGATGACAATGATCGACAGCGCCATGACGGCACCGACTGGAATTTGCAACAGAACAGCTTGGTATGTGGAGTATCCAAATCCTTTGATAATAATTCCGGTGAAATTTGTCTGCAAGCTGTTTGTCATATTGTGACAGAAGACAGCGAGCAGTAGCATCCACACGCGATAGTCGGTGAGTGCCTCAATAACCTGGTCTTTCTTATGCTCGCTATTCTTGACACCGGTCCTGTTGTCCTTGAGGCGTTGCACCGCAATGATTCGTTCACGTTCGCTGAGCCATGTGCAATTGATGGGGCTATCAGGAAGCAGCCACCAAAGACCGGCACCGACTAGTACGGTCAGTGCGCCAAATATAATGAACATCCACTGGTAGGGGAACATGTTATCGACCTATGATTTGGATTAATATATTGATCTACAGTGAGGAAAATGAGTCAGACTTACATCGATGTGTGCAATGCCCCAGAAAAGAACACCCGCTGGAATTGAGGCAAGCCCATTTGCACTATACCAAAGACCGATACGGGAAGCCTGTTCTTCACGCTTCCACCAAGAGGAGGAGATCAAAACAAAACCGGGATTCAAGCATGACTCGAAAACACCTAAGAAAAATCGAGCTGCTGCTAGCGAGGAGAAGTTCGTAGCGCTACCAGTAGCTGCGAGAACGACACCTTTGGATGATTCATCAGAATAAAGTCCACACTTGCTATTATTTGTGAGCACATACCCCACAGTATAAAGTTGATGGTCAAGTATTTTCCAGTCGGGAACCTTTGCATGAGGTAGTTGGTCGGGTATTGGGCAACCTATATACCGATGGGTCAGAAATATTACATTTGACAAATCAAACGAAATGCGAAGCGGGAAATTCCAACTCTTTTTGACACTTACAAGATAGCCGATATAGAAAATGGTTATGAGAAGACTATATTCCTGTCCCACCAAATGTGCCTCAGTGATGATGCCATATGTTGCCGCGTAGCTGATCGTCTGATCGTAGGTTAGCCTCAGGGATTCGTGATGATTGGCACCATATACTCACAAGCTTGTCAACGAATTGGATTCCATTGACCAACAACATGATAGTCACCAAACGCAAGTCTATCTTCCATCTCAATTTCCTTTCTTCCTCGGGAGTATACTCCACGAATTGAGTCTGGAGAATTTCCAAAGCCTCATCGCCCCCCTGGAGCTTTTCTGCGAGAAATACGGGCTGAGGAGCCGGCACATTCTCCATCTCAAGGGCTTCTGGGCCATCCTTGCGCGGATGAGTAGACATGGCTTGATTCGGAGCCCAAGGGTAGATCTTAATTGCTAGGGTTCAAGTTGTGTGGAGAATGTCAAGAATCTGGGGAATCCCCCAGTACTCAGAGAAACTGCCGTGCATTTAACTGCCGGGTCAAAAAGAGGGGCTTTTCCTGTGAACTGCACAAAGTAATTCATGCCCCATTCTGCTAGCATCTCCATAGCGGCATACCGATTAACCGCCGTATATGCAAGCCACAGGTTATTAGAAAAAACTCAATCTGACTAGCATAGCTCGCTAATCACCCCCTGATCGTTGGCTTCCCCGCCTTTTGGGCTGGGGCCAAATCCGAAATTTACCCGATGTGCAGTTATCCGGGGCCCCGGAACCCAGTCTAGATCCATTTTGGAGACGCTAGATCCCTTTGGTCTAGCTTCCTTCTTGCACCGGTAGTACATTCGGCTTTTTGCTCGCTAAGAAGCTCTGAACTAGCACGAATTTAAGCTAATATGGCAAAGGGATCACCCTCGAATATTCACGTATTTCGCAGTGATCAGATATTTTGACCTTCACGAGGTGGACAATTATGGATGAAAAGAGCAGAAGACGAAAGAGTGAAGGGGTTTATAGTGGAGCAATTTTCCACGTCTTCAAATGTTGTAGATTTGGAACAGCAAAGCAGGATCACTTCTCAGAAGAAAGCTTAGCCCGCGGCTAAGCTATCTTCTCCCCACTCAACGACCCCGCAGCCCGGTTGATCCGACAGCTTATAACTTCTCCATCAACTACCCTGCCATCACGGTACTTTTTCAGGCAATCGAAATTGTGCGCTACGATGGCAGAACATGGCAAGATCTCTCTCGATGCGCCATCTCTTGGCTCGGAATTGGTAGGAACTTTGGATGGTGAACACAACATTGCACTATTTCGAGGAATCCCCTATGCAACTTTGAACAAACGATGGACGCACAGCGAGACGAGAAACAAACTCGAAAGTCCCTTCGATGCCACTCGGCTCGGATACCGCTGCAGCCAGCTTAGTGGAATGGTTCTTGTCTCGGGAGGAACAAACGATCCCCTCCCTGGCGATGACGAATTCAAATGTCTCAACCTCAACATTGCTGTTCCCAAAGAGTCGCTAGGCGCCCAAGGACCAAAGTCCCTCCCAGTAATGGTATGGATTCACGGGTAAGTTTTTCCCAACTTGTTTTCGTCTTGAAGACCATCTAATAGGGTTCCTCTTGAAGAGGTGGTTTCGCCTTCGGCGCAAATTCAGTCTCCCGCTATCGCCCTCAAGCACTTGTTGCACACGCGCGCAATAACAATACACCCATCATCCTAGTTTCAATAAACTATCGCCTAGGCGCGCTGGGCTTCTCAGCTTCCCAAGACCTTGCCGAAGAGGTCAACGGCGGGAGCAAGGCTCACCCTGTTGGAAACTACGGACTTATTGACCAACGCAACGCCCTCGAATGGATAAATCATCATATCCAAGATTTCGGCGGCGATCCGGCGAATATTACAGTCTTTGGCGTGAGCGCAGGGAGCGTCAGTATCCACTTGCACCTACTTGCCGAGCACGCGCTGTTTGATAGAGCTATCATGATGTCCGGCGCTGCGCCCATATTGAGCCCCCTTCCCATGGAGTGGTATCAAAATGAGTGGAGCACCCTTTGCCGAAATGCAGGCATTGACGCATCGTCGTCCCAGGAGCGGCTAGCGCAACTTCGCCAGCTAGATGTGTCTGAAATTCTCAAGCTTTCAAGCCCAGGTGTCATGGGGCCGGTCGCGGATGGCAAGCTCTTAAAGGAAAATTGGAAATACGATAACAACGCGCCGAATACGCGTTGCAAAGAATTCATCACTGGAGATACAAACATCGAGGCGATTATCTTTGACGGCTTGATTAAACGTCTTTCACAAGAGCGCTTCCACCAATTGGTGGGAGACTCGTTCTCCTCGCAGGTTGCTGGGGAGCTTTATTCCAAATTTGGATTTAGTCGTGATGCCCAATCGGAAGAAGACTTCCGTAAAGCTTTCAGACTACTTGTTGGGAATACACTATTCAACTACTCCCACGTCGGCATCGCCAAGTCCTCCCTAAATTCGGAGGCTTGGAGAGACAAGGTTTATCTTTACCATTTCGAGGAACCTTCTCCCTTCCCAGGGCCAACCTGTGGTCTTTCATATCACGGCCTGTGTGCAATGCTTCTGCATATGAACGAGTTGGATATTTGCCCACCTGCCACGCAGAATGTCTCAAGAGAAGCTGCTAGAATCTGGACAGCTTTTGCGCATGGTAAGCAGCCTTGGGAGCCCTATTCCCAGGGCCAAAAATTCATGCGCTTTGGTCCTAAAGGGGAATCAACTCTTGAAAGCTTTGAAAGTGATGACATCAGAGAGTATGGGTTTCAAGAATGGCTTGGCGTCCATATAGATGAAGTTGGCCTGTTTGTAAGAAAACTAGTGTTGGATTTGGAAAACAACAATATCTAAATAGAATTCGACCGGTCTAGTCATACCGCATAATCTTGAAATTCCCCATATCTATTTACGTGTTGTAAGAGATTAGTCAACTGATGGGCCGATATTAAACTAGAAATGTGAAACAGAAAGCGGTCTCCAGGACTACTGCGTGGTGTCGCCGAAGTGAGACTTAGCGAAAAAGAACTTGAAATGGACCTTGGATGATATGCGGTGAATGTGTTTACCCGCTGTATAATTTACACTTCCTTGCCTTCGCCACATTCTACCCGTAGACGCATCGACGAGAATCTGGTGCAAAAAGGACTCGGATTGTAGCCTTGTGTTTGATGCTTTATTCGAGGGATTTTCAGTGACAATCTGCTCTGATCTTTTTTGGGTACATTTGTTGTGCTCGCTTATTCAAGACAGTCCGAATCCACTTTCTGTGTGATCTATGATCTTCATTATAGTGCGGTGGGCTAAGTGGCTTTGCGATCTATCACTTCCAGGCACCATTCTTGACCGACCGCTGATTGGAGCCAGCATGATGTTTGATGTCCAAATGTGGGGACCCGTCACGGCTAAATTGTTTATTTGACCTTCAGCTGATATTTTATTTCCTCGGTTTGACAGCTCTGCAACCACTACCAGAAATTTGAAAATCATGGCAGATATGACTTTGGAGCAAGTGGAAATGGGTTGTTCTACGCAGAATGTGCAGCTTCAAGCAAAAGGACGTCCCTTAACGGCTCTGCCTTGGGGATATCGACAGGCGCCCAGCTCCAGGAGTCGCTTTTTCGCAAAGCTACCAGCGGAAATCCGGACTCGGATTTACCGACAAGCTTTTGGCGATCGAGTCTTCCACATCAACTTACATATCTGTGTTGCCGACTGTTGGAGAATCAGAGGTAGATCGCGGGATTCAGCAAACACCCAGATCAAAGAGATACCATCGAACAGGGCGAGCTGCGATGACAGATATTGGTGGGGAAGTGCTTGCAATCACTCAAATTTAGGTTCAAAGAGTAACTTGTGTACCGATATTCATGGTGCCCATTTTATTATCGATCAAGCTACGCCGTCCAGGATGACGTCAATTGGCGTTATGGGTTGGCTACTCAGCTGTCGACAAGCGTATGTGACCCCAATAGAAGACTCGTACGCCTATCGTTTACTGACTTCAAGTTTGTATCGCAGTTACATCGAAGCGGCCGAGATTCTTTATTCGAACACGTTCCATTTCGCAGGAAATGCGCCTCTCCGCGACTTTACTCAGCGAGTTCCTCCACACAGCCTTGCCTGCATGAAAGGATTAATCCTTAATCCAGTGGGAATCGAGCCCGATGGTCAACACGGTGTTGGTAACATATCGAATCATGCTTCTAGTATTGGGGAGCTTGAGCGGGTTGCCTCAATCCTTGGATCGGGCTCATTTCAAAACCTACAAGAGTTGGATGTGAAAATCATTGATTTATTGGGGCAAGAGTCTGTCTTCACCGAAGACACAGATAAACAGACACGACGAACACTTGCAGTCTTTGATAAGCTCCTACCTAGAATGAGTCTGCGATTTCGACGACTTCAAATTTACCTGGAGGATGTATTATACGAGGCTGCTAGAAAGATGACCGAAATCAGCGATAAGAATTTGCTTAAGGAGGGAACGAAATGCAAAACACCCGAGTTACATGGCAAGCGCGGATTCTGGCGATCAGTTCTAGATACGCATCATCTATCTTCGGGATATTGGGTGGCACAAGACAATTGGCAGCGCCAGTGTATGGGCCGTGTCAGTCGGGCTTCATCTGGCTCGGTTTCTCAGGGGTTAAGAAGGCTTGTTAAATTTTGATTTTGCTATTTCATGTTGAGGGACGACCAATCAATGTATTCATATGGTAGGCGTCTGGATTTTTGGATTATGTATGTTCCTTCTGGCGATAAATTGGGCTCATGGGTAAGTTGTCGCATCACGGTTGAATAGAGAATCTTCATTTGACTAGGTCGTTACTCGGGTTATATTAACAAACTTAAAGAACACTCTTGCATTCATTTCCGAATGAGTAGTTTCTTAAGGTTGAAATAGACTTTGGTTCAAGTCTATTACTAACTTTAGTCTTGAAAATTCTCAATCATGTTTAATACTAGTAGTTCAGTTCCAAGGTTACCTCGCGGGTACTCCCACACCCACACTTGGTATACATTTCAAGTTGACGAAATCCAATGATATCCAAAGTCTCAGGAAAGGTGTTGGGGTATCAAGAAGCCATAAACGAAGGAAGGCTACAAGTATCCGTACTCGTATAAATCCACCCTCAGTTAACCTCCGCTGTACTCCGTAATCTCCGACCCGACCCCGGCCTCTCATTCGTAGTTCAGCCCCAGCACCTCCTAACCAAATTAGGAAAAATCGGACGTGTTCGTTGTCTTCCGCCGAGCCTTATGAAAGCCCAAAATTCCAGTCGCGATTGAAATGGAAAAGGGGGTCTAACGGTCGCATCGTTTGGAAACTCAGCCAGCACGTTGTTTCTTTTTCCCACGCCACCACCACCGATATCTAGTTTCTAGCAGGCTAGTTCCAACTCATGAACTAGCCAGAAACAAACTTGAACTAGACATCGTAAACCACCGTTACCACCGCCGGCGCCAGATACTACCTGGTCATGGCGCGTGTCGATACCTCGGGAGCAGAACACCCAACGAGTACAAAGGCATCGCCAGCAATGAATACTCGCCAACGCAAGCTAGATAAGCAAACCAATGGCATCGCCAATGGAAGCACCAATGCGAACGGCCATGCCAACAACAGCCATGCGATCACCAAATCAAAACGCAAACGCTCCCTCCTCCGCCGCCTCAAACGCCGCGCAATAAAACACACCTGGTCAATCCCCCTCGCCCTCCTAATAACCCTCCTCTCCCTCTACGCCCTAAACCCCACCGAATCCAACATCCTCCACAACTTCATCTTCCTCGCCTACGCCCAAGAACCCTCGCCCACCTCCGGCCCCGCCGCCGCAACCCAATACGGCAAAGGACCATGGGACATCGCCTTCGTATCCTTCTACGCCCTCGTCCTAACATTCACCCGCGAATTCACCATGCAAGAGATCCTCCGCCCCTTCGCGCGCTCACGCTACGCAGGCATAAAATCCCGCGCCAAGCAGCTCCGCTGCATGGAGCAGATGTACACCGCGCTGTACTTTGGCATCACGGGCCCGGCAGGATTATACGTGATGCGACAAACGCCCGTGTGGTATTTTCGAACCGCGGGGATGTATGAGGGCTTTCCGCATCGCACGCATGGCGCTGCGTTTAAGTTTTATTATCTTTTTGAGGCGGCGTATTGGGCGCAGCAGGCGCTTGTTATGCTTCTTGGTCTTGAGAAGAGGAGGAAGGACTTTAAGGAACTGGTTGCGCATCATGTTGTTACTTTGGCGCTGATCGGGTTGAGTTATCGGTTTCATTTTACGTACATTGGGGTTGCGGTTTATATTACGCATGATATAAGTGATTTTTTTCTGGCGGTGAGTTTCCAATGATGTATTGATTAGGGGCTTGAGTTTTTGGGCAAGTTGCTGACTCGGATGGGTTCTAGGTTTCGAAAACGTTTCATTATACTGATTCGGATTTGATTATTCCGTTCTACGCTACGAGTGTCGTGGCGTGGATTTATCTCCGCCATTATTTGAATTTGCATATTCTCTGGTCTTTGTTGACTGAGTTCCAGACTATCGGGCCCTACGAATTGAACTGGGAGACGCAGCAGTATAAATGCTGGATCTCGAATATCATCACATTTGCACTACTGGCCATGCTGCAAAGCCTGAATCTATTCTGGCTATACTGTCTGCTGCGAAGTGCGTGGAAGTTCGTTGTTTACGGTGTCAAGAAGGATGATCGGTCGGAGGATGAGACTGAGTCTGAGCAGGTTCAGGTTCAGGGTCAGGTTGCGGGTCAACAGAATGGTGGGAAACAGGAAAAGAAGCAGTAAATCAGAACGTCTGATTTCAAGTTGCCACGGGTGGCGCATGGTCGCCTTGTCTGCGTGATTCCAGACGCAGGCTCGCAATAATGAACGTGAACTTGAATTAGGAAACTTCAAAGGGACTCCGCTCCGAGTCGACGATGACTCGAATTTCGAGACGCCAATTCTGTACGCATGCGAGACGGGTCAAAACTTGGACTGGCGAGGGAGCTTGATGCTTGCACTGTGCCTGTCTACGATGTATATTACACAAAATACTGTAATAATGTTATCAAATGAGATTTATGATATCAATCAATATTTGCAAGGGCAGAAGGCAGTGGGATGCGAGACCGCCACCTGGGCACAGCCTTCTTCGTCCAAGTGCAGTATGTATGTATAGTAATAAAGTACCTAGTCCCAGTAGCACTAGCACTAGTACTAGTATATAAAACAGCTTGAAAGAGCCTTGAACCCCAGATCAAGTCGAATCAAAAGACCACACCATGAGTCCCGACTTCCAAGAGAATCAATCCACAAGCGTCAGCCCGAGATTTTGAGACTGAAAGTGAAAAACAGGCGGGAATTATATACAGAAGAAAAAGCGAGGAATAAAATGAAAATGGAAATCTTCAAGGGAGAGGGTTGCTGAGAGAACGCCAATTTTGCACGACGCCGAAGCCGAATATGTAGCCTCTTTGATCAAAAAGAGAGAGAGGGGGAAAAAGAAAAAAAAAACCAGAGATGGAGGAAAAGTAGGGACGAGATGTCAGGGATGGTGAAATGCGAAGATTTCAAAGTAGTCATCAGGGTAGGCAGAAAAGGAAAAATGTAACCGAAGAAAATGACAAGGAAGGACATATGTTCATGGCAGGGTGGCCCGATCCTAGCGAGCCACCACCGAGGGGTTCAAAAAACGAGGCAAAAAGCAAAGAAAAGAAAAGGAAATGGTGAAAAACAAGGCCGGCCAGCCTGAGGGTTTATACCCGCCGCCCGGCGTCGTGTCCACCACTACTGGGTATTAACGGTAAAGTGGGCTCGACGGGGTCCGCGAAAGGCGATCGGGGCGGTTGATCCGCGAATGGTGATCGGGGCGGTTGTTCGTCGTGGTGGTTGTAGCCAGCGCCGGCGTGGCCGGGGTCCCAGCGCGAACGGACGCTGCCGTTCTGGCTTGGAGCCCAGGGGGAGGAAGGGCGGGGCTCGTCGCCGATGGGACGGATGGCCTTTTCGAGCGGGAGGAGCTCGGTGTTGAGGCGGTTGTCTGTTTGGGACATGCGGAAGGAGTCGCGGTTGTCGGAGAGACGGTGGTATTTGGCCGATGGCTCCTTGAGGCGGATGGCGTAGTAGAAGGAGATGAGGAGGAAGATGACGAGAGTGAGTGTGAAGATTGCGTTCATGAAAAAGAAAATGACGGTGACGACGCCGGAGGCGAGGTCGGGCTGGTTGAAGACATCGGAGAAGATGAGGAGGCAGATTGCGCTGACGAAGTTGATGACTGACGCGGCGATGCTGAAGCTGTTGGCTTTCTTGTCCATGTAGGGTCGGATCACGCAGGTTGCGATCATGAAGGCCGCTTCGACGATCAGGGTTAGAACGGCTTGCGCGGTGGCACTGGCTTGGACGAAGGCAACGATGATACCCTTGATCAGGATATAGGCGAGCATCGGGGCGATGAAGTAATAGCACTGCGCTTTGTAGTGCACGTAGAGGAAGCCCCATTTTGTCAAACAGGCCGGGTCGGAGTACAGGGTGTAAGTCGGATTCTCGTTCAATGCTTTGGATGCGCGTGCGCGTTGGAAGACCTTGAATGTAGCGAAGCCCAGTGCTGCGGAGGTTGTCAAGAACATGACGATTGCCAGGATGATTTCGGCAGCCGAGTCACGCTGGTAGATTTCCCAGAGGCCGAGTGAGCAGAATTGAGGGTAGGAGAGCGCGGCCAGGCGGTAGATGCTGCCACGCAAGAAACCCTTCCATTCAGTGCCTCCGCTGAGAGCGTTGTTCAACTTGGCATTGTTCGCCTTCTTGGAGATGGCGGGGAGGGCGAATTTGAGCACCATGAGAGTGATCATCATGAGGATGGTGACAAAGTAGAAAACCAGGTACGAAGTCATCCAGATGTTGGACGGTTCGATCTGCGCCCGGTAACCCATTCGCTCGATACCCTTGACGAGAAGTTCGTTACCTCCGCCGGTGGTGGGAAGAGTTCGCTTTGCAAGATTTCCGATGGAACGTTTCAGAACCGCGACCGAGACATCGCTGTTTTGCGAAATGACTGTTGAAGGAGTACCTCCTGTTGCGCGCTGGAACCAGGTGGCAATGGTCTCAAGGAATCCGGCGTGCACGATACCCACGGTCCATTGGAAGTCCTGGGTCCAGTTGCGGGCTAGAGGTCGGAAGTGCAGGGCAAGCATTCCGTACATGGCCTGACTCTGCATGAAGCCCAGTAAAAGCATTGTTCGGAACGAGACATGAGTTGCGATATTCGAATAGCCTAGAATCGAAAGAATGACGGTGATGAGAAGACCCAGACCAGTGATGACAGCCAGAGCCCAGCCAACCCCTGATACATAGACGGAGTAGCCATTGGTGACGGGGGCTTCGATACAAGAGACCTGTTTGCCGGTTTTCTTTGCGACGACGGTAACGCGGATAAGTAGATCGATGTCGGGGACATAGTAGGCAACGGCTGATAAGAGTGTTAGCGACGGGGGAGAGACAATCAGGATGCGCATCGCTATGCGCGGTAGCGGGCGACCAGGACCAGGACTTACAGGGAATGAAGTTGGTGATGGTACTTTTAGAGATGGCGATTGGATTCCAAGGAACGGGCATTTTCCCACTTGTCATTGGGCACAGATTGGCGATATTCAACTCGCACGGGTTGATGGTTTCACGGGTGATATTGTATCCATAGGCAAAGATGTCGACATTGAACATGACATAACCATCGTAGGCAAGTGTTCCATCATATTCTAACCAGACCTGACTTTCGTCTGGTAGTAGTTTCACCTTGATCTCATTTGTCTTAATGGCACTATCGTCGGAACAGGAGGTGACATAATTCGCTTGTAACAGTTTCTCCGCGTAGACCGGCAGGGCGAGATGAGCGAAAGCGAAGAGGCCAGCCAGCAGGCCTGGCACGAATTTCATCGTGTGGGGGGGGAAACGAGTGGCAGCCAAAAGATTTGGCGAGAAGGGGGAGGGAGTTGAACGAAGGACGAGAACAAAGACGGGGGGGGCGAGTGTCGTGGTCGAAGTCGAAGTCGAAGTTAAGGTCTGGAGTCGGGGTCGGGGTCGGACAAGACTAAGACTAGAGGAAGAAGGGGAGGTCGAGATTCACCAGGGGGGATCCATCAGGTACCTCAGGCAGTAAGATTTTAACGAAAAAAAATGGGCCTGGTAGTCGATCAGGGCGTGTCCTCCGCATGGCCCAGCCTGACACTGCCACTGAGCCCTGTTTCAGAGTGTTCGATCCTATCATTTCACTGTGGGGCCTCCGTTCGTTTTGTACATGTGGTTCAAGGGTTAAAATAGAACAGTTTCCACATTCTCCGTACTGTATGTACACACTAGAGTATCTACTAGAGAGAATGTGGAGGGGCACAAGGCAGAGACGTTGTGTATAAAGATGAGTCGGACTGCTTCTATCCGTATACTTCGTACTTTGCATGGATATACTACTCAACTCTTCCCCCTTTCGGGTTCAAGTTGGATTGGACTCCATGTGGCGTGCATTGCGAGCCTTTGCATAAAAAAAAGCTTGCTCCGTACCTTTTCTTGGCTCATCTCACTCTCTCCCTCTCACCTCACCCACATCCACACACACTCTCTCTCTCTGGGTTCATGCCCAGCCTTCAAACACGGGCGAGAAAGGAAAATCATACTCTATGTGACCCAAATACGCAATCCAAAGCCTTCCCTCAAGAAATGGGGATCGGTACTAGAGGGTCAATGACGCAGCCTCTGGAGCGAACCACCGCGCGGCATATCCATCCTCGTCCATCCTGAAGTCTCCACATCCACATTAAGACCACGCACACGCGCAACATACGAGCATGAAACAGGAAGCGCCAAGATCAGGCTTGGTTTGATGACCCCCCTCCAGGCTGCCAGCAATCACAGAACAATGATTGTATAGAGAATGCAATCGCTCGCAAACTGTAAGCCATAGCGCCAGCGTATTCGTGTACAGTACACTGTACAGTAGTGAACCCAGTCCAGTGGCGTTGGCGCAGGGTCCGGCTCACCCGGGACCCTCCCCGCTGACGAGTCCAATGATTTCGTGATTCTTGGACTGCTTTGTAAATGGTTGATGGGTGTTCAAAGGTGGGTCGGAGGCGGATCCTGGTGGGGTCGGTGAGCTCAGCGGTTCCACTGAATCCAGGGACAATTCCTTCTCTTACCTTTCTCGAGCAGCGCATGCTGTGGCTCGGGAAATTTGGTGAGCAATTTTTGGAGGTGGAGGAGGAGGGGGTGGAGGGGGCCAAAGTCACACTTCCATTGTCTGTCATAGGGGCGAGGGGTGTCAAGTCCTCCAAGTGGCTACTAGTCCAATCTGGAGGATGAAGGCTCTCGCTCTCGCCCCCTGGGGTTGTGATGGTTCGATGTGGGGGGCATGGCTGTGCAGAGAGGAGGAGTCCGATCGCTTTATTGAGCAAAGTCTCGTGGAGCAATGGTCCGTTAGAGAATAGTTTCTTGATAGTTTAATTGACTGGAATGTCTTGATTCATATTGTGCTTGTTTCGTGTAGATGTATCAGGTGCTGCTATGTCTATGTGTCCCTGGTCTGGCGGACAATGTAATATGCAAAGATTTGAATTTAATATCGGGGCTTTGTCTAGGAAAATCGCACTCCCTGACTTGGGTCCCACGTATTGGTTGGTCCACGCGCTTGCGGGTTGGACGCACCACTCTGTCCTGCATTGGCGCCAGGAGGTACAGCGGCTGCAGAATTGAAGCGAATACCCATCTCTGGTGACCACATGCCACCTGGAGATTGTACGGCTGGGGGAACCGCGGCCCGCATCGGCTGCGGCGCTGTCAAAGGGGCTGCTGCCTCAGAGGTTCGGTGGGCATGAATAAGCGGAGGAGCCTGCGAGGGGGCCTGCGAGGGTGCTGCAGAGTAGGGTGGGGAGTGAATCTGGCGAGCGGGCTGGTGAGTTGGCTGGCGTAGGTGCGGCTGCGAGATGTGCAATGAAGACATCGCTGTGACATTCGAGATATCCCTGGAACGTAGTACGTCAGTAAGATTATGATCGATGGATGATCGATGGATGATCGACGCGAGGGACGGGACATACGCTTCTAATTGACTGGCCTCCATTCGTCGTTGGTGCACAAAGGCCTTCGCATCGTCACGAAATCGACCCACGATCTTAGCAAGGTCATTGTAGAATTTGCGCCCGACGTCCAGGTTGGAAAGAATCTCCTTGTACCTCAAGTATCCATTCTCCAGGTCTTGCAACGCCGTCTCCCGCTCCTTAGTTGATGCATCGCCCGTGTGCGCCCGCGTGAACGCTTTGTTCGCCTCGCGAACCTGATCCGCAATCTGATCCTGATCCTTCCGTTCCTGTTCGAGCATATCCCGGTCCGAATCATACAGGCGCAGTTGCTCCTCAAAGAGGTCCTCAAATTGACTCGCCTGGATAGTCTGCATGGGGAACTCCCGTTCAAGCCGGGCTGTTTCCTTCAGGAGAGCCGGATCTATGGAGACCGTAAGTAAATAAGGTAGCTACTCAAACGGGGATGAATACATACGGATATCGTCTGCACGACACTTGTCCTTCCATCCCTGAATTCTCCGTCTCCGGCGATTCTCCAGCCGACTTACCTCACTGAGACAACCACGCAGCTTGACTGCCTCGCGCTCTACCTCTGGGGGGGATAGCAGCTCTGCGACTGCTGGGCACATATGATTCAAGGTCCCGGTTCGAGCCCGTCAGAACAAGGAACACGGACTCGGAATCTCGCAATTTTCGGTCCACAAGATCATCACTGCTCTGGGCCGATGTGAAATAGCCTCTGATCTCGGTTTGGCTGTTGTAGATCTTAGGCCCAGCCGCTTCAGACCTCTCGCGCGACCATCGGTCCGTGCCATACTTCCGACGAGCAGCGTCATCTTCAGCCTTCTCCGCCGCCAACAACTCGACTCCCTCGTTGTAGATGGCATGATCATTGCTCTTGACTTTCGCTGTATCTTGGACAGAACGGCGAAGACGGTTCAACCCATCTTGCTGACGCATCTCCTCGGCATGAGAGACCAATGTTGGTGGAAGGCCCAGGGGCTTCTCGAGCGCCTGGAGAGATCCCGGCAGGTTCAAAGAAGACAAAAGACTGATAAAAATGGTTAGCTCAACAGTCCTTCGAATCAAACCGGGGGGATACCATCACATACTCTCTCAACTTATCCGTCATAGACTCAAGCTCGCCAATAAGCGACTCATTCACCAAGCGATCCCTCCGATCTGAATAAATGCTCGCAGCAATATGCACCGCATAAGGAACCAACTTCGCAAACAAAGGCTGACCCAGCGGCCCATTATCACCCAGCATAGAAATAGCATCCGTAACCTGCGAAGGCGCCTTCGCAGCAACCATACTAGCCCGATCAAGCGACTTCAACTCAGACTTCGGCGGCACAGGACTGAGATAAATGACATCATTATCTTTCTCCGCGCGCTTGAGATCATCCGCAACGCGACCCTTCAACCCATTCAAATCCCCCAGCACGGTCCGATTGACCCATCGAGACTCCTTAAGCCCCTCATTGACGCAATTCAAACTATCCCGCAGCCGCGCCACTTCCTCGCCGTACTTGCGCTTCTCCAGACAATCCAGCGACTGCCTGTACTGCGCCGCGGCCGCGAAGTGGTGATTCTTCGCAGTCATGTGGTGGATCCATTCCGTGCTAATCGCATTCGATTTGACGGCCGAGTCGCCCGCGTCGCCGTAGAAATCAGAGACCTTCGCCGCGAGCCGGGCGATCGATGCGTCCTTCAGCCCGTCCTTGACGGCCTTTTGCCAGAAGCATTCCTGGCCTTGGGCGAGGAGGAGCTCTTCTAGACTTAATAGCGTCATTTCGTCCATGTCTTCGGGTGGGGACGAGCGGAGGTCGGGGATTATGTCGGTTCGGAGGTGGTGGAGGACGCCTGCTGCTTGGCAGGAGTAGTTGCAGGCCTGCTTAAGGCCATCTGCGTTTGTCCTGTTGAGGGCGTATGCGAGTTGGGAGTAGAGGGCGGCTAGATTGAAGAGGATGTTTGCGAGTTCGAAACGGAGGTTATTCTGCGAGACTATTGTTTTGGAGAAGGGGATATTGTTAGCAGTGCATTCTCGTTTGGCCCGAAGAGGTATCTCCAAGCGTTCGCAACAAAGAAAAACTCACCAGGTCGCGAGGCATTAAATCCTAACGCGGGGTACCAGGAGAAGTCGACTCCGATCTAAATATTTGGACTCGTCAATCGTGATCCAAGGTAGTAGAGGGGGATGGGTGCAAGCCTGCGCACATCAATCGGAAACTTCCCACCGAGCCACTTGAGCTGAGCGGCATAGGTGACCAGCCTGCTGATACCGCTGACGTGGGGTTCCTGGACATTCACGGCTTCTGCACGGAGGCGATCGATAATCATCAGATCGTCGGCGAACATATCGGGGCGCTGATCATATTTGGACGATATGTATTGGGTGATGGCATCGGACAGCGAGACGGTGTGCGAGCGGCGGAACGGGAGCTCGAGAATATTGCTGCGAGAGTGTTAGCGGGTAGTCGATTGAAGCTGTTTAACTAGGTGATAAGCTGGAGACTCACGAAGCCATTGTTGCGGGGGTGGGCAGGCAACCTGAAGCGCTTGGAGGAGATGATCACTTGGGCATGTTGTTCCAAGACGAAGTTGCTTCTTCCCCCACCACCGGGGCAACCGCATGACGTGGGGCCCACTATTAGCATGTATACAACGCATTAGTTACACTTACCTACGGCACTACTTGACAAAGTATTTGATTATCTTTTGTTTGTCAGGTCCTCACTGCTGCCAGCACTATGTACTCCAGCAGTAATACTAGAGGAGTTCCGAGAAGGAGTTCTGCTGCCAGCCTGAGTGCGATGGCATCCCACATGGGATATATAACTAGTGCGGGGCCGACATGAGCCAAGTCTACATTGCTACCAGTCCCAGCACCTATAACGTTCAAATCTCCAACTCATATTCATAGTGGTATGACAAGCATCAAGCTCATCCATGGTATGTACGTGAAAGATAACATGGCAATATGACAAAATAAATAAAAAAACAAGCCTGACTGGCAGATCTCCAAGTTTCGAGTCCTTTCCCGATCAACCGCGCATGCACCTCGCGGCGCAAATGCAACCACCACAAAATTTACGCCGGCAGCTCGTCGATGCGCGCCTTGATGTACTCAAACATGCTAAGTAGAATCATGTTGTTGACACCAGTCCGAATAAGAATGATGGAGAGGCCTTTGTACATGCTCGACTTGGCCACGGCCACAGAGGCCTCGCCGATTTCTTTCGTTTTACCGAGAAGGACGCTCTGCGCGCGCGTCTTGCGCGTGTCGAGTGGGTAGGTCTGAAATTATATGTTAGCTACAGTCCCCATCCTGTTTACATCGTATCAAGTGAGTGTGAGGGGGAAACGGTAAAGGGACATACGCAAAACCACGGGACGGTGCTGCAAATCGCACCGGCTATCATGGGTGCTCCGAATGGAGACTTATCCGAGCCTAGTTCTTTGGCTGCGACTTGTTTGACGGTCTCGTAGACGCTGAAGTACAGTGCAGACCCGACTGTGTCGCGCATCGCGTGCAGACCGAATCCGGTATATAGGCCACGGAATCCGTGGCGCTTGATGATCTGCTGGATGGCTTGGATAGTGCCTAAGCGTGGTTTACGGCGCAGTGAAGGGTCTCGGGCGGCGTCGGGCGCGGCCATAGCACGGTTAGATACGAGGACCGAGGTTTGAACGACATTCTTGGCCAATTCAAATGGACCTGGGAAGGAGGAGATTCTGTTAGCTTGCTACGAATTCTCGGAGTCGACAGCGGATGGAATCTTACAGGCCAGTGGAGACGTCACCAGTCCGGCTAGGAGGCCGGCACCGGTGAAGGTGAGAATTCCGGCGACTGTTGGGCTGCTGCCGGGCTTCTTGTATTCTTCCAATGGCGATTCTCCGGTGATACTTTGGAAGGTGTCGGAGATGGCATGTTTGGCCCAATTGTAGGTGGTAAAGTTGACGACTCGGACCGCGGTTACGCTGGCCAGCGGCGGCAGACAACCTGAACGGTATTAGCATGACGAATGCAGATGAACAAACTCAAGGCCAGAGATGGTAAATCTCTGGGTCAACTAACCAGCAACATAGCCACGCGGGCCTTCAGTCCGCCAGAGATAGCGGACGCATTGGAAGATATTTTTAAAGTTATGGCTAAATATAGATAATCAGTACAAGCACATCACGTCATTATCTCCCCGCCTGGCCTAGAAAACGACTCACGTTTGCATGCGAGTTTTGACGTTCTCCAGAGGAGTCTAGACAGTAATCAATCACGGTCAGCTTCCATACTTCCAGCAGCTCAGCTAGAGCATCCTAGCTGCTGGGGGAGAAGTCACATACCACCGCCAGGGTCGCGCAGACGGTTGACATTCCCGAAGCTACCTGGGTCTTGTATTTTTTCAACAGTCTGTTCCGGGCGGGATCATCCATGATCCATGCATTTCGTGATGGCATGGTGGCGGGGGTTTGTGTAGAAGGTGGAGAAAAGGGTGCATGTTCAGTGCGTTTATCTATAGTCATGCCTGAAAGTTTTCCATTGGGGCCAACGGAAAGAACGTAACAGAGACGGATAAGGCAACGTTTGCTGAATATCGATGTGATGGATCTTTGAATGATCAATCTGGGCCTCGACGAGATGTGAAAAGTATGGTGGCCTTGGTGTATACGTCGGGTAGGGCGATGGATAGGCTGGGGAACCCTATGGAACGCAAAGCGGTCTCTCAAGCTTTAGAGTCGACCGTTTGGCGTCCCACAATTATCCATTCGGCGGACTGCTGTAGCCCGGTCTCCTCCAGATGTTTATATAAGACCCAGAAAGGATCTCGAAGGGAAGGGTGGGAGTTTTTGGGGATCTGGAAGAGGGCGATGCTCGGATATAGAGATCAAGGTGGGGGATTCGGGGGGCGACGATAAGCCGCGGGCAATTTGAACTCGACGAGGATGAAAGAAGCTGGCACCAGCGACTTTGGGGCGATTGGGAGATCTGAGAAACACTCGTCACAGGATTTCAGTGGCGGACAGGCCGGGTATAGGCGTGCTGAGGGGTCGTCGGTCGCAATGAGAGAAAGCTGGGCGGAGCTTGAGGTTGGGCTGGAGTCAGTGACGAACTGGTGAAACGCGGGGAAGTTCGAGCTGGATGAAGACCTTTCGACTCACTGTTGAGGCCAATCGTCTCTATTTCCGTTTCTTCCTTTCTTTCTCTTTCTCTGTCTCTGACGGGGTTTCAACACACCCAATCGAACCCGCAGTGCTGTGAAGAGGAGAAGAAGAGGGACAATTCAATGGCATGTGGACCGAGCTTTTACAATCGACTCGATGCGGTTAGGGCGAAACCCAGTGACGTCGTCGTGAGAAGATAATCGGGGGTTACCGACCAACACCCATGTATTGGAATATTGCAATATGGAATACTGAATATTCACTGCAGATGAAGTTGGAACCCAGTTGATCTTTACTCTCTAGAACTATGGCATGAGTGGTGGATCTACGATCTTTGCTTTGTTGGCCCGGTCGCATGCATCCGAAGCCCGCAGCAAAATGATGGGAGGCCGAAGCTTCTTGCTTCTTTGGTATCGATCGCCCACCGATGGGCAACCATGGGTCTCCCCGTTATGATCCCCAGACCTTTTTTCAAACGTAGGGGGGACAGTTCTCCGGGGGATGCTGGCTGGTCACTGACGGTTGACTTGATGGCCCACGCTATGTCGAACACTGCATTCGGAGTTCAAAACTTGTCTTTGCGGGGTTCAAACCTTGGAATGATACTCCCAGATTCCAGACCTTGTTAGAGTGTAGATCATGCAGAAGGCCTGGGAGGGGAGGTCTGTGTGCTCTTTCGTCCTCGAATCAGTTGTCACTGAATGAATCAAATGACAGATGCCCCCAGAGCTATGCTGAGTCCGAGTATTGGTCCATTTTGAGGGACTATAAAGGTATTAGTAGCGCCTTAATAGCTGCGGACTGTGGACTGCGGATTGGACTCTGGACTGTGGTACTACTTGGTCGGGGACAGCCCTGGCACCTGCTTGATTGCCTCTTTGGTAGGAATGGAATGAGGATATATTCCCTCGCAGTTCCCCATCTGAGAAGTCAATCTTCTGGATTATTGGGTAACAGCGTCAAGATAGAAGAGTGGTAAAAGAGCAGGAAAGAGTAATGAAGTTGAAGCTGAAGCTGGTGGAATTCACGTGCTCCCACGGGCGCATGGGTGCACGTGATTAAATTGATATAGACACTAAAGAGACTAACAAGAGTAATCATTCAATGAGTACGGAGTATAAATCAGTCAAATAATAAATATCATGTAGCCGACTTGAATAGAGTAAACCCCAGACTACCTTAGTATTAGTACTACGCGGAGATTTATGCAGAACTGATTTGTGCAACCGGCATTTCCTCGGGCCAGCATCCTCGGGACCTCGGCCTTTTTGCTCTCTCCATTCTCCAGTCCCCCGCAAATCAACCCAGCTTCTCCACCGAGCTGCACCTGTGACAATGCATCGATCCTATTTATTAATTGCAGCCTTCTCTTCCTCATCCCTTCACATCCACCCTACCCCAGACTGATATACCCCCACATTCGCCTTAACCTTCACCTTTTCCGTCATCACCATGGTCAAGAAAGCTACCAGCCCCGCCTACGTCCTAGGCGTGGGAATGACCAAGTTCATCAAACCTCGTGGCAAGGTCGACTACAATGAACTGGGCTACGAGGCCGGTATCAAGGCCATGCTCGATGCTCAGATCACCTACGACGATGTTGACCAGGGTGTCGCTTGCTACGTCTACGGCGACAGCACCTGCGGCCAGCGCGTCTTCTACCAGTTCGGTCTGACCCAGATCCCCATCTACAACGTCAACAACAACTGCTCTACCGGTTCGACTGGTCTGGCCATGGCCCGCACCATGGTCTCCCACGGTGCCGCCGACTGTGTGCTCGTCGTGGGCTTCGAGAAGATGAACCCCGGTAGCTTGCAGTCCATGTATAACGATCGCGCCAACCCGACCGGTCTGTTCGGTACCATGATGGCCGAGACTCGTGGTGTCACCAATGCCCCCGCGCCGCCCAGATGTTCGGCAATGCTGGCGTTGAATACAAAGAGAAGTGAGCTTCTTTCCACAATCAATGAGAAAGCAATACCTCGCTGCACAAAATGCTAACACCCCGGCCCACCAGGTACGGCGCAACAAACGAAGACTTCGCTGAAATCGCCCGGATCAACCACGAACACTCCAAGCGCAACCCCTACTCCCAATTCCAACAAGAATACTCCCCTAGACCAAATCATGAAATCCCCCATGATCCACGAACCCCTCACAAAGCTCCAATGCTGCCCAACCTCCGACGGTGGCGCCGCGGCCGTCATCGTCTCCCAAGAATTCCTCGACGCCCGCCCCCACCTCAAGGAAAACGCCATCCTAATCGCCGGCCAGACCCTCGCCTCCGACACAGACCAGGTCTACAACCAGAGCTCCATCGACCTGATGGGATTCGGCATGTCACGCTACGCAGCCCGCACCGCCATCGCCGAGGCAGGCGTCAACGTCAAGGATATCAAGGTCTGCGAGCTGCACGACTGTTTCTCCGCCAACGAGATGATCACCATCGACGCGCTTGAGCTCTCTGAGCCAGGCAAGGCCCACGAGATGGTCCGCAAGGGCGATATCACCTACGGAGGCAAAATGGTCATCAACCCCTCTGGCGGCCTCATTTCCAAGGGCCACCCGCTCGGCGCGACGGGTATTGCCCAGTGCGCGGAGCTGGTCTGGCATTTGCGTGGTTGGGCAAATAACCGTCTGATCGACGGTACTAATGCGGCTCTGCAACATAATCTCGGCCTGGGCGGTGCGGTCGTCGTGACTGTTTACAAGCGTGCGGATGGTAAGGTCGCTGCGGCTGTTCCTTCGGATGTCGTGGGCAAGGTCAATAAGCTGGGTTATAACCCGGCTGTTGAAGCTCGTGGTTTCACTGCTGCCCAGGCCAAGTCTGTGATTAGCCAGAAGCACAGCAGTGAGTACGCTGTTGCTGATGCGCAGGAGCGAGTCCTGGCTCGTTTCTGAGCGGGTGGACGATCCCATGGTCCTCTGTTTGGCCTGTAAATAGTTTTGTATTTTGTAGCATGATAACGATACACAATTTGCTTTTATGATGAATCGGATCTAGCGTCTTCTCTGAATGTAGATTGAAATTTGGTCCTAAGGTTTGGTCAACTTTAGCTTCGCATTGCTATCTAGTTGAACAGCCTCCCACGAAACCATAGGTAAATGAATACAAAAGGAAATTTCTAAGATCCCTCAATAACTGCTTCCCAGGCCTCTGAAAAGGCATCTTCAAGCCAAATACCATATTTCCCCGGCGCCATAATTCCGTTAGTATCAACCGCATCCTTCGCAGATGTGATCATAGCCCACTGCCAGAAGTCACTCTCAGCATTAGCATTGCGAGAAATGATCTGATCCATGAGGACAGAGTAAGTCTTGGGCGACTGAGGATGGATTGGAGGGGCTTGGCGAAGTACTATTTAGATGTTGCATTGAGAGGTGATGATTCTCGGGAGAGGACTTCTAAGGGAATATGACGAAGGTGGAGACCGTGCTGGATCAATCCGCTCAGGTGAAGTTTTCGAGCGATATCGATGACTTGTGAGAGCTGGTCGGTTCTGCTGAAGGCTATGAGGAATGACTGACATTCTGATGCTTTTGGACGTAGCTATATTACAGGTTAGTAACTTAGCGAGCGCAGATATAGTCAGCATGGTCATAACGAAAATCTATAGCCTTCAAAATGCGTGTTAGAGCCTATTCAAAACCCCAGAATCCAGAATTGAATGTGAAAGCTTATTAATTTCGAAATAACCCCAAGACACTGCACTGGAACTAACCCATTCACAAGACCGTGTTCAAGTGTCCGATCCTGCAGAAACCCAGTCAGTTTTCTTTCATCTTCATCAAAGACCTCCACGGCCTTACATTTGGCATCCCACGTTCCTTGTGATAATTCAAGACCCCGATTTGCAAGATATCACCTTATCGCAGGTTAATCTCCATACTACAGTATCTTGCAGCATACGCTGGCCCAATAACATGATCGACAATAAGCTCCCTTGATGAAATGGGCCAATCGATCCAAAACTGGTCATCCAGTCCACGTTGTGAGATATCACGCGCCAAAGCTGCCCATGACACTCCCGGTTCGACAATAGCATAAAGCTGGTCCTTATTCACTTCGGCAATGTTATTCATGTACTTCACAAGATCCAAGCCCACACTTCCCGGGACCCGTGGAATAACATGCCGAAGATCCTCTTCGTCGGTAGAATAGAATGGCCACACGGGTATTTTGACTCGATGAAACAGGCGAAGTAGTTCCTGGATATCCTCGATGGTACGGGGAGCGATGACCGCAGAAAGAAATAGATTCGCGCGCGGTGGAATACACATAGTGTCCAGGGCTTTCGAGATATTCCGACAAAGCGTGTCATTTGAAGTGATAATTTTCACATTTTCGGCTCCGGTGATATCCTCTGCTTCCGCGATATGATTGACAAATAACTTACTGCTCATCTCAGAAGGCAGCACATGGGGGGTGCCCGGGTTGGATGGAAGACGAGTCGCAATTGGGGTAGTAGTACTAGCGGTAGTGGTCGTTGCACTACTGTTGCTGCTGGTCGCTCTCGATGTTGATTCTGTGACAGTAGAAGAATTCCTCGAAGACTTTTGCGAGTCTAGAAAGCTCTTTAACTTCTCGGCACGCTCCATATACTCTCCCACCTTGTTGCGAATTATCTCCTTTGCCTGGGGATTCTTTTCCCATTTCACGGCCAACATGAAGAGTTCGAGGGCCGAGTAGTAATTCTTATATGCGCTCTCGTATTCACCATTATGGTCGTATTCGATAGCTTTCTTGACTGTGTCGATTGCCTTTTCAAGAAAATTATGATTGGTGGTAGTATTGGCATTGGTCTTTGACTCAGTCTTTGCAGTAGTATCCGTGATGGTCACGACAATAGGGGCAGCATCGTCTGGTGGGTTGTTTTCTGGAATGTCGTCTTTGGTCGGTGGTATCCACTCGCGGATGTACTTGGATTGCTCTTCCGTCAAGGGTTCTCCCAAGACGCTTCCGTCGTAGATAGTAGCTCTTTTGCCTTCAATTACCGTGCTAGCGAATTAAGAGATTTCGCAGCCTGGGCCATGTTCTGGAGACTAAGAATAACTCCATCTCTCCCAGTAGACCCGAAAGAGATGCTCAATGCACTAGGCCCATTCATTCTTGTTGTAAGAGTCTCCAATCGTTCGGTGATTGCATTGGTCATGGTTCCCAGTGTGGATAAAGACGTGTCCACGTTCTGTGTAGACGTAGTTTCCTGGATCTGAAGACACAGGATGATCATCTGTAGTCCACTCTGCATTGCCAATTGGTGTGAATTGATGCGCTGGCGATACTGAGCAATGTCGTCCGACGATAAGCTTAGTTTGAAAGCCTTGGCTGATTTTCGCAGAAAGCTGTTGCTGAATGAACCTGATTTGGCCACTTTGTTGAAAGCTTTCTCCAGCTCTGCGACTGTTTCTCTCCCGCTGCTGACATTTTCGCTGATGCCTGACCACAGATTAGCGTCTGATCCTGTCTTATGTCTTTCTAGTACTATATAGCCAACCTTCAAGTTAAAATAAAGTATCTCCAGGGCTGTCTCAGGAAAATGACCTCGGGAAAATACCTTCCACTAGGTACTATTTCCTTCCAAGGTTCCTACCTGGGCACCTCACTGGCATTTACCAATCGTGGATATATATGGCTTCTAAGTTTTACGCACAGCCGAACTGCAAAAAGATGAACTCGAAAAATTGTGTCAGATCTTGAAGCTTGAAAACTTGGCCGCGCTGACACTCCAGTTGGCTGTTCTACTGGCACATATATGGTCCATCTATGTACAAAGAAATATCACTCAAACGCCTCGATAAATGAATATGTTCATGAATGCGTAGCAGTCCAGTCGTCCGGCAGTTTATAGTACTTTGGCAATGAGTATTGCCCCCGACAGCTTCCCGGATTAGTACATTGAAGGTTGCACCGCCCATACAATCGACAATAACACTCTTGTGCACTTGGACAAGAAGCCTTATTCAAAGACTCTAGTTCAATTAGCCCATCAGCTCCACGTTTCGCAAACAAAATATGCCAAAGATAAGACAAAATTCGACCAGCAACTTTGTCATCCGCCGGCGCAACCGCCCCATTCTGATTTCTCCTCGAAGTCGCTCTCGCAGTACCATCTAAGAGCCACTGGCGCAAAGCGATATACTCCGCTTTGGTATGTTGCCAAACCCGTTCACGGGAAACAACAAATTGCGCACAGCACTGTGCCCTCACTGCATCATTCCTCCCCAGCTTAGCCTGCCGCCATCCATCCATGCCACCGAAAAGCGACGCTAGTGCCCCGGGCAGCGCCATATCGGATGCCGCGCGCGCACTCCACGGCGCCACGGCAGACTGCAGCCTCATCTCTAGACTGCCTTGGGCCGGGACGGTAGATGAACAAGTACCTGCACTCCAGTCGCAGCGCAAATTGTGGTAGCCTGAGGGTTTCAAAGCGGCGGGAATATCCAAATCACGCAGAAGCGCTGCATTGTCGTAATCCGGCGAATCGTTATGCCAGGCCCAGCGCGAGCCGTGAATAAATACCGCGCCAGCGGAAGGAAAGTTCTCGTGATTGTCAATCAGAAACGTCAAGTAGGCCATTGCCTCGTGGCCTCGATTTGCAGGGACCTGAAGATATCCCGAGGATGCGTCGGAACTTCCATGGGCGGATGTCTCTTGTCCCGCAATATCGACATCGTAAATACATAATGTGTATTTATCAGCGAGTTTGTCTAACCAGAATGCGCTACCATCTGATTCCACCCGAGAGACAATGAGTGCGGGTTTTTTTGAGGTTGAGAGATTTGGACATAGACCAAGCTGAGACGGGAAGGTGGTGGCGTGAGTTTGATATCGGACTTTAGCCCATGGGAAGGATTTAACCTTTGATTGGGGCCAGTTCAGGATTAGAATTATGTTCAGGAAGAAGGCGAAGATGAGGAGCTGTATGAGAGCTCTCCGAGCCCTTGCTCTCATTTTGAGGGTGCTTTTTTGATATTTTCGTTCAGGATCGGATTCGACCAGGGAAAGAAAATAGGAAAACACGGAAGAGCCGGCATTTTGGATTTTGGCTGTGGGGTTGGTTGGGATCCCCGGTACTGGTACCTTTTCGGCACGTGGCGAACCATTCTGACGGCACTCGGGTTGCCGTTGCTGCTGTACGCGCGTGAGTCATCTATCTACAGCTCAAGAATATTTATTCTGACTCTCAGTATCAGTTTGGTAAGTTATCTTCCCTTGTCCAGGAAAATACGGCATGGCTTCCACTATCCTCTTTGACCCACCCAAGGCGGTGGTCTCCCAACTTAATCGCTCCACAAAATCGGATCCTCGCCCAATAGTCGTGATGACTTGTGGGCTCGCAGGTATGTTATGTGATTTAAGCATTTCTTGGCATAAAGACAGGAACCATTTTTTATTTTGACTCGCCTCGATGATTACTACTAGGATCTGGCAAATCTACTCTTTCCAAATGGATTATTTCCAACTACCAGTCCTTCCAACGCCTTTCAATCGACGCTTGGATTTACAAAAATTATGGTCTCTGGGGCAAGGATTACCCTGCCGAAAAGTACAGCGCCTATCAAGACGAAGCAGAAGCTGCGCTACGATCTGAGTTTATTTTCTTACTTCGAGAAGGAAATCATAACGTGGTACTAGACTTTTCTTTTGCGTTCCGCGAAACTCGAGACGAATGGAAACATATCGCCGAGTCGAATGGGGCTCGCTGGGTTCTATTTTATCTTGATGTTGAAGCTGATGAGTTGCGCCGACGAGTGAGGGCCAGGAACTCGTTGGAGATGAAAGACGGCGATTCGGCCTTCTTTGTAACGGAGAAGATACTTGAAGGGTACCTTACAGGATTTGAGAGGCCGGATGGAGAAGGCGAAATTGTTCTGAGAGAAGGAAAGTCTAACTAGCGCAAAGGTCTACTGTATTTATTGATCAAGTTCGAGTTGACAATAATTTTTGTTCGGAGTCCTTTGTTCTTTCTCTTGACCTTTAGTGTTCACCCTTTGAGTTTCCACATGTGGAGGACCTTCAAGGTTCAGCCTCGATTTTGAACAAAAAGATCTGCAACAAAGCCTGGCGCGCCCATGGAATACCTATATCGAAGACGAGATTGACCTCTTATTGTCTTGTGATATTCAATAAAGACCTTTTTTGCCCAAGTCTTAAAGCTATCTCCTCCGAGTCGGACTCTCGAGGATCTCTCAAGGATATTCAGATGTACTATAAGTATCAGCCGTTGTCAGCAATCTTCTGAGTCCTCTATCAACATTCAAGGAGCTCCAGGGCTTCACAGGTCTTCAATATTAGACTTATTGGGCTTGAATTATTTCACCATGTCTCATTTTCAAGTTCCCGATTTCAGGGAAGCCTGTAATGAGTTTATAATGCTCACAGATGGTTGGATAGCGGTTTTTTGCGACGATCCTTTCCCCAATTCCGATGTAGTGAGGTCAATAACTACAAATCTGGATATATGGAGGAGCACTTTTGCGATGTGCTCTGAGACTTTACCGGGAATTGTGGAATCCCGTGAATTATACGCCCGATTGAAAGAGGTAATCATGGCGATTACTGAGGTGGGGGAGTATATTAGGGCGGCAGCTGTCAGCCCCACGGTTATTCGTATGCTGAATGGAATAATCGATCTCATTCAGCAGATTGAGGTGCTACCTACCTTGCAAATTTAGTTCACTTTTCGGCTTATGCATTCAGGGCGTAACTGGAGCATCAACATTCTAGAATTATCCCAAGAACGTGAATATGACAAGTCACATTTGCAACTTGAAAGGTTGTTTCTATGAATTTATTAAAGTATCATTTTCTCTCAAAAGAAATCCCGCTAGCATTTGAATATAGCCAATGAAGTAAGCCTAAATTATTATATGATTATTCTGCTCGTTTGCCATATCAACATGTGTCCTCCTCGTTGATTACCTCGTATTACACTCTACCACAGGATACTTAAGTCTCCAGTAATGCCTCCACATGATCTTTACAATATCAAATTGTTCCCAGCCCCCCTAATGGCTCCCCCGCAAGTTGATTCGGGTTCACATAGATTCTGTCGTCGGGGGGAATTAAAAGTTTGAAAGCTTCACAGGACAGATCTTGATCCATGATACATCGGGATAAGAGCTTTGCATTTTCCCAGTGACCTGGACTGCCAATTTCGGTGGCAGTTTTGAATGCATATGACCACAGGCTTTCATGCGTACCTCGGATTGGAATGAGAGGGCTGACACCTCGAGAGAGGAACTCTTGAAGAATAGCAGTAGATCCACCCTTTTGAACATGACATTCAAAAAGATACTGATTTTTGGAATTGACGGTATAGATGTCAGACCCCCGGTCTGAGAATTAACCGGACCATCTCTATCTTCGGTGAATCGTCTAATTGAATAGCATCAAAAACGCAGGCTGGCCAAAGGACAAAGAAAATTGCCGCTTCTAGAATGGTGGCGTACCATATGGACGGAAGTTCTGGCGAAATATCTACCACATCTGTGGCTATTTCTGCGTTTCCAAGTGGATCTGGGTCCGACTCTCTGTCTGGATCTGCGTCTGATTCCGAATCCGACCTCCACCCAGAATCCTCCGGCGCGCCAGATATTCGGTAACGCGTGTTGACATCGAAGCCATTATCCAGAAAGAGGCTCACAATATCGAGGTGGTTGTAGGTGGTAGCCTCGATAAGAATATTCCCCCAACTTGGATTATTCGGGTCCAAACCGGGCTCCCTATCTAGCAGAAATTTGAAGATATGAACGCTGCCTGTAATTACTGCCTCTCGGAATATCGTCTCAAATCTGCACGAGCCGCCGATTCCTTTTGTCTTGTGTCTGGAGGAAGGGATATCGAGTTCATTCAAGTAGTATTCGAGCAGAGCAAAATTCTCATGTTCCATAGCTCTCTCGCACAAGAGCCGACGGTCTAAAGGTCCAGATAATGCAAAGGCATTCTTTTCTAGAAGATATCGCGTGAATCGTGCATCTTCTCCAGACTCAACAAGGCTGGTACGGGTCAATTCTTTGGACTGAGTCCATAGCTCGGGACCGACATGTTCCAATAGCAGATCAATGACATGTGATTGTTTGCCTTTGCAGGCCTTGGAATTAGCGATTGGGTATGCTTTCGGGATTTGACCATTCTTGGGAAACTCAGGCGGTAGAAGAATTTTAACGATATCAATGTGTCCATACTGGGCAGCAAATGCTAGGGCATCATCAATGCCATGCCTTTCCTCTGTGGGACACATATCGAGAATCTGGCGAACGAGCTGCACGTCACCACTAGCAGCAGCGAGATTTAGCACGTATAGTAGATCGGTTTCGCTATCGCACAATTTACATGGCTCGGGAATATCCTCAAGTATGAGGCAAGGTACGGAGGGGCCGTTTTTCTCCAACATTCGGCTCAGAAACTCGGGTTTGAGGCCAGTTTTGAGATACTCTTGTGTTCCTCTTTTGAGCAGACGACGAACCATATCCTCTTTATTGTGAAGAACGGCATGATATAAGGGAGTCAAACGGTTAGACATCGAGGCTCGGTAAGGGTAATATTCTGGACATTGATGTTCTACCATGGGATCAGCGCCTGCGTCAAGCAATACCTCAACCGCGTCTGGTGACAAGTGTTCGACTGCGAACCAAAGTAAGGAATTTCCCAATGCGCCTGGCGCATTGATATCGCATTCTTGTCCTTCAACAATGGATTTCAAGAAAGAAATCGGGCAGTTCCGAGCTATATGAGGGATGAGACCCAAATTCGAGGGCCAAATATACCCGAATCTATTTGGAGGGGCGGCAACCTCAAGAAGATATTGAATAATATCACAATGGCCACCCTTGATTGCATGACAAAGAGGTGTATTCAAGGTAAAAGACCGCGAAATATCCACCACCGAACTACCGTAGACCTCAACGAGGAGGCGGGCAATATTCAAGTTCCCATTGGCCATGGCAACGTCAAAAGGCACGAACTGAGTTCGTGGCTGATGCGACAGCGTGAATTCCTTCCCATGAGGAAAACCCGCCCCCGCGGCAAAGAGCCTGCGCAAGGCATCGGTATTTCCATTTGATGCGATCCGTTCTAGGCCACGAGGAGAACAGTCCAATGCGAAGCAGCCGTAGAGCCAGGGATCTGCCACTTGGCAGAGACGATGGCATGCCTGTGAGACAGAGTTCACATCAGATGCATAGTCCAGATACTGAATAATAGAAACAAGAATCTCAGCTGGGAGCTTAGCGAAATAGGGCATTGTGGCCCCCCTGACAGTTGTTCAAGTAGAAATACGAGGAGTCGATAGAGACGGTAACAATACGGGACACATGGTGCCAGGTGGGGTAGTGATTGTTGTGCTGCCTTACCCCAGCCCCTACCTAGATAGTATTTGTGCCTACGCGCGCCGACTTCCAAAGGAGGTCGGTGGGCCTAGTACTAGTTATAAAAAGAATGTAAATAGCCTCAAAATGGAGTTCAGCGATTATTGGGCAGCCAAAGCGGGAAGGACTTTTTTGTCAGACAAACATGGTGCACCGACCGACGAAAGTCGGTTAGTGCATGTAGGCACGAATACATACCATGCAATGAAGATCTCATATTACTTTACCGAATGGAATCTGCGTCAACAAGCCATATCAATTCTGTACTTCGAGAGTGTTTTGATTTGAAGGCGGCGGGGAGCGGGATGACTAAGCCATATGAGGCGGGATGACTCAGCTGTGGGGCTGAGCCCTAAGCCTCAATATGCGAGCTATCCGGCCGAACCCCTGAGCGGCAAAATGAGAATCATTCTGGCTACATCAGACAAAAACAACTGGAGCAACGGGGAATTGAACCCCGGACCTTTCACATGCGAAGCGAACGTAATACCCCTATACCATTGCCCCTGTTCTTATAGGAAGTACGAAAGAGACTGGAATATAAAGTGTCCCGGCCGATTCCCCGCGAGTGAGTGGCACACTTGTATGATGCTTTTTTGCCCTCGAGGCCAAATCGTGGGCTGTTACCTATGTTTTAAATCGGGAAAGAACCAATGGATCCTCTATGAACTAGAATTATCTATTTCTTTCCAGCGCCTCGATACTTGAAAAATAATTTAGCGCCAGGGCCACGGTTCCCTTGTTTTACTTGCCGCCCTTAACAGCTCATATCGATGGCCCCCACCGGAGCAACTCCCAAGGTTTTCCCATTTAAACCCCTCTTTACAATTAGTACTAGAAGGAAGAACATACAATATCGGATCAGGCGAGGATGACTGTACCGATACTATCCCGCAATGGGCTTGATTCCATAGTTAGTACCTAGGTAGGTACTACTAACTAGTAGTAGACTTTTGCGTGTTCAAGTTTATTTACTCCTAAGCGGTGCCTACTAGTACTAGCAGAAAATAAAAAGGACTTGTTCTAAAGATAGCGAAATTCCAGGTAATATATTGATGATCATTGACCCTAACGATGCATGAATAGGTTATTGAAAAGAGATACATGAGAAAACAACATTTTTGTACACCGATTACGCCTTGGTCTTAGTCTTGCCAGCCTTCTTGGCCTTCTTCTTAGGCTCAGCAGCAGGCGATTCCGTCACAGCCTCCTTGGCCTCTTGCTCCACCTTCTTGCCCTTCTTAGCCTTCTTGGGGGTATCTTCTTTGGCGGCAGGGGCGGGCTCAACAGCCTTCACAGGCTCCTCAGCGGCGGCGGGGGTCTCGGTGGTCTCAGCAGCCTCGACGGCCTTGGGCTCCTGGATGGGAACATCCTCCACAGCCTTGAGCTGGGGCAAATTGAACTCGTAACCAAGCTCCTTAAGCTTCTTGGCCTTGGATAGACGCTTCTTCTGCTCCTTGGCAATGCGGTCGGTCCACTGCTCACGGGTCTTGCCACGCTCGAGGCGCTTCTTCTCAATGCGATTCCAGGGGGTCTTCTTGAAGCGGCGGTTGGCACCCTTCCAGATCTCGGGGTGGAGGGACTCGGCGGGAACGAACTTGCACTTCAGGATGTGGCCGTACATGAGGTAGTTGTCCATGGTCTCGGCGACGATCTTGGCGACGGTGACGGAGTTGAACTCAACGAAGGCGTAGTGCTTGGAGCGACCGGTGATACGGTTGCGAGAGAGACGGAGGCGGGTGATCTCGCCGAACTGGGTGAAGTAGGCGCGCATTTCGTGCTCGTAGAAACCGTGAGGAATGCGACTGAAAGAGGAAGTTGTTAGTGGTCGTTCATAGATGCAGGTGCAGAATCATGGCTTACCCAATGTAGACGGTACCAGGCTCCTCGGTGGTGCCAGCGTTCTTCTTCTGCTTCTTCAGGAGCTTTTGCTTGACCTTTTTGGAGTCTGGGATCTTGGGGACCGGCTTGCCGGACTCGAAGCCCTCGTCTCCGGACTCGTCCTCGTCACCACTGCTCTCGAAGCCCTTGATAAGGGCAGCAGTCTGATCGTCCTCGGCCTCGTCATCCTCTTCCTCATCCTCCTCAATGTCCTCCTCTTCCTCCTCGCTGTCGTCGGAGGCGGCAGGATCGATAGAGAAATCTTCATCGTCGGACTCGTCAGACTCTTCAACAACCGCCTCGACCTTCTTGGCTTTGGAAGTGCCCTTCTTAGCGGCCGCAGAGACAGGCTCCTCCTTCTTGGACTTCTTGTTACCAGCGGCCTTCTTCTCAGCGGGAGCGGGGGCGGTCTCCTCGTTGTCGCTCAGGAAATCAGCAGCGCGCTTGCGAGGCTTGACCTGGCGGTCGGGTTGGCCATTGGTCTTCGGGGCGGCGTCGACGGTGGTCTTCTTGGTCTTATCGGCACCCTTCTTCTCGTTCTTCTTCAGAATTGACTTGGGGGTATCATCCTTGGAAGCCTCGGCGGGTTTGGCCTCGACCTTCTTGGTCTTTTTGGTAGGCGGCTCGCTGACGGCGGGGGCTGTTTAACAGGTTAGGGATAATGGAAAAAGAGAAATATATCCATTGGAGAATCAGACATACCCTTGCGCTTCTTATCCTTCTTATCGGGAGCCATTTTTGGAGAGATGTGATGTGAATTGAAGGCTGGAAACAATCGCCGTCTGGCCGAACTTTTTTTTTTCGCTGATTTGCGCCAAGGCGGTCAGCCCCCACAGCCATCGCATCCATCGGCCTGCAGCGACCCAGGCTCTCTCTTCCCTTTGCGATGCTCTTATTTCCCGGGAATCGGCCATGGGGAAGTCTAAGAATGATTCATTGAGCCACGAGGAGATATGGGACGATTCTGCCCTTGTGCGGTCTTGGGATGAGGCCGTTGAAGAGTACCAGGTGTGTTTTGCTCCCCGGCTCACGTGATCTTTATCTGACTAGGAGGACAGCTCTATCACAGCATCCACGCCAAAGGGGAGAATGTGGACGATGTCCTGAGAGAAGCTGAGGATGCTGGTATTACCAAGGATGTCGATATGAACGAAGACGAAACTATGGAGGGAACGGAGGGTGCAGCACCGACCGTCGAAGCCGAAGCCGAAGCCCAACATGAGCCTCAGGTATATATTGATCTACGATGCTTTTTTCATATGTCTGGCTAATGAATGTCGTCTCACCAGGAAACTCAAGATCAACCAATCGGTCCTCAGAAACCCCAGGCTACTGATATCAAACCAACACCGGCTTCGGCTCCAATTCCAGCAGCTCCGGCTTGTCCAACTATGCCGATGCCAGAAGCGGTCATGGCCAATGGTCAGTACCATATTGAATATGTCTACTATGGATCAATAAGCTAATCAATTTTCTAGTCCAAGATGAAAACTTGAAACGCCTGATGATGTCTTGGTACTTTGCCGGCTATTATACCGGACTTTACGAAGGGCAGCAGCAGGCTGGCCAAGGAAGAGCTGATTGCTTCGCAAGAATCCATGGATGGGGCTGCCTGTCTTGGACCATTATCTCGTTGATTTGCATATTGGCGAATAGATTAGCTGACATAATATACCCAAGAATTAACAAAGAGTTACAGAATTACGACTCAGAGCGCACCTTCGCAAAGCGTTAAAAAGAAAATTACAAAATGCTTGACCAACATATCAGTTGAACTGACGAGCTCTTCATTATTCATTCCAAGGTTGAGTAGTCTGAATCTAAGATAATAGGATACTAGTCTCGCCACTCAGTACAAGACCAGCTCATGATAACCCATTATCAAATGACCGCGACGACCAAAGACATACCTAGGTAACATACATAACTAACGCAAATTACCACATGTCCCTTGAAATTGTTCGCCGAATATATTGCAGATCCTGGTATCGAAATTCGTCCTTTCAATCATAAATCCACGAGACTAAATAGTCTCGGTGATCTACAGAGGACCGCCAGTACCGCCGAGGAGGCCACCAACAACGGGGAGCTTCCCGAGGGCATTGGGCACGGAGGACGGGTGGTGAGTGTGACTCGCGGTGGGGGTAGCGAAGTTGCCGGAATAGAGGTTCTTCTCAGTGGGAGTAGGGGCAGATGCGACCTTATTCTCCTTCCCAGCAGCAGCGGGATCCTCAGCCTTGCCCTTCTCTGCATCACCCTTCTGGGTGGTATCAGCAGCAGGGGCCTTCGCGGCCGCATCCTGCTTGCCTTTCTCGTTCCATTGGTCAAGACCGTCCATGATCTTGTTGATGCCCTGCATTTTGTTGTCAGTGGAATTGACCTATATCAATTCACTTGGGAGAAGGACATACCTCCAGGTTGCCAAGAGTCTTAGCAAGTCCGAAGCTGTGGCCCTCGTCGCGCTGGGTCACGGTGCCAGTAGGCGCAGACACAGCGCAGGTAGCCAGTACCAAGAAGGCGGCGACAAAGGACAGGTTGAGGCGAGTCATTGTGTATAATGTATGTGATTGAAAATGTAGGTCAGAGAAAAATAGTATGTTCAGGTGAGGATTTAAACGAGTGTATAGCCTGACAAGTAATGGTCTTCAAGGATAGAAAGAAGAAGAGAACTTGAGTCAGAGCGAAGGCCGACCAGCGCGGGCGACAGAGGAAGACATGCCACATTTATATCCAGCCCCTTCCCTCCCTGTTGTCGCAGGTTTGAACAGGAATGGGACATAGTTACAGGGGGGGCGAGATGAGAGGGTCCGGGTTGCGAGGAGTATTTGCGTGCTATATCGCGCCTTTCCGCGGTATTTTTGCTACAGACCGCGTAAACATCGGATTGCCTTTTCCCTGCGATTCGCGAAGAAGAATGGTACCTCTGGATGATGAGGGCCAATCTTGTTGTGCATCTGCATCTTTGCGCTTAAGCCAGGTACAGACTCGGGCAGCCCGGGCCCATAGGTACATTAAGTGATCTGCCACACCTTCACGCAAGGGGGAACTTGATCCAGTTAAAACCGCCAGGGTGAAAGAAGAGATCCAATGTAAATAAGAAGTGTGAATTTATGGCTGTCACATTCTAATCGGAGGGCCTGCCCCCGTGCAACTGTACTTGATCAACATCAAAAGATTGGGCTTCAGGATCAAGTCTATATCGCTCCGTAATGGGAAGACCGAGCGCCATTACCATTCAAGTTCTACAACAGAAGCAATACAGGACTTGGAATACACAGAGTTTAATCCAGATAAATGCTTTCATATTGTCTAAAATCTGAGCGACGCCTCGAGACCAATGTCGATCTCAATTCTATCAGCATTCCACACCCCTCGGGGGGATGCGAGCTTTGACTCAGCTATCACGAGGGACCGGGTAATCAGAAACACGCTCGGAACTACATCGTATAATTATTCAAGGAATGTACCTCCCTTCTTTGGCACGTACAGCCCCATATAGAGGGGCGGACGTAACACGGGGGAGCCTCCAGATGGATCTTGTCCAACTGTGAGGTCTCGCTTTTGGCAAGATTTTGACCTCAACTATCATTGAGAAATAGATGGACAAGGCTTCGAATCTGCCAAGAAAATAAAACGGTGCAGGCAGAGGGGGAAAGTGTTGGGGTGCGGAGGTCGGCGACATGGGCTACGGTGATGAGGACCTAGGTTAGTGAAATCAAGCGTGGACTAGCATGGTGCTTTGTCTTCGTATGCGCAGCCTCTTTCCTCGAGCCAATTGTAATGCACCAAGCGGAATAAACATCAAATTCTGCAAGAGCACGACAAATGGCTCACAGTCAAAAGGGCGCCAATGACAGGGTGGATCATTGCAAGCATGGATAGCCATGTCAACAATCGGCCCGTGGGTTGCACAATTTCCAAAAGAAACCCGAGGCTCAGGACCTTGAGATTTTGTTGGAATGGACAACCCGGGGGTTTCCCAAAAGGGGGTGTATGCTCCAAAGCGAACCCAACAATCGTGCAGTGGAAGGCAAAGCCCTCTCAGATCGAGAGTCGGGATTAGTACGAGCACGTCGTTCTGGGTCTCGTTCTAAAATTTGCTGGATGGAATAATGTCCAAGCGCAAGGGTATGATGGAGACCGTGTTTTGTAAGTAAGTTGAAGAAGCGAAAGGAAGAGAAAGGCTGTGCGTTGAGAAAACTCGGCGCGTCGTTAACAGATTAGTCATCCAGATTATGTCATATCTTACAACATGGTGGAGTTGGGTAATACGAATACGAATGGGCACTACTCAGTGACACCTCATTTGGCTATCTGAACACCCTATGTGTCTATTTAGAAAAGGTGCTGTATGTGTATGACACCGAACTACAGGGGCTTCATGTCTCACAGGAGATGTTTGAATAGCTTCACAGATTGCCAAAAGAGGAAGTAGTATTGGAATATTGCTCTTAGGCTGAGTAGTCGAAAGATGAGATAAAAAGATCATAATACTGTTGTATTCGCCGTCGGTCGCGATAAATGTCACCTACATCCCTTCCGAAACCTCGACACCTTCGACATGAATCTTCATACCCATCAGCTCCATGCCACCCTCGAAGAGCTTCAGTCTTCAACCAATACCCTTTGCCAGGAGCAGTAAGTGCAAGCCGGTTGGCTCCGCACACAATCTCATCTTCTCGCTCAGGCTCAGCCTTGATCATCTGAGTGTTCGAAACCCCTGTATCCGGTTCCCTCCGTCTCTTCTTCTTCCTCTTCCCTCAATCTCCGTCAGTTGGAGTATTGGACCTGCCCGGGTGGCTTCTGAGCCTAACTTCCTTGGTGATATTCTTCCTTATAGATTAGGTATGTCTTTCGCTCACACTCTTGACACGTGCCACAGTTGCTTTGCTTCCTGCCCCGGAAGATATAAGGAGTATGTCGAGAGGCATTGCTGATTTCGAGTATCAACTTGACGCTAACTCGACGTGATAGGAGGTGTCAGTCCCGATAATGTTCGAACGCCCCGCAGGGACGTATGAACTCGGCAACAGTGTAGCGGGATAGGAAAGTCCTTGACCTATGTAGATTTCTACATGTTCCGAGACGTCGACATGTCGAATCCCGCAGCCCTTGACTTATGCAGACTTCGAAAGGCTCCGAGACGTGAACATGTCAAATCGCGCTGCCCCCCTTGCCGGTCTCACCAGTTTTACCGGCTTCAATTTCATGGATTTAGGTTTTATTAACCATATGGAGCACTCCGGCTCTCACGAAATTCGTTGCCTTCAGACGGTCTTTACAGATGACAACTTGAAGGGCACACACTCACACCTTTGGCATTTCGATATTTCACCCACTAGTCCGGTGGACGACTATATCCCACAGTCCTACGTTACTGTACGGCTCTCACGAAATTCCTTGCCTTTGGTTGCTTCGGTATTCGAGATGTGGAGGTGGATAAGCGCGTTGTTATGATTGTAACTGTTGGCGAACCCACTTTCAAGGGTATCGTATTGGGCAAGCAGAGAGTATGTGATTGGGAGTTCTGGGTCTTTGAGCGTCTCCTGGATAGGTCCTTTCTATCACAGGAACAACCTTCTTCTCCGTCCGTGCCAAGAAATCGATCTTTATCCTTCAACTATTCTCTCGGACACTATTGAACGTCTTACGGATACATCCTCGGCTTTTCTTTTCCATGAGAAAGTGCTCGATGACTTGTCCAAATACCCAGGACTATGACAATTGCTTCAATCTCATTCTGTGTGTTGTGAGTACTAAGCTTTGAGATACCTTATGCTTGTACTTACATAACATCGTGCGGCCAGAATCCTACACGCTCGACAATCCCCTTACTGAATCAAACACTGAGTCTGACTCGGATAACAACTGGTCCCTCGAACTCTTTGACGACGACTATAAAAAGGTGGAGGAGGAAGCTAATTTTGCATTACTATCCCCTAAAAACCTTGGAAGGAAAAATTGGTGCTAACCAAAAATACCTACTGCCCCGCTGGGGACCAATAATTTGGTTAATATTTTTTAATTTGTATATTTTATCTGTATTATTACCATTACCAGTACCTTTCGGGGCCGACGACACCAATGCTTGTAAATAGGCAAAGATTCATTATTATTATTCAACAAAATTCAAGTCAATTTCCAATAAACATTGAACTAATATCCCGAGGGAACTCGAAAGAACAGTGGGGAGAGTCCAGGTCCAGGACTTATTGCCGATATGCTAGGACGGGCATCTGCTTCTCTCCCTCGCCGTGACCTAGACATTAAAGGTTTACCTCAGGGATGTGGAGTCCCTGGAGTTTTACATACCGATAGGTCATTTTCCAAGGTCGACTAACAGGCGCAATAGACATGAGTGCAGCTGAATGATCATCTGCTCGGCGAGCGAGCGGCCACCTTGGATGGGGCGGAGCTATAAAACTATCATTAGTACATGCTTTTCAAATACTTCAGGTATAGGATACATACCTTGTCGTCCACAATACCCTATAATTCAGGATCCAAATCAGTACAAAGTCAGAACTAAGAAAACACGACTATTTTTAGACTAAGGTATTACAACTTACAGCCTGCATCAGGTGGCTGATTGCTTGCACCCAAACGATTTTGGGGCAGTTCGTGGTGTTCGTGGTCAGATGACCACGGCTCCCACAACCCTTACAGGGGTTGAACCGTTTATTATTATTATTATTATTATTATTATTATTATTATTATTATTATTATTATTATTATTATTATTGTGCTATACAAAATGTTAGCATGTGAATATGACAAGGCTTAAATGCTCGCTAAAGGGAGGGGATTAGACTTTCAACGGAGCCAGGTCCATCCCCCTTCTCCTTTTGAGGCACCACCCCCAGCAGAGCTGCTGGCTGCAGTAGCAATTTCGGCAGCGGACATGTTTTATTCTTCAGAAAAACTTTCGTTTCCCACTGGAAAATGGAGTTTCCAGACAACGAGAAACATGATGGACGGGGCTGTGCGGAGTGTACGGAGTGAATATGGAAGAAGTAATGGATGTTATTCAGTGCTATGGAAGATGAGAGGGAGGTCCCGTGACCCTCGAGGAGGAGAGGAAGGAACTTCAAGCTATAGATGGCAGGAGCGAACAGTACTGATGGATTTCTCACTGCCGCAAATAACGTGATCGTTTTATTCAGCGAAGTCTCATAGAGCAGTGGTCTGTTAGAGAATAGTTGGGCAATGGGTATCTCCACTCATAATAACACGGTCAAGAGTTTGTAAGCATAATATAACCCAGTATCTGCCTAGTATCCTACCAAGTATCCTACCAAGTAATGTACTCAATACTCTAAATAAGTAGGGTCAAGTACCTAGGTAATTTGTATATGTAGAATAGCTTCCACTGAGGGCTGGGAAATCTTTGATCGATCCAGGCAGAAATAACGTACTTAGGTAACAGGGTCAATTACCGCTAGTATAGAGTGCCATAGGCGAGTTGAGGACAGTAGAGGGGAGTGATAGGTCGCCAGATTCTCGAGGTATAATCCAGCTCTGATGTTTTACTACTTATTTGTATTTTATCGAAAATTGCACTGGGTGGTTTCCTTGGATCGCTAATACTCCTACTAGACAAGGCAGTGTATTGAATAAATGTAAATTGTGGTATTAATGACAGAGTGCAGGTGGTTGCACGAATTTCGGGACGCATTGTTTTAGCTTCAGTTTCCCAACATGTTCAAGTCAAAGGTCCTTGTCTTCCGACTTGCGAATGAATCTCCACTTTTCCCAAACTCCAGGGGTATCCATGCCTCAAGGTAAACTATGTGATTGTCCGGTGGCGACCGAGGCCCGGGGAGTTCGGATAGCCTATCCAACCTTATCGGTTCGACCCAACATTCCTTCTCCACCCAAATAACGCACCGCGGCCATTGAAACAACTGTTTTATGACGAGTTGGAACTTTAAAATACCAGTAGCCTATTCGGAAGGCGATTGTCCTAGTGGTCTCATACTCTTGGGCGCTTGTATGACAGCTCAACATATTGAGCCAAGAGGCTACCCCGCTTGATATAAGATTCGCATCCCAGTCCTTATTGATCTCTCAAGAAATCAAACCAGGCCTACAATCCATTCCAAGTTAATTCCGATCTCTTAAACCCTCAAATCAAAACCTTGACACCATGCAAGAACCAACCTACGATTCGACGTATGTACCATATCCAATATCTCACTACCTGGGCGGCACGAATCAACCTGAACATGAACTGAACTAACAAATCCTCTAGCCGCCCGATGCCGGCCATCGAACTCGTCTCTCAATACAAACTGAACGTCTCCGGGATCAACGGAAAGACTGTCTGCGCCCTACGCGTGGTCTTCCCTCCCAATGGCTCAACTCCTCCTCACAGGCATGGAGGTTGCGCCGTGTCGGCGTTCGTCATCTCGGGCACACTATTGAACAAAATGAACGACTCTCCGATGAAGGTTATTGAGTCCGGCGGGACTTGGTACGAGGCTCCTGGCTGCCACCATCGAATCAGCGACAACGCAAGCAAGACCGAGGAGGCCGTTCTCCTGGCTACTATGATCGTCGACACCGAGGCATTTGAGCGGGATGGAATGGGCGCTCTTATTCAAATTGACGAGGAATATCGCTGAGGAATTCTCAGGCTAAAAAGACGGAGTCGGAAAAAAGTTAATCTAGATGGAAATGTGATTAAATTGAATTCGATCGACGTAATGAAATATTATTCTTGTTCTGTAGGACTTTACTTCGATACTAACGGAGGAGAAGAAAGAAGAAACAATGATGGATATTTTAAATAAAAGAGAGTGTAAGGAAAGTCCGCAATCAATCAAATCAAAGCAATACACCATATCCAACTCCAACCGTGCCCCATTAACGCCATGCGCTCCCAGAAAAACAATCATATCTTCAACTCGAGTGGCCCGCACTGCGTACTACTTCCCCCGCCTAAACCATATTAACCGCATGAGTCTGCCGCATAGAAGGATGATACGTCTCCTCAGGAAACGGGATGCCCTCCGAGTTCCGCGAATAATGCGACGAAGCCGCATCATCGTTGTTCAGCGGCGGCTGGAGATGCGCGTGGTCTGCAGCGTCATTGCTCCGCATCATGGGGCCGGAGATCTTGATCGGGAATCGGCCCGTGAAGCGCTTCGTCGCTCGCTTCAAGGCATTCTCGCGTGCGGGTTCGGGAGTGTAGGTTGGTGGGTGCGGGTTCGGGTATTCCTCGCGCTTGATTCCGAGTTGCAGGGAGCGTTGGCTGCTTGTTCGGCTAATTACTTGGTCTTTGGCACCGGCGCCGTAGATTCGGACCTGGCGGGCGCTGACGTGGGGTTTGCGGTGGCTGAAGATGAAGGTCTGGGGGCTATTTGTTAGAAGGTTTGAACCAGCGAGACTGGGATGAGGTGGGATTCTTACTGCCAGGATATTCAGCACGCTCATTACCATGGCTAGGATTCCTGCTGAGATGACAATGCGCCAGAATGCGAGGCCGAGGGACTCTTGGCTCATTGCTTCGGTGTTCAGATTGCCTAAAACGGCGACACCGAGGATCATCATGGCCAATGCCAGACCGAGGAAGCCTGCCTCGTCTCCGAAGAGTGGCCAGTTGTTATTGAAGTAGTCCCGGAGGATGGGGAGCTCGGTGATGATCAAGACGACTGATGGGGTATAGTTGTCAGGATATCAATTTGCAAGACTTGGACGGGATGAATGGATACTCACTGCTAATCAAAGCCATAACGGCATGAGTCACGGCTTGGAAGAAGAAGAAGCCGTTCCGCATGTCGATTTTGACCTCCATCACAACGCAGGAGGCGATGATATCGAGGAAGACAATGATATTAAGGGCGCGGATGGCGTTCAGAATCACGTACCCTGGACCAGCCAAGGATTCCTTGAGTTTCGCCATCATACCAGCGGAGTCGGTAGATAAAACTGCGCAGGAAGAAAAAACAAGAAATGAAGCTGAGTCCAAGAACTCAAAAATGTAATATTGCAAGCGAGACTTGGCTCGCAGGGTCGGGGGAAGACTTTTATGGGAAGGAAGCAACTGGCCAGCCGGAAGCTTGTCGACCCATAAAGTAGAGAGGACAAAAGGACAAAGACGAGATCAACTCGAGCACTTTGAAACGAATGAGACAGAAGGAGAAGAAGAAGTGGAAGAGAAGAAATTGAGCTGGCGCCGGGGAATATCTAGTTTTCATCACCATGCCATTCACCTCATTCACACCCGGGCCATTGAGGCATTCAGGGCGGCTATTATCTCATTTCCAATGCGGACAATGGAGCCTGAAAATAGAACCTGAAACAATTGACGGAGAGTTGATTCAGGCTCAGGCAAGTCCTGGGGGCTATTTTCGGAAGTGAAAGAGATTTGCCTTGTTAGGCGGGTTTGTTTGTTTCATCGGGGGGAAGTTAGGGCAACAGACTGCCCTTGGCATAGTTACGCGCAGAGCTGTCAGATCTCAAATGCGATCGGAAGGAAGGATTGGCAGAGAGTTTCCGGAGGATTGCAAGGTGAAACTTCCAGTGGCCCCGTTATGAGCGAGGTGAGTGACATGTCTATTGGGGATGGGAGATATACTGGTATGACTACTGTCTGTTCCTAAGGTTAGCCCTAAGTCGGGCAGCTCGTGTTCCCAAACCAACAATCTTCAGCCCATAGTTTACAGCCACTCAAAAAAGGACACCTCTCATGGCATTCACCCACATTCTGATTGCAATAATAGCATTTTCCTGCAGGATCCAATCGACCCATTCGAAACAGTGCGGCTCTAGGCGCCCAATCAGACCAACAGGCCAAGCGCCAGGAGTTCGTGCTGCAGAGTATCTAGCTCCTTCATTTCGGCAACCAAAACCACCTTGGGGAATTAAAATAATTATTAAACCACCCTAGGCTGCTTATCATGATAATTATTATTCGGCCATGGCGCAAGTTGAGCCTTAACCTAAGCCTAAGGCTAGTCGATGTGGAAGAAGAACCGGTTCCAACCTCGGAACCTCGAAAGATGATTCGCCCCTCTAAAATCTCACGATAAACGCCCGCCCCTCCTTCTTTTCCTTTTTTCTCTCTCCCTTTCTCCCCCACCTGTCTCCGATCTCCAATCTCCAGTCCCTTTCCTCCACTAATACTCCCTCCCTCTTCTTCCATCCTTTTTTGAATCCACCATGACCCGGGGTAATCAGCGCGACACCGATCGGGCCAAGGCCCAAAAGAAGGCCAACGCCACGGTTCGTCTTCCCCCGATGCAATCAATATCTATACTCCGTACTTCCCCCAGCTGACTCCTCCCAGAAAGGAAAGAACACCATGTCCGGGTCTGAGTTCCAAAAGACCAAGGAGGATGCCGCAACCATCATGCGCGAGAAGCAGAAGAAGGGTGAGTCTTCCCACCGTCCCCGGGCCGAGCGTGAATGAAGAACTACAATCTAACCCGGTTTCTCCTTGCCCAGCCGACGAGAAAAGAGCAGCTGAAGCAGCAGCTGGTGGGAAAAAGAAATAATCTGTCCTAGCTCTCCCCCTCTACGCCTTGTCGTCGCCGACCCCCTCTCTGCACATTTCCCGATCCGCACACCCCGGCTTTGGAAGACTGGGTCCGAACAAATAAACAAGCGCATCCCATTGAACATTTTGCTCGCGCTGAATGCGCAGGATAGGAAAGGCAACGCGATCTTTTGGCACCCTTCTTTGGCTTCATGCCGCGACTAGCGAGGAGTTAGCAACGGCGTTTTATATACCAGCATACACATACTTTTCCCCAAACACATAGCGAATACACTACGAGTCACGAATATTGTGAAATAGCTTTGTTTTTCTTCTCTTTTTTACATATCTAGATATTTTTGACATTTCAAAGATCTATCGAGTGGAGGATATTGATCAGGATTGATCGTATCTTGCGCCAGATGCTGCTGTTCCTGCTGCCCAGTATGCCTGCGCTCGAGAGAGCCGGTTGCGCCAGGGCCATTTTGGCAAAGGCAGCCCGGTGTCATTGGGAATTATCTTGTCCGATTCATCGCAGAAAGCCTCACTGACCACAGATTCCAGACCGAATTGTCGACTCGCCTGATCAACAAACGTCCACAAACTCTCCCCTTCCCACCCGATCCTCAGCGCGTAGCGAAGAACACGCCTCACTGCGCCGGAACGAAGATCTGTATCTGCACTCTGGACTAGCAAGTATATTAAGAACATCCAGCCGGATATATCCCGCGGGTTGGACAGGCACCATGTCAGCGTCGGGTCCACCAAGCTTGCCGCGGCATAATCCGTCTGGCCCGCATCTGCAGCGCCCTGTTCTTTGCTGGCTTCTGCAATGTACGAATGCAGGTTACGCATATAGGTAAAGGCATAGTAATTCTTCGGATGTAGCACTCCTGCACGAAGCACGATATCGAGCTCTGCCCGTTCGAGCTTTAACAGGGTCGACGCCGTAGGCCTGCGCATCCTAGTCAAGAGATCCAGCACCCATGATCGGTGGGACCAAAGGGTGGGAGACTTGGTATGTCGATTTAATGGCGAGCATTGATATGTTTGCATGAGCGTGAGCTCCGTCTCCAGCATAGCTTCAGGTGAGGAGGATGAAGAGGCGGGCTGGTTGGTCTTATTGTGGTGCGAGATAGCCGCCAGCAGCCATTTCTTGCGCCAGTTGCACGCGGTGAGATGTTCGCAATCGAATAGTAACATGATTGCTGTGATTATATGGTTTGGAACCTCTGGTTCGGTACTCTGGTTCAAATTCGAGACCTCTGCGTCAAAGTCCTTCGAGGTCATGGGCATCAGCCGCTTGGTGAAGAGCTGTCGGGCGACGGTGAAGGCCTGCACCAGGAGTTTCTTGGTGATTCCGACCGAGGTGCCATGTTTCAGAAATGGGTCTCCTAGGCCTGAGGGGATGATCTCAATTTCTAGAAGGTCGTTACCTCTGGAAGTGAAGAGGTCGACAAGTAGGTGGTATGCGTCCTCGGGAGTCGTCATTGGGGAGTCACGTATGGGTAGATATTGCTATGGTTCATGGTCTGCTCTTTTCGTAATGTGTTCAAGTCGAACCGAACAAGAGAAAGAAACCCAAGCGAGTGCGGGTAGAAGAAGAAAGACGTGATGTGATGTGATGCCCGGGGAGAACCATCCAAGGCGGAAACCCACACCTGCGGAGTGTCAAGTGTTCATCATCCGCCAACCCCTCGCCGAACCCATCCTACTTGCGACCTACCACCGCACAACACCCAAGTCTGCCCTCTGCGACGCCGCTCTCTCGCCTCCGGCTACTCCAGCCACTCCGATCGACTTTGCATTCCGGTCCGCTGTGCCCGCCGCAACCCCCGCCGCCATGCTGTCCCTCATCTTCATGGTGCTCTTCGTGCACGTTGCAATCTACCTGGTCAACACGATCGGCGCAACCACAATCGACAGCTTGGTACGTTTACATGAGATCGGAGAAGCAGACATCTGATGTTCTCTATTTATCAATACCTACCGTCCCCACTGCATCGCCAGCCCAAGCGCTTCTTCAGGCTAACTAACACACTCTTCATAGCTATGGCACCTCTACCTCAAACTCCCAACCTCGACCTCGAGAAAGGCCCGCGAGCAGCAGCACAAGAAGCAGGAGGCTGTCAAGCTCAAGCGCGAGATGAACAACACCAGCTCGCAAGATGAGTTCGCCAAGTGGGCCAAGCTCCGGAGAAGACATGACAAGAGCATGGAGGAGTACGAAGCGATGAGTACGTGTTCTCAATTCTATTCAATCCTGAACCAAAAAATCGAGCAATCGCATCGAAAAGACAGAGAAGAAAGACCGAAGAGAAAGATTCCAAAGCTAACATCCCCCTCCCACAGACAAAGCAGTCTCATCCCAAAAAACCTCCTTCGACTGGGCCGTCAAAATCGCCCGCTGGCTCAGCACAACCGGCCTCAAGATCTTCCTGCAATTCTGGTACTCCAAGACCCCCGTCTTCGCCCTGCCGCCGGACTGGTTCCCTTACTACGTCGAATGGATCCTTTCCTTCCCGCGCGCTCCGATCGGACACGTCAGTATTCAGGTTTGGAGCAATGTGTGCGCGACCACGATTGCGGTTGTGGGCGAGATTCTTGGGGCTGTAATTGCGCAGGCCCTGGCACCGAAGCAACAGCAGAAGCAGAAGCAAGAAGCCGCTGCTGCTGGACCCGAATCAAACTGGAAGCCGGAGGAACTAGATTAGGGTGGCGATGGAGAAGGCGCAGTGAGTAAGGACCTGCGGGTTATGATTTCTATGTATGGGTGTACGGTGTACTTATATTGGGAATGGACTCGGATCTCATGGGGAGTGACTTTCTCACGTCCGACGTTGTTATGAGTATTGCATAGCTACTGCATTAAAGTTCAGGAATCATTTTGATTTTAGCATGATAAAAAATTCAATTGGGTATAATGCTATAAAACTCCACGCCGCTTGAAGGTCTTTCCACAGGCAGTGAATTGTAGATGTTCATCAGATATTTTTAAATCGTTTCTCGTCAAGGATCCCTCTTGGGGATCTCGGGGCTTGACTCTATGATTGGTATATCATCCCGCGAACAAAAACAAAACAAAACTCATGGCGAAGACTCTCTTCAAGAAAAGTGAGAAGAAGTTGAAATAAAGTCCGACCCCTTCGACAGGGCTTCTGCACCGAGACCAACATCAATCTCAGCACCGCTTTGCCATAAGCTACAGACTTGAAAAATATCGGAACTCCTCGCCTCAAGAATGAGCCCCATTGAGTTACCCACCATACAACACCGAAGTGTCGACGGCGGGCAATCGCATGACTATCGAACCACGACGAAAGGCAACCCGATACAAGAGAGACCGAAATCCCCCTTCCCCCCCTCCGACACGAGCCCACCACCCCATTATATCCAGTAACCCCAAAGAGAAACCGTCGGGTGGCAAGACGCAGTCGGGATGGGATAGGGCAATAAGCCGCTATCGAATTGCTTCTATGGCGGCGCGTTTCCGCAATGCCTGGCTTGGACTAACTCCGATCCGAAAATCAAAGTGCAGGTTGTCCGGGGACTTTCCCCAAAGCGAGTTTTGTGTAAAAAGGAAGAGAGTATCTTCCTTTCGTGTGTGAGCTTTGAATGCGATCCTTTGAGCGAGGAGTTGGGAGGAAGGAGAAGCTGCTGTGGGTTCCGCCATATTTTTTTTCTTATGTGCTAGCTGTCATGTGATCGCTAGCACTACTTGGGTTAGTCTGGCCGATCCCGTGACTTGAATGGATATGTGGGGCTCTGGTTATCACGCATAGCGGACTGGTAAGCTCAATGTTTTTGGAGTCAACATCTCTCCAATGGCTTCCTCTATCACCTCCTTCCATCCCTCTCCATAATACCAAATCCATTGCTTCCATCAGCACTACCGCCATGTGTAAACACAGTACACTCCATACAGCATTACTGGACCTCAACTACTTCCTTATTTAGTTACTGTCCAAGTGTGTTGATGAATCTGCCCATACTCAATCGCTACTATCCTTCTTCGAGGTAGGAATAAAAGGGTTAGAGATAGATAATTATTTCGGTTAAGCAACAAGAAATCCGAAAGCTACCTGATCTCCTCCATCTCTCAAGATAATTCATTTGGTCTCTTCTAGCATAATGGGCTGTCTCTCAATCCATGCAGGAATCTCAGCCATGATCGCAGCAAAAGAATGAATGAGGTCTCTAGAAGATGGATGCTCGTAATGATTGTATTCATAGGTCATCGCAACCGCTGCATGTTGTGGGGTCGAAATCCAGGTGATAGGCTTCTTGTACTTCTTTTCCTTCTACCAGTATTCCGTAGCGAGCTATATTTGGATTAGCAATCGGGGCTTGGTCTCCGTAGTATAAATGGGATGCTAACTTTTGAAAACATCAGCACATAGGATATTTTCATCCTCGTGAAAAGACTTCAGCCTGCTGCCGATAACGAAGTGAATATCCTCTCTATCCATCTGAAGCTTCTCACCTCCTCCGTACCATGCCCCCACCCCCCCCAGTGCCTAAAGTATGTCTCGTTTGGGATCCACGGAAGAATTTCATTGGTCAAAACCACCACGGGCAGAACTTTGACTTCAAACCCAAATGAGTGGAGCGCAGTATACATGCACAGGTCGGCGCCCTTCAAATACTGCGGAAGAAACATCCTAACAGCCGGAGATGCGTGGGGGTAAGCGTGGGCATAAAATATCCCGAGCCTGTAGATACCTGGTTAGTTACTTTGATTCTAAGGGACTAGAATCTTGTTCGGAAGATAATCACCTATTTTCATGAAACCCGGAGTCTGAAGAGTATCTCTCAAGAGACCATACAACGGTAAGGGTCTAGCATCAAGGACTGTAATAGGGGGGCTTTGATACCTCCACCTTAGCTTACAGATTGTAGGTCATGGTGATGCGGTGGCCTTCGCTGACTCTCTTGATCTCGTGCTCGCAGTTGCTGTAGAAAGCAGCCCATTGGATACTGTCCGTGCTGTGGTCTGCCCATGAAAAATCCACATAGCTTCCATTGTGGCCAACGGTCAAGTTTCCACCTTTGAATGGTGACGGCAGACAAACTACCACAGTACCAATCTGGTTCTCGGAGCACGTGCTGTCAATATGATTCCGGAAAAGACTAGATGGGCCTGAGTAGACCTAATATAGTCAGCAAAAGAAATGAATTTATTTACCTGTATCGCCAGTCGAAAGGTACAAAAGCAATACAGCACAACTCACATTCAGTTTTTTAAGCTCCGCCTCAACCCCTCGAGGTACGAGCCACGCATTTCCAGCGTCGATATTGCGAACTAGGATCTGGGAAACTTGATCAAGGATACCGTAGTCTGCAGGGTGAAAGGTGGTAGAAGATTTACTCGACTCCAGCTTCCCTGCCTTTCGGTATTCGGAGTCTATGACCAACTCGGATTCTCTTCCAAAGCCTGCAGGTTCACAGCCAGCAACCAGCTGGTGAATTGAGTTGTTGCTCTTGTTATTGTTTTTCTTTCCCTCTTTCCTTTCTTCTTTTTCTCCCCGGTCTTGGTCTTGGTTCTGTTGTCGCTATTCTTTTTGCTAGGATTGGTGAAAGGGAGATCAAGTTTCCCTAATATTCCTTGTGAGTCACCTTTGCCGGACCAATAGATATTGATCAGCTTCCCGGTTCTGATAGGGATGATCCCCCCCACAGAAAAATGAGGCGAACCCTTTTTCATCAGCAAAAATTTGTTCGATCTGACGGCAAACTTCCTTGAATGCAAGCTCGGACAGTGAGGGGGCGGGCTGCTTTTTGGGAGTCGCCTCTTTTTCGGACATTTTGGGCGGTTCAAGGTTGATGGATTGGCAGAAGTGGTCAGGTGTTAGGGTGAAAGATAGAAGAATTAAGAAGAAGGGAAGATGGACAGTAGAAGTGATTGAGATGTAAGTATAAAGGGAGGGGAAGTAAGCAAGGAAGAATTTCAACCTTGAACCCAACGGAACGCAGAATGGCATACATTCCAAGGTCAGCACCTTTCAAAGACGTGGATGTAGGTTTTCCGCACCCTCGGATGGGTGAAGATAAGCATGCGAGCAGAAAGCCCCAAGTACCCAGCCTATTTTCAATCAGTAGGACCCAGTGACAGCACTCGTTCGAGAAAAAAAAAGGCTTACCGTTTGGCATAAACGCACGCGTCTGAAGGGTATCTTTCGATAGTGGATACAAAGGCAAGGATCTCACGTCCAGAGGTGGGATCAAAGAATTTGGCCCTTACGTTTGCGCATAGAGCTTGTAAGCGAGTGTCAGTCGGTGTCCTTCGGTAATAGGCTTCATCACCTGTTGAGCATCGCTGAAAAAAGCGGACCGTGTTACCCGGGGGAAGTTTTTTGTTCCGGAGTAACAAGTCGTTTATCTATAGCCCAAAATGCCTTTCACATTTTTTCACGTCTAGAATATGTTACTCCTAATACTACTAGTACTAGTGCTACCTGGGTATTGAAAACAGTTATTGGTATGAGAGTCACGGTAGATACTAGTATAATACCTACTAGTAGTGTTGAAGCAGCAAAGTCTGGCACAAGACTCGGACGATACAGATATTTGAAGCATGTATATTTTTCCAAGGTTCACTGCCTGCCAGTGCTTCAATTGGAACCGATCGGATATCATTTGTGCTCCCACAACGATCATTCGAATCCACTTTATGCATGGCAAATCCCGGTCGCTGTAGTAGATTCGGAGGTCCCGTCGAAGTGTACATGCGCTGATGATGTTGGAGTAGATTTTCGGCGCATAATACGCAAGGAATTCGATGTCGTGAAGCAATCCGTCATCTCGGATCATGGTAATTGTCACTTTCCCGTCACCAAGCGCTTCTCCTTCTACCCCTCCGGACGTTGACCATGTAAAGGCATCCTTTCCGAGGGCGACGTAGTCAGTGAAGAAATCTCGATTCATGCGGACATGGAAGTCTGCACCTGTATCCATGAGCCACTGAAGCTTTCCGTCTTCAGGCAGAACACGAACCTGGGGTTCTGCTGGGCGGATTTTGACAGAACGGCTGCGTGCTGCAATCATCATCATGCCACTTCGGAAGCGACTGATCAATTGATTATCAGATAGTCCTCCTTCACGACGGATGTATGGTGTGGAGGGGACCGTAATTCCCATGTTGTTGATTGTGTCGAAGAATGCGGTCATATCCATGCCCGTGTCATTTCGGAGGTCCAGCTCACGCGGAGCTTCTGGAACCTCTTCAGGAGTCCCATTCGAGACAATTAGTTTCTCAGAAGAGTCTGCAAAGATACCTAGTAGGTACTTCGGGTTGCACCTTTCCTGCTACAGATCTTCCGTAGATCGAGTCCCAGGGGAAACACATCAACTTTGAGTGTAGTTACATCCTACCTATCAGTCATACTATAGTAGATTAGAAGATCTCAGGAAGTATTGATCTTAAATGCTATTGTAATAAATACTAGTAGTACTATATACATGGACATACCTAGTAGGTAGTAGAATTTAGATACCATATATATACCTAGGTATGACTACTAGTAGTACAAGTAGTATTGTATCTCCACTCTCCTCTTTGCTCTTTGCTTTGGTTCGGGTGTTGGGTTGGTTCAAGTTCTTTGCTCTCAGGCTACTGGCATATTGATTGCTCGCTCTTTATCATATATACCAATCCAATTCATCTACCTTTGAATATCCCGTATATACCAACTATAGTATTCTATAAGGGCAACCTACTAGTACTTGGGCATGGATGTACAGAGGCATGGAAGTATACAGTGGAGCGCCAAGACCGCCTTTGGGGCCAACTTCATGTTGTTCCACAACTTCATGTTTGGCTCACTCTTTGACATCGCGTTTCTCTATACCCACTTCCCTCTCCTTGCATCCCATGAAATAAATATCTGCTCCTAATTTCCGCCACCATGGCTGGAATAGAAATCCCTTCTTGGTCGACGTGAGTGTAACGCTAAACTGTCCTTATCCTTACCCTCACCCCCCCTCTAACCATGTCCGCTGGCCTCAGCATCAAATCAATCGCAATCTTCTTCGCCCCGATTGTTCTTCCACGCCTTTTAGTAGCATATCGTTCTTTCAATGCATCTGTCGCTTCTCGCCCACCACCACGCCCAATCCCCCAGGGTGCCGAACGAGCGTTGAACCTCCTCTTCGTTGCCATCTCTGTCTACATCGTCCTCAGCTTCCCCTTCACAGCCTACGCGCCCGAAAAAAAATATCCTCCAGCTCACCAAATCGCGCATCACGACCTCCACTGATGTACTCTTCACTCGCCTCGCACGACTTCGACCTGGTGAGACCTTGACCGCCGCCGATGAGCTCCTCAAACAGAGTCTCACCTCGATAAGCGCCCGCAAGATCTACCTTGCCTTCGGACCGGACACCATCACCAAGTGCGAGTTCTGCTCGATCAATACGCCATCCACCTATCTCTTCTTTTACCTCCCATTCCAGGTCCTTCTGCCGCACCTGGTACATATTCTGATCTTGTTGATCGCGACATCAAAGGTCCTCTCAGGCCCCGAATGCGCTCGCTGGCGAGGCAAGTTCACCCTCGTTGCGTCTTTGGTGGCATTCTGTGATATCTACATCGCAACCACCCATGATGCCCTGGCGGGGGGATCAGCCCTGGATAGAGCAGCCAAGAATTCCCTCGTCGGCTATGGCTATTACTACATTTCTACCTTGGCTCGGCCCTTCGCTTTCGGTGTGTTTGACCTGGGCTGTGCGGCCATCATCTACCTCTCTTCGACGCACCGATTCTTCTTCAAACAACCGTCTTCTTCAGAACAGTTGGACCAAGGGGTCTCGGCAGCCTTGAAGATGTTGACCGGCGTTCAGTCAAAGCTCCACGCCACGAGTGTTACCCGCAACGCTATTGTGCGGGATCGGTCGCTCAAGCAGCGCGACGATGCATACTGGCAAGCAATCGCGGCGGTGGAAGACCGGACTCGAAGTGGGGGGGACGAGCGCAGGGCCGGGGCAAGGAGGTACAGGCGCAGGTGCAGATGCGGGCACGGGTCCGAGTACGGTGGTTAACAATATCTGGGAAGAGCCGGAGGTGGTGCAGGCCATGTCGAGGGCACTTACTGGTCATGGCGGCGTGGATCTGGCACAGTTGGGGATGAGTGCGCAGGAGTTTGTTCGCGGGGCGACGGACGGGCTGGACTAGGGTGTACGTACAGTGTACAGTACAAGTATATAGAATAGAATCACCGTATCCAATCCCCTTTTCTCTCAACTGTCCAGTGCACACAATTGCCCTCCGCTCATTCGATTAAAATGATGAGGCGGTGTGGAGCGTCGATCATCAAGTGAAACGAAACGAGCTCAACCGCCTTCCCCTCCACCTCTTTTCCTCTCCTTGGATTCTGGCAATCCTGGGATTTTTTTCTTTTTCTTTTCCTTTTCGAGAGTCCATGAACCCTGGATCTCTGATCTCTCGCTATTCCCTCGTTTTTGGTGTTTATGGCAATATAAAAACAGCAACAAACAAACAGACTCTCTCCCACTCAACCTTGTCCCACCCAAAAAGTGACCGCGGCCCACGAAAGAGTCTCGACTCGACTCGACTCACCCTCCGCCTTTTTTTGGCTACTCTCCTCCTCTTCTCCCTTTTTACCCCGTCTCCACCCACTTGAACATACCTCTCCAACTGGTCTTATTCCAGTTGCGACTTCCGCCATGGACAAGGAGACAGCCGCCTCGGAGCTCAATGTCTATGTCTCCTCCCCGAATGGCTCCCGAACCAAGGAGACCACGTTCCGGGAATGGGTGGTCAACAACCAGATTGGTACGCTATTGTTTTACTGGACATCCTGGCCAATTCGTTTGCTCGCTGTGGCATACAACCCTGCCATGGTGAATGCAAATAAACGCTGGTCCCCCTAATCGCAGCCCTCTGGCAAGATTTCCGCTAACCACTCTTGGCGCTGCGCAGGTATCTCCCTGACCATCCTGGCGATGTTGCTGGCTCTTCATAACCTTTACCCTTCCTTGCGTCCTTATACTCAGCCCTTTTTCGAATTGTCCTACTATGACCCCGCCTCCGGCACGTACATTCAGGGCTGGGACGATGTCTACTTCGTATTCAGTGCGGCCCTCGCACTTACTGCGGTCCGCGCCATTTCAATTGAATGGATTTTACAGCCATTGGCCCGCCAATCTGGCGTGAAACGAAAGGCTTCCGTTCGCATTGCGGAGCAGGGCTGGCAAGTTATGTACTACAGCTTTGTCTGGGCGACGGGATTGGTATGTCTTTTCCTTTCCCGCGGCGACATGAGTGAAACTCGTTGGGGTATTGAGTATGCTAACGCTGGATCCGATAGTACCTCTGGAAGAACTCAAACTACTGGTTTGATTTCAGCGCGATTTGGGACGAATGGCCAGCTCGTCCCATGTCCGGCCTGATGAAGTGGTATTTGCTTGTCGAATTGGCCTTCCTTATTCAGTCCATCTTCATCATTCATGTCGAGGAGAGACGCAAGGACCACTACCAAATGTTCGCCCACCACATCATCACCAGCACCCTCCTCACCTCCGCTTATATCTACGGTTTTTACAATGTGTCCAACGTGGTACTTTGTCTGATGGATATTGTGGACTTTCTTCTTCCGGTACGTTACAATCACTGGCCCTCCACTCCTTCTTGCGGTACATTTACTGACAATTCCCCCACAGTCCGCCAAAATCCTCAAGTACCTCCATTACCAGAACGCCTGCAATGTCGGATTCGGCATTTTCATGTCCACCTGGTTCATCACACGGCACGTCCTTTATAATATGCTTTGCTGGAACATCTACAAGAACGTCCCCGCCAGAATGGCTTTCGGAACGTACCAGTACGGCAAAATGATCACCACCAACCCCTACCCAGACGCCTTCATGTACCTCTTCGCTCCATTCTTCAACCTGGAGAACCCCGTTTGCATGAACCCCACCATCAAGTTCATCTTCTTGTCCTTCCTCGTCTCGATCCAGCTTCTCTCCGTTGTCTGGTTCACTATGATCGTCCGTGTCGCCTACACAACCATCACAACCGGCGCCGCAGAGGACAGCCGCAGCGATGAGGAAGACGAGGTCGAGGTCGACCCCGAAGCTACTGCCAACGGCACCGTGCGGCTGGCCGCGAAGGATGGCGTTAACCCTACCCCTGTCGCTGTCGACACTGCCCCCGGCTTGGACCGTCGCCGGTCGAATGGGTCCACGTCAGTTCGTGCCCGAGGGCGTGGCCGTGTTCCTTTCGACCAGAGTGATCGCAAAGCTCTACTGGGACGGATCGGGTGCGAAAAGCCTACCTAGAAGAAAGTAGACTATCGTCTTCCTCTCATGTCCTATTTTTCGATTTTGTTAATTTTTCCCTTTTTTTCCCACCCTTTCTTATCTATTTTTCCTCTTTTATTTTCTCGAACATCAACACGAACCCTCGCATTATGACGAATCCACTTCGAGTCCCATATTTTCTCCTGGCATGCCGTGACGCCCAATCTTGCTGCAGCCGGATTTTATCCTATAGCTTGTCCTTTCTAGTCGTGTCTCGCATCGTCCCGCAATCACAAATCCGTTTTGTTCGTGTTCGTGCTCGTTGCGGTGATGGAATGGGACCTTCTGGATAGGAATTATGATCGCGCTGCTGATGAAATGAAGTGTTCGACCTTAACGATTTCCAAATTTGCCGTTACTCCAAAAATTCCTAGTTTCTTCTTATTTATGTGGGCAAGGGCCATCCCTGATTGATGAGTCTGCTCGAATCCTCCCTCTCACTCAAGTCCCATTATATCCCTGCTTTTCTGGCTTCATTTTCCAGCTTCTGCGTTGTGTTTTTTTTTTGTTTCGGAGGGGTATTGGGTGCGCTAGTTTATCTCTCCAGTACATCTTTTTCTTTTTAGGGGGGTTTCAAACGGGTGGGAGGTTTCGTTCGGGTATATGCCTTTCTTTACCTCATTTCATTTTTTTTCTGCGCTTCGTTTGTTTTTCCTCAAATGGTTAGAGATCCAGATGATAATACCCAATGGATGCATTTGATTTTTGATTCTATAGATTTCAGTTTGCACAACTATGTACACACTCTGGGCATGCATAGTGCACACATTAGTTGGTGAGTTATGTACTGCATGTTAGATATGCTGTGGTCAGCACTCTACTTCTGGGCCAATCATTGTGGATTTTTATTGCAACCGTGTTGTTTGCTTTGGTCCAATCAGAGATTGTGTAGAGAGATATGTCAGTGCCATCAGTTGCCACTCGTTTCAGCTGTTTCACATTGATATTTTTGGAAAGGTCCACACTTTCGGCTCGAATTTCTGTTGTGGGCTTGACTCGGATGTACGTGGAACTTGCAGATGAATCAAAGTGGATCTGGTATTCATAAAAGCCCCCACGCTGTCATAATATTCCCAGGAAACGCTAGTATGCAAAAGGAAACTATGGACAACTACTTCCTATCCACTAACTAACTAGCATTACAGACCTGTCAGTAGTCACCACCAGGCATACGCCTACTGCACAGCATACTCCTTGATCGGCGGCTCACCATCCCCAACATGCTCACTAGCATAAGCCAATGTATCAAGACTAGCATAAACAAGTGTCATAGCCTCCGTCTCCAGCAAATCATCAACCCCCCAGCCCCGGCGCAACCAACTGCCCACAAACAGTCCCCAAATCCACCCGTGACAACTCCCCAGGCCCATCATGCGTAATAGCATCCACAAAAAGCGCCCAAGCAAGCGGATTAACCAGCATCGTCTCATGAAGATACGGCCCACCACCCGGCAACCCAGCACACGCACCCTGAACCTGAACATTACTCACTCCCACACCACGCACATCACCCAAAAAAGCCGACGCCCCTGTTCCAACCTGCGGCTGAACAACCTCATCAAAGCCAGAATAAACACTCGTCGTCGGAACAAACGCCGAATCTCCACCCTCACTCCCACCCCGAAGTGTGCGGATCAGAGCCGAATCGTAGACCTGCTGCTTAATACTCGGCGTGCACAGCGGCGAAGGAAGAAGACAAACAGCAGCCAATACCGTGCCGTGGAAATCCGCGCTCAAAGCCATGAAATCGTCCACGATGGCCCGAGTTGACGGCCAGTATTTTAGCGCCCATTGGACGTCGATACCGCCCTGGGACCAGGATATCACCCCGATTTGCCGGCCTGTTATGCTGGAGATGTAGTTCATTGCGTAGGCGACGTATTCGGCGTTGACTTGGATGTCGCCAAGGGAGTTTCCGGGGATGTTTAGCCAGACTGGGTCTGCGATGTCGGAGTCGTTGAGGAGCTTTGCGTAGCTGAAGTGGTAGGTTGTTCCGGCTGGGATGGCGGTTCCTGGGATGAGGAGGATGGGTGTTTTATTGGTTGTGCCGTGTTCGAATGTTTCTGGGATGAAGATTGCTGAACGGAGGTCCTTTTCGCTTTGGCTGTATGGTGCGTCTTTGGGATGCTTTTTGGGGTAGATTGGTTGTGATGGGTTCAGGGTGTTGTTATTGGTGCTTGAGTTTATGTCTTGGTCTAGGAAGCTGGTGATGAGGTCGAGGGTGTTTTGGGGGGGCTAGACCGTTTAGGATGAGGTTTGTTGCGATTGTGAGGATGTTGTGGTTTTCGGTGGTATTGGGTGAGGGTTGTATTTTGGAGAGAGATGTGAGGGCTTCTTCGGGGGTTGTGACTTGGTTTATTTTTCCGGCTTGGAGGTCTTTTAGGGCGGATTCGAGGCGGGCTATTTCTTGAAAGGTTTCTTTGTCGAGGTTGAGCATGTGTAGAAATGTGTTTTCGAGGATTGAGATTGGTCCTGGAGAATCTTGTGTTTCAAGGGTTGAAAGGTCATGATTGATGTTGGGGACTGGGGTTCCGAGGATTGACGGGGCGAGTGAGCAAAAGAGAGCTAGTGTTTTGAAAAAGCGCATTATGGCGAGTTTAACGAATATGTGTGTTAAGCTGTTGGGAGAAGAGTATTATGGATCATGATAGTGAGCTTCTCTGGCAAGAGGAGCATGTCCTTCGAAGTAGATCGCGTTAACAACCCCACAGCTCGTTATGGCCACAGGGCATGTGAACAAGGTAAACTGACAGCCACGGTAGACAGGAACCAGTGTGACACAAGGAAGTTATTCTCCATCTATCCCTTGGGCTTTGATGCATTCTTGTGATCCATTGGTGCTTGGACCGGGACTCGCAGATCTACATTCCATACTAACCTTCGTAAGATAACTTAACAAACACAACGCGCAGATCTCGCGTGCAACTTTCTGTTGTCACTACTTCTTCTGGAAGAGACGAGTGTTGATGGATGGTCAAGAATTCAACTTCCGAGTGTCTGACCAGTCAAACAAACACTTGCCCGGACGTGTTCTCTTTACCCCAGTACTAGTACCGATCCATGTATATCTCCAGATGTATCATGATTTTTAGACTCCAAGTTGGAAAACAAATTCATGATGACAATAATGGCTTAGCTGTAGTATCACTAGTTATTTAGTTGGAATCCGATACAGAGATAGTAGTATATTCGAAATATTAAAGAGCTGAGCGATGTCCCGCATCTCTAATGGTTTAATCCATCCATGCAGCCTTGATATTATCATCAACTCGACTCCAGCTCTCCTGAATCGCCTCTTCCACATTAATTTGACCTAGCAATTCATCGCCGAGGGCATTGCAAACAATTTTCGCCATTTTCCCATCTTTCATATCGTAGAGAGCCCAGACCTTGACTCGAATCACGTCCCCGGGTTTCACTTTGTGGCTATGAACGGCGTTTTCGGTGGCTCGGAGGTAGTAGAAGTATGCTTCCATGCTGAAGAAGATTCTCTTTTCGTCGATCATAGCAATCATTGGGACGACGGTCTCCTTTGCGTCGGCATGCACAATAGAATAATGGTCCATTACCCCCTTCGATCCAACAAGAGTTCCAATCTCAGGATCCGGGATCGTTAGAGTGACATCTTTATCGTAAAATTCGTGCTGAGCGGCATAATCCCTGGCGTTGAATGCCTTGATGTAATTCAGAAATTCCTTCAGTGACAGAGAAGGCGCCATCTTTGGTCGATTTATTTTTGTGATGGGTGCTGAGTAGGTAGTTGGGACGGATAGTGTCTTATTCAAGTTTGGCCGAATGCCCAGGTGATTGAGAATGGGTGTGTCTGACAGCATGGCGAACAAGACGTTAGTCTTTATATTTGAGCAAATGGTGCACTCCCGAAGCCCCCACATTCACCGTGACCCTTTTCGGTACCCCAGTTTCCAATTTTGGGAACAAGCATCACAATTGTGCAATCTTGTCCCACGTAATTTTGAGGCTTGGGTTGCATAACTGTGCGGATATACCTGGGCAAAGCGAGAGCATAGTTAAGCTAAAACGAATCAAAAGGGTTGAATAAAGAGCATATACGCGTTGAAACGCCAAGACCTTGCGTCGTCCATTTGCTGACGTGGAAAACCCCGTCATCGCTCACTCGAGTTGGTGAAATCCCCACCTTTGGCTTCCCCACTTCTTTCCCACTCTCACCCCAGCTTCATTTCTCGTCGAGACATTCCAAGAGATTCAATCGAGATGGTATCCGTTAGACCGGAGAAGGCATCCGACGCCGCTATACCCAAACGATTCCATTGCCACCAATGTAGCAAGAAGTACACAAAATTGGAACACCTCACAGTTGGTCTTGTCCATTTCCTACCGCTGCCCGAATTCATGGACTGACTAGTAGCACCAGAGACATGAGCGAACACGTGAGTGAAAACAGCCTGAAAACACGAGCTTCGCTCATGAATGTACAGATTCGAATTCAAAGCCGTTCCGATGTCCTCAATGTGGAAGATCCTTTGGCCGCCAGGATGTTCTGGGGAGACATCTTAAATTACACACGGGTAGTAATAGCTCGACGCAATGCCAGAACCCAACGCCCGAGACTGTAACTATACAGCATGACCAAGGTCAAGCTCAAAGGACACCTACCCCTGCAGCCACAAACTGCCTCCCGCAAGTTCAAGCGCCAGGCCTGTCGAATTTACTAGAGTCGCATAATTGGCTAGATTCTGACAATTTACTTGAGTGGTTAATGTCTGATACCAATGGAAACTCCACCATACCACTACCATTGATCGATTTTCCAGGGGCATCTAGTGCAAGTGAATATCTGGGGCTGTCAGGCCCCGGGGATTTGGAATTAGCACAGGGACCGCAGGGCCCTGGAAATATGGCGCTGAGCCAGATATACAAACTCATCGATGATCTCTCTCGAAGATTGAATTCCGAAGTCCATCATTCGGGATTTACCTCGTCATTTCTAGATGCCTGTCTCGACGAGTTCTTTAGACGAGTATCGCCGAGCTTTCCAGTTATTCACGAGCAGACATTTACTCCGCAGAAGTCAATACCGCCTCTTCTTCTGAACATGGTTGCTCTGGGGTCATTGTTTGTTTGTGAAACGGGCGCATTGGAGAAAGGAGAGATGCTTTGGCGCCTTGGTCATACGGCAGTCGCAACTTCATGGCAAACTTTGATTGAAATTAGAGGGCCGTGGGATGCGTATGACGGGGTTCAGCTTGTGCTCACTGCATTGCTGGGACAGACATATGCGTTACTTTCGAGCAATTCCAATATACGGACAACAGCATCGGTCTTCCACGGCTTGGGCTTCTATTGGGCAAGGACGTCAGGAATGTATAATGTCACTGAGGTCTTACCAGAAGATCTACCAACTCTTCAGATGCCGGACGAACAGAAGAACACCGCATGGAGAAGCTGGGCTGCAATAGAGGTCCAACGACGGGCTATACTTGGCCACTACATTCTTGACGGTCTCATATCGCAAGCATCTGGCTCTCCAGCTAGCGCAAGACATCTCATTAATAGGATCGGAACTGCCTGCTCCGATGAAGCATTTGCAGCGGCAACTGCTGATGAATGGATTGTTGAAATGCAAAATTCAACCAAGGGACACCAGATGTCGGAAGCCTTTTCTCGCGTTTTCTCGTCTGATTACGCTACTGACCCGCTGCAACTGTCCCATTTCTCAATATTTGTTATTATTGAGGGGTTGCAATCCTTGATATCTGACTTACACGAAGCAAAAGGACAGGCTTATGGCACCGTATCAAAAAAACAGATCATCCAAGCTATGCTCAATATTTTCGAAGAGAATGTTATGGCGAGATTAGAGGCTTCTAATGTGCATCATCTTCAGGTATTCATCCGGTGGCATTCGGTGTTCATCGAAGCGACTGCGTCATCAATATCAATTTACCGATGGCTGTGCAGTCATTTCAATTTACCCCAGGTTCTTGGCGGTGTACATGCTAAAGGCCATCTTGATGAATTTGATCTTCAATCCTGGGCCGCAAAGGGAGATGCTCTTCGAGCAATCCTTCACGCAATCTCAATCACCCGTATTCTGGATGACTTGCCCCTCAGTCAGGCATACACTATGCATATACCCACGGCGGTATTCACGTCGGCGGTTGTAATGACCGCCATGTGTCTTCTGAACCGGGACGTTATCGAAGTTCCGGAAAAGTACACATGGTCGGATGTTTGGACCTCTCAGCTCCACGGGGATACCGCTTCGGCAGATTATGAGAACTTCGAAGAAGTTTTGGAAGGACTGAATCCAAACAACGAGAAGGCCATGACTTCAATCAGCCTCCTGGGCGAAATAAATTCCCTGCAAATGATCCTCAAAACTGTCGCGTCCAGATGGAGTGTTTCCGCTCAGATGAATGAGATTATTGGGCGATTGGCAAATATTGCCCGCGAGAATCATGGCCAGAGTGTATGAAATTGAAGCATGGATAAAGTTGAGAATATTACTAAGCCTGCGGGTATGAGAATGCGTTCAAGTTTGACATTGGAATGAATACTAGCACTACAAAATCTCAAAGTTTCTCTGCACCCACCCCGGAAAACTTATGGTACAGATCAGGAAGAACAGTAGCAAGTATAGCCATTTCTTCCGTAGCATGCTGTAATAACCCCTTTGCAAATTCATCAGGCACACTTGCCTTCCGAATCTCCGGATCGGTAAGGCCGTCGACATCACCCAGCCAAAACCTAGAGCGCATCCTGACACCATCCGGCTCCGTTTTGATCAAATGAATCAAATGCCCCACATACGTAACATGATTGTTCTCGTCATCCCACATGCCCGTCCTCCCACAAATGGCTGTCGAATACCCCGCATTCTGGAACGCAGTCTGCCAGCCAGGCCCGAAGTATTCACTCGGGTCTTTGAAAGAGATTTCCAGCTTCTGAAGCTCGCCTCCGATATACTCATGGACTAGATGATGACCGCCGATATAGGTGCTGTTGTTCTCGCGTGGGCCTTCCCAGTCGGAGAAGACGTGGTCGCGAGGGTGCCAGAGCTTGTACTGCTCCGTGTTGTGGATCCATCCGAACCACCAGTCTATCATTGCACCTGTGCATGATTTCATGTAAGTTGACGCGGCAATATGGGTCATGCCGTCTTCGGTATGGGCTACTCCGGCTTCCATTGATAGGTAAGGATGTTTGAGGAGGAGTTTGGCATCCTTTAGGGCGAGGCCTGGGGGTGGGGTCGATTCAGTCATAGTGGAGGAGAGTATAATGAGGGGTCGGGGCAGATTGTTGGGTGCGATGGTGGCTCGGTTGTATTTATTCTATTTCCTTCATACTAGTATCGAGATGCAGTGCCAGGTTCGATCTATAAGTAGCGAAGCGGGATGTCAATGTGGGGAAACGAGCAGGTGGGGAATGACTACATCGCGGAATGCCGCGGCTTCTAATGATATACCAACATTGGAATGAGTAGAATTGATCATTGTCGTTTGGGAATGGGGTTATTCATAGTAGCTTCTAGTGGCTGGAAGTATAAGTGGGACGCGCCGAGCAAGTTTCCACAATGATAATATACAGGGCGATCTCCAAGACGGTGTCTGTTTCAATAATAAAAGTCTCTCTAACGTAGTGTCTAAGTATTTCTAATGTATAACAGATGCCCTTCACCACGACAAATGATTCTTCAACGATTGTAGCAATTCTTCCGGTCCTGAATCTGTTGGAAGACAAGTCAAGATATGCTGATCTGGGCGAACTAGCACCGCATGACCCTTTAATCCCATCAAGTCGAACCACTGAGCATTTTCCACCCCAGGCTGGAGAGCAAAATCAACACCATACACCGCAAGTCGCAGAGATAGAACCTTAGCGACATGTTTAGGGAGATTTTCAAAGAGCTTTTGGACAGAGGACTTGAAATGGGCGGCATTTCCCTCATCAACTAGGAGGGTAAAAGCATCAAGACGACACAGGTCCAACGTAGAAAATCGCTTCTGAGAGATTTGCTCAATCGATAGCTCCCGCACATATGAAGAATTAATGGCAGGTAGTGACAGTTGCCCAGTCAGCACTTCGATCCAGGCATGTGGTAGTCGGGCACCTGGTACACATGACGACTTGAACAGCGAAACGTTCTTCGGGACTTGCGTATCGCCATACACATAACCGATATGGAGTCCCAGATTATCGAAATGCTCACGCTGGCCTTCAATTCCCTTGTTTATATCAACCATAGCCTCAGGATCTTGAATATTGCGATAGAGATTCTTTCTAGAAACCTCCACATCTGGATCCGTAGTGCCGAGTGCCTTCAGCAAGCCGAATATTTGCTTGCCATTCTTCACACTTTGCTCTGAGTTGATGAGAGCAACTTGGCGACGCTCAGCCTGGTAGGTATCGAGGAGGTCATCCCCACCCCATCCGTGATGGACTGCAGCGAGCTTGTATGCAAGATTGTGCACGTCGCCCAGGCCGGAATTCAGACCGAGACCGCCGGTAGGCGGGAATGAATGCGCAGCATCGCCAGCCCTGGAAAGTATAGTGTGTTAGAGTAATTACTCTGTATGAATCTCCATAGCGAGATGGAAACTCACAGGAAGACTTGACCAGCACGATACGAATGTGCTACCTTCCGACTTAGAAGCCATGGACGGAAGCTGAGCACATCGTATGGTACCTTGACGCCGAATGCCGCGTCCACGACTTTTCGGCAATGTCCTTCATCCCATGAGTCCACGGGATGCTTCTTGGACTACGCGTGCATGAGTTAATATTTCCTTGCATGAGGCTCAATAGACAAATACTGACATCGAAATTACAGATCAAAACTTGATTACCGGACAGCTCATAGCCGATGATGAATCCGGATACTTGGGGATCCATAACCCAATGAAGCATACCGACTCGCTCTTTGATCACAGGTCTCAGATCAGCATTGATGTGAATCGTCATCATAGTTTCAGCTGCGTACTATGATCAGTATATTTCTTATAAAAGTGAAAAGGGACTTAGAATTAGCGTTTCAAACGTACTGGCTTCTTCGCCTTCGCTTGTAATACCAAGATATCTCCTCACGGCGCTTTTGGCACCATCGCACGCGATGACATGTCGGGATTTGATCTTGTACTCTTTTTTTCGCGGCACGGTCCTCGACAGTCGTTATTACTTCATTTTCATTCTAGTATTAGTTAGTAAACTTGAGAAAGAAATCAGTCTTTGACATGCATATAACTTTCCTGCTCCAAGCTCACGAACGAATGATTCTTTCGAACCTCAACGAAACCAGTCTTTAACAATTTCTTCGCGATGATATCCTCAAATGCAGGCTGTGGAATATTATGGATCATCTGAAGCCAGTTAATGTCGTGATACCTCTCTACTACTAGTTGAAGAAGACTTGCCGTTGGAGTATCGTTAAGAACCTCCTTGTCCATTCTTTCGTAGGGGAGCCGACCAACCTGCTTACCAGTTAAGCTGGTCACGAAGTTCACCCAGTACGCATCTTCACGGGGACTTCCAATGCTGCGGATCTCATTCACGTCTAGTCCGGCCTGGCGGCAAAATTCGAGAGATCTTGGAGAGAGGGCGTGCGCTTTAGGGGCTGCTAATCTTGTTGGGTATCGCTCGATGACCAAGCATCGGACTATTTGAATTTAGATAGTGTTTTGTAGCTTTTGAGCGGGAGTAGAGCTACCGTTCAGTTGTTCAAGAAGGAAAGCAAGTAGAAGACCTGATGGTCCGCCTCCGATAATGAGGATTGGGACCTCTTCGTCCGGTGTTAGATTGTGGATGAGGGGCGACATCTTCGGCAAGTGGAGATGCGAGCGTTCAAGAAATGACAACAGAGATATCTTGAAAGAATCTCGGAATTAGAATCTACTGCTGATATTTGGTGGGTTCTTGCAGTGTTTACAGTGGGGAGTTTTGAGCGGCTCGGAAGTGGGGAGTGGGGAAGTGGGAAAGTGGGAAAAGTGGACATCTTCAGATCAATAGATACCGCTTGAGATTCCTCTAACGGCATGGTGGGTAATGCGCCGACTAGCTAGCTGGTAGCGCCCCAGAAACTTGGGCCGGTGTATTATGCAAATTCTTGGAGGTCTTGGTTGGAGTTCTGTATATCTCCAGACATGGCAAATTGAAAAATTCTCCAAATTGTTCTGCGCCATCGGCTTGATTCGCCTTCATCCCGTATTTTCGAAAGCCCCAAGATAGTCCTCACGGATATGGGGGTGAATTAGCATATTGCATAGACGAGGGGCACGATCATATCCGATTAATATTCCGAAGCCATAATCCAAGGCCGATGGTTAGAAGAAACCTATTCCGCTATCTTCAAATAGCTAATAGACCGAGAGACCAGTGTGAGAATCGTAGCTTAATAGCGCGGTATCAAGCATTCCTGCATATATGCCCTCCTACCGCCATATGATATTGAGCATGCATTCATGCAGAGTCCATTTTGTACCCCATGCGGTTCGTATGTTCTGCACGGTGAATGCAGTGCAGCATTATTGGAAGAGTATTTGAGAAATCTCATCCGCCGTTGTCCCGTAGCTTAGCCAAGGCAGCCATGACACCTTCACTCAACTCCTCAGCCGGCTGTGTCTCCTTCAAAGGCTCCTGCACCGGCCCGGAAGCTAAGGACTCCAACTCCGCCGTCCTGCGGCTCTCTTCCATAACAGCCCGGAGGATCTGTTCATCCTCATCCATGTCTTGATGGGGCTGGCGAGGCCTTGGTACCACTGGCGGGTTTGGCCTGCTCGGGGCCTGAGTCCGAGGTAGGGTGGTTTTCTTCGTGCTTCCAACGCGGAAGTCCTCCCGTACCGCGCTGCACCATTGTTGAACCTTCTTCTCACCCCAACCTGGAACAGCGCTAATCTGCTCTGGTTGCGCATTGACGGCATTTTGAAGGCTCCCGAATGTGGATATCAAGCTTGCCGTGTCCGATTTGTTGATCGCTCGTGGGGTTGTGACGAATTCTTCGAGGGATTCTTTATATGTTTGGGCTTGTTGGGAGCGAATTGCGGTCGGTTGGGCGTATTCGGATGACTTGAAGAGCTCGAGGTATTGCGCTGCTTCGGGGGCGGACCAGCAGAGGATTAAGGTGAGATTGTTGATAATGGACGTTTTCGACAGTTCCTTCAATGGATCTTCGTGGTTTGGAATGTCGACCATGACTAACACTATGCGTAGATTGTATTTGCCTGCTAACAGCCGGACTCGGGAGTAGATGTACTCGGGGTGGAGACGGTGGTATTTCAAGGAGAGAAAGAGGGCGCATGTTGTCAAGCCAACTACATAGTCGGCTGGAATGTCTGCGTATTCCCATGGAAGAAGTTTGATATGATTGAGGATCGGATTGCCCTTCTGTCGTGTCGACACGAGGATCGCGGATGGGCCAGGACGGTTCGAAAGGGCCTGAGGTTTGGGTTGTTGCACCTTGGGTTGACTTGTTGAGGGGGTGACTGGAGTCACGGAGCCCGTTGACTGCGACCTTGAGGCTTCATTTGATTGAGCGTCCATGATGGATACTCCAGAGGGTGGGAACAGTGCAAAGAGCGTTCCCAATGGTTGTTGTAGGTAAGGTCGGCCCCGGCGCGGAGGTAACTGATACGATAAGGAAATACTGCTGCTTATCGGTGCGCCTCACCGCCTCAGTTGCCGTCCATCTTTTTTCTGCCGCCTATTTTTTGCAGCAGAAAAAAGTCCCAGCGTCAACGATTCACAATGGCTGAGCAAAACAGGAAACGACGCTTCTCTGACGAAGGTGTTGCCCAAGATACCGACGTTAAGATGGAAGAACCTACAAAGGCCGCAGCTAAGCCCTCGACGGCCGCCAAGCCTAACAACACCCTGTTCGTTCGATCGCTACCAGCCACAGCCACGAAAGACAGCCTTGCCGAGTTCTTTTCGCAATCATACGTCCTTAAGCACGCCGTCACTGTCAACAACTCGGAAAAGCAATGCAAGGGTTACGGTTTCGTCACCTTCGCTGACCTTGAGGACGCCCAGAGTGCCCTGGAGGAACTCAACGGAGCCGACTTTGAGGGAAAGAAGATTCGAGTCGAATACGCCCAACAGCGTCATCGTGAGATTGATGAGAAGATTGGAAAGAGTAAGCCGGCTGCGAAGTCGCAACAGATCAAGCAAGACCGCGAAGACGAGCATGCCTCAAACCAGCCCCAGAAGCTGATCATTCGCAACCTGCCGTGGAGCGTCAAGAACATCGAGGACTTGTCGGCTCTCTTCCGCAGTTACGGAAAGGTCAAGTGGGCCGATCTCCCCAAGCAAAACAACAAGCTTCGCGGTTTCGGCTTCGTCATTCTGCGCGGAAAGAAGAACGCCGAGAAAGCTCTCCAAGGCGTTAACGGAAAGGAAATCGATGGTCGCACACTGGCTGTCGATTGGGCCGTGGACAGGGAACAATGGGAGAATGTCAAGAAGGATGACGGTGACGAGGAGGAGAAGAAAGAGTCCAAGGAGGGCGAGGATGTGGTTATGGAGGACAAGGCCGCGAAGGAGGACGATGATGAGACTTCATCGGACGAGGATGACGATGAGGAGGAGGATGAAGACGAAGACGATGAGGATTTGGACGACCTCGAGGATTTGGACGAGGAGGCCCGCAAGGAACCAATCGAAGACGACCGCAACGAGTGTACCGTCTTCCTCCGCAACTTGCCATTCACATGTACCGACGATACGCTCTACGAGCACTTTACCCAATTCGGCCCCCTTCGATACGCCCGAATTGTGGTTGATCGTGAGACCGAACGTCCTCGGGGAACTGGATTCGTTTGCTTCTGGAAGGTCGAGGACTGCATGACCTGCGTCCGTGAGGCCCCCAAGCCTGACACAGTGGTTGCCGACAAGGAGCGCTCCAAGCCCGCCATGAAGCACTCAATTCTTCAGCACGAGAATTCCGACCCTACTGGTCGTTACACCCTGGATGGCCGTGTTCTACAGGTCGCCCGTGCCGTCAACAAGCGCGAGGCTACCAAGCTGGAGGAAGAGGGCGTTTCCCGCCGTCTGGTTCGTGACAAGGATAAGCGCCGTCTCTACCTGCTGTCCGAGGGTACCATCCCCTCCAACTCCCCTCTCTACAAGAAGCTTTCTCCCTCCGAGATCAAGATGCGCGAGGAGAGCTTCAAGCAGCGAGAGGGATTCATCAAGAAGAACCCCGCCCTCCACCTCAGTCTCACCCGTTTGTCTATTCGCAACCTTCCCCGTCACATCACATCCAAGGACCTTAAGCAACTTGCCCGTGAGGCCGTTGTCGGATTCGCCAAGGATGTCAAGGCTGAGAAGCGTCAGTCCCTCTCTCGGGAGGAGCAGCAGCGATCCCGCGAGACCATGAAGGAACTCGAGCACGAGCGCAAGGAGAAGAAGGCCGGTATCGTCCGACAAGCCAAGATTGTCTTCGAGACTCGCGAGGGTACCAAGGTGCCCGAGAAGGCCGGTGGTGGTCGCAGCCGTGGTTACGGTTTCATCGAATACTACACTCATCGTCACGCGCTGATGGGTCTGCGCTGGCTCAACTGCCACCCGATCGAGATCCCCGCGAACTCGGACTCGGAAGAGAAGGAGAAGCGCAAGCGCTTGGTTGTTGAGTTTGCCATTGAGAACGCCCAAGTCATCAAGCGTCGCCAAGAGCTGCAAGACAAGAAGAAGCAGCAGGCCAAGGAGAAGGCGGAGAAGGAGGCAAAGGGCGAGCAAGAAGATGACAAGAACGCGAAGGGTCAGAAGCGGAAACGCTCAGAAAAGGGCAAGGATGGCAAAGATGATGAGGAGGACGGCGAGGAGGACAAGGTCGCGAAGCGCAATCGGATTATTGGCAAGAAGCGCGCGCAGCGCAAGGCCCGTAGGGGGTGAGTGCGCGTGAAGGATTTACAACATGTATAGAGCTTGTTTCAGTATCTAATGCCCGATATACCATTCTAAATCAAAAGCATTGTGATTATCATTTCAACGATCGTGATCGTGAGAGTCAGAGCAAAGTCTCCGCTTGAGTATCATCGCGTGGTATATGTACACTGGATTCATCATAAAGGCCTTTCTTGCAAGTCCCTTTCCCATCGTATTTCTTTCAAATCACCTACTAAGACTCTAGGTATTCTTCGCACCCTCGACCTTGCCAACGATGTTATACCGCTTGCTGAAGAACTGGTACCACTCGTCCAGGACCGTCTTCTCTTTGTCCTCGAGGTCATACCATTCCGGCACGCAGTCCTCGGGCTTCAATGACGACTTTGCGAGCGCACGAGAGGCATCTTTGCCGGCAAACACTATATCGTAGACCATGTATTAGTCTTTGTATTTCATGTTTTCTTTCAATTCCCCTCCCCTTTCCTTTCACGTAATCGCAATGCTGCGCAAAAGTCCATAGCTTGCCGCGTCCTGCGCTTACCTTTATATGAGCCGGTAGCACTGTACATCGGGTTCTTGGTAACATCGAAGACAATACCCTTCATAGCAACGAGAGTAGGGCGACTGGAATCGGAACCTGGGAATAGCCTCCGAATTAGTTCCAACCTCGGCACAAAAGCAGAGACCGGGGCGCGCGCGTACCGTCGCATTTGGCCAATTCCTCTGGGGAAATGGGGTCATCTTTTGGCGCGTCCAGTGTGACTGGGACCTTGGGAGCAAAGCGTTCGCCCATTTTGTGTGTGTATTGAGGGTGCGAGAGAGGAGAAGAGGAAGAGGAAATGAAAGAGGAGGAGAGAGGGTGATGGATCGGATCGGAGGGAAAGTCAAAGAAAGTCGCGGGGCAAGCGGGGTTGCTCCCGTTGGCTGCTGACGAACTCGGCTTTCTGATTGCTTGGTGGATACTCCTAGTTTTAAGGCAGTCGATTGTTAAAACTATTGATATGGGAGATTGCTGTTGGGTCATCTATAAGATTAGAATCGTTCAATTAGAGGGTACGCTTTCAATAATGATTTCTCTACATAATACTACTAGAGTTGATTCATACTATACCTCGAACTGGTATATAGCATGCTAGTATTTCATAGGTATCGCATTAAAAAAACTCTAGGTAGAAGTATATATCCAGGACTACTAGTAATAGCTTAATGTAGCAAATAGAATACATTATCCTAGTAATATGACGTCAAAGTACCCTCCATCTCCAACCGCAAAACGGTGGCGCGGATCAGATGACAATCATGTGCAGTCGTATTTATACAAAGCCCCCCCAAACTTTAGATAAACTTCTAAGTTCAATCTCTTCCCTCAACTTTTGATCCCCCATACCCCATATCAAAATGGAAACACCATCATCTCCTACTACCAAGCCGGCGCAGAAAAGCTCCGACAAAGCTCGAGCAAATCCCGCCGCCCCTCAAACTCGCCGTGACAAGCCCCAGCGAGACTACAGTGACTCTGACGTCATCCACCATGTCTACTTCGAAGATAACGACAGTTTCTTCCCCCCCGAGCTGGCTAGGCCAGGATGGTGATCAGTCGCAGCGGAGGGTCTCGGCGGATAGTACTATAAGTCACGGTTCGGCGGATCCTAGGGACGAGGGTCAACCTTATGGCCCTGCTGAGAAGGAACATCTCGATTGATTGAGGTTGACTTCAAGTTTGACCCAACCTTGGAAGAAGCCACCCCCTGCCCAGGTGCCCAGGTGGGCACGGCCTCTCGGATAATGTGTTACGAATTTCTTTCTGCAATGTATAATGTATATCTTGATATAATCCTGGGGATTTACACTCGAAGAATTTGATGTGCTTCTTCTTTCGCAGAGTTCTCGTAATATTTTGCATAAAATTAGTACAACGTCTACTCAAGTCCATTATCCAGCCCTCGGTGGAAGCTAGTATGCTACGTATACAAATTTCTCGACCCTATTTGCTGGGGATACTGAGTCTATCGCTCGGTGCCCAGGTGGGATACTGGGTAAAAAACTAGGTAGGAAACTGGGTGAGATACTGCCCAGCAAATAGTACATTCCGTGTCAAAAGAGTTTACCCACCTTACCCGCAGACCCCCCCCTCCAAAATATATCTTAGGTTTGTAAATTGAATAGCAACACCACTTGTCAATAATATTATTTTGTATTAAAAGTATAGGTAAATAACACACAAAACAACAAATTAGCTATTAATATTTAGTGTAATAACCCTGTACAGCCCTAACAGCAGCCAATCGACGCGGGAACGAGCGAATTAGACTATCCACGACATCTTGATCAATAGCCCACTAAGCTTTTTTCAGTAAATCGCGAAATTCAGTCCATGCAAGCTTTGATCGATTATATAGACGTAAATAGGGTCGTATCTAAAAAAATCTGGCGTTTTAGAAGTAACTACATAGGCTCAATTGGGCTTATATCCGGGGAATGCGGAGGCTATTTAAGAATATGAACTCTGTGAGTTTCAAACCAGATTTAAGATCTCTCAGCAGTATGAATCTTTGTATTATCTTGCTGGAAGATCATATCTGGATAATAATAGTGTATAAACCTCTCTTTAAGTGTGTTGATATAAGATAAAGCTATGTATCTGTGTCTTCCAGGAGATATATTACGCTCTATAATAATTAAGTCAGATCGACCTCCAATCTAAATAGTACTCTATACTATTTGGGAGATATCCTTACCATAACTTCCAACATTCAACATTCAAGGTTTATAAGCCTCAGAACAGAGTCGAAATACCTATTCAAATTGAGAATTTAAGCAACGTTGTACGGAACATTCATCAGAAAAAGTTAATCGCTCTAACTCTGTAAAATCCTTCCATTTTCGAGTAAATTGACGTCAGCGTAGAGCATCATATTTCTTTAATAGGTTTTACTTCTGAGATTTCCACTTCTTAATCTTATATTTGCAAAGAATTCGGCGAATAGTTAACTTAGAGAGTCCACCCGGTGCAAGATCTTCAAGAGCTACCCAACTCAAACAAGGATTTCGGCAGACTAATAAATAAACATATCGTCTCGTACGATCATTATATTTTCTTGGCCGACCACTTTTAGAGCGTGATTTAAAGTCGTTTTGCTGGTGAAAGCGTTGAATTGTATTGAAGACAGTCTTGCGGGATACTTGAAAACAGCGGGCAACTTCAGATTGCGATTCTCCACACTTAACAGCGGAAATAATAGCTGATCGCGTAGATTCTGGTATTTCAGCTTTCGCTCTTCGATTTCCACTAATAATTTTACCAAATTCGCGTAAATTGGAGTTAATTGGTGCCATTAAGAAATTGTTGTGGTGGGGAAATATGGTATGGTGCGGGAAGTGGGTAAACTCTTTTGACACGGAATGTAGGTAGTAAAGGCAGAAGCGTCAGTGACCTCGTGCCTTCCCTTTCAAAGCTCCCTTCACTTCGACCTTCACCTTCAACTTCACCTTTCTCCCCTTTTCAATCTTTCCGTTTCCAACACACACAGCTCACCTGGGCACCAAACTAATTTCAACGTTTCATCACCACACAATCGAACCTTTGAAGCTTTTCCTCTTCTCTTTTCTCCACGAGTCAACCCGAAGTCAGTACTAACGCACCCATTACTGCAATACAACCAGACAAGCACCAGCAGACAAGCATGGAGAACGTAAGCAAACTTGATTGCCTATCGCAGCAGAACAAAAACTGTGGCATCGCTAACCAGCAAGGTTACTGACAGCTTGATCGCCCACAGCCCCCCTCGAGTGGACTCCCTGGCTTATTCGAGGGAGTAGAGAGGCTACCGAAGTCTGAATACAAATCCACAGAGGGTAGAAAGAAGAGACTCCGGGAATCCGTCGATCAGCAGTCTAGCTACATGATACCAGGTCCGCCAGCTTTGTCTGATGGCATAGAGCCAGATTTTGAAGTCTGGAAATCAAAGATCGAGAACAAACTACAGGTCAACGCAGACCACATCTCTACACCCGAGCTCCAAATGGCATACGTTTTTAGCCGTTGTGAAGGACCAGCTGCTCAACACCTTGCCCCTCGTATGGGATCCGATGCTACTCTCCGTTTCAAGAACGCCACCGATATGATCGCCCACCTCAATACAATCTATGGAGTCCCAAGTCGTTCTGACCAAGTGTTCAGTCAGTACCGGGATGTTTCCATGGAGTATGGCCAGAGGTTTATCGAATTCTTTCCTACATTTTCACTGCTTGCCGAAAGGGCTAAAATTCCCGAGGAAAGGCGCAAAGGGGACCTTTTGCGAAAGTTAAGCAGTGATTTGAGGGTAAGAATGACAGGAAACTTCCAGAACAAGAGCTACTATGAGCTTGTGGAAATCTGCAAGGCAATGGAATACCACCAACTTAATCACCAAGATAGAAGATAATGAGCACACACAGTCAATCCATCCTAGGATATGGCCCGTCATCCCTTATCTTACATCGAGCACTCCTCGCTGGAAGAACCGGATATCCGTCAACAAGTTATGGGTAGTCATGGAGGCCATTAAGTTCATATTTCTGGGCGAGAAATGGATGCATAGGTCTCAACTGCAGGCTGATCACCGAGTCTGCAAGAATCCTATTTGAACCTGGATCTAGTACATTCCCTGAATACCCCATGTGTTAACTACTTCAGCTCTGATCTGCTACGAATACCAATTCTATGCTTCTGATTTCCACCCTCTAGTCTATTAGACTATCAAAATCTGAATTTGGGGAAAGTAGTGGAAAAAAGGTACGAATAGGAAATGTTCCAAGGTTGGCACGGCCCGTCGGCGGTTACCCCCCCAAGCGTCTGCTTCCCCCACTAGCCGGGGGTCTGGTAATATTTCGGGCAAGCCCAGAATACTTTGATTTGAAATGTTTATGATCCACATATTTTATCGTCTTGTAGAGTGATAATTTACTGGTACACTCTTGCGCCGCTTTACAGCGACAATTGACCCAGTATCTGTACTAGTAGGTGCCTAGTTGCTACTAGTACTACTAACTAACTACTAATTACCTACCTAGGTAGGTACTGATCAGCAAGTATATTCGCAATAGAAGTATATTTCAAGCCCTGGAGATTGAGACTTTTTTTTGGTATAATATTAAAATAGTATTCTTAAATTCTGCACGCCAAAGCAAACCTTTTTTGAAAGATTTGAATAATTTCGTCCGTCTTAACCACTATCGGCTGCCACCTGATAGAATGGTCAAAAGAGATCCTGTGTATCTACAAGGGCCATCAAGGTTGTTGCAAAGCTCCCGGCGACCTTCCAATGACTGATTCTCCCCAAGAGATCCATAATCTTAAAAATCGGACCGGATTCCGACTTTTGCCACTGAATATTACTCCTAATATCGAGGAATGATTTCAACTGCTTAGGCCCAAAGAGCTTTATCTCCGGGAATTCGCACAGTGTCGCAGGATCAACGAACGAGTCTCCAACGCCAGAGCCAAAGCGCGTGAAACAAGCCCATGCAATTCCACAATTATACAGCGCCATCGGAACATGGATTGCAGACTCAGCACCAATTGGTAGGAGCTGGAAATGCTGTTGGATGAGGGTCGCATGGAGCAGGGCACGTATTGCAGCCCGAGACTCTGCCCAGCTGGAAGCATATGGTCGGTTCCTTTGTGCGGATGCTTCGCCTTCTCGTCCACAGGCGCATTCAAGCTGGTCGAACCGCGTGTCGAGATGCATGAATATCGAGTGCCATAAGATCATGAGGCAGAAATGGTCTGGATGCTTGCTTGCATTGGAAACTTGCGCATACTTGCGATACCACTCTATCAGCAGTTCCTCGCATTGTTGCACTACGGCGCGTCCTGAATGACCGCGGCTACTATCTTCATAGGCAAGTGCGCCAATGGACTCAAGCATACCGTAGGATAGGAAGTCATTTTGCGGGAATTCTCTGAGAAGGCTCGAGCGCCCCGCTACTGGCAGATGTGTCCCTTGGACGGGCTTTTTAGTCCCGAGATATAAAGACTTCCAGGACTTTGCGCATGGTGCCGCAAACAGCTCAGGGGCGGAAAGATGCGGTAGGTTTTCTGGCGTATGTCTAAGAATTGGCTCGTGGTGGTGAAGTTTAGCGAGTTCGATGTCATGAATGTGAAGTGCGAGAACAATACTATCAACCAGACATTGTTAGCCTTGGTGACTGTTCAAGACTGAAGTGAGCTAAAATGATACCGTTTCTTTTCCTCCACTCTAGCCCAGTTCTTCCAAATTGACCTCAGTGCGTCGCTATCATCCTCTAGACTTTCGATGTCGCCTGGCGGGTCCTCATCGAAAACGAACAGCCTCACTTTTCGCGCCCACTGCGATTTATTAGCTCTGACGTGCTTTCTTTTGAGAACAAAGTCCACGGCCACTTACGGCTATCATAGTCCCATGGAAAAATTCTATCCCGACCAAGTCCCTTGGTCTCTGGAAGTAATTAGCGGGTCTATGGGATTTATGGGGCGAATGGGGGATATGGACAAGTCCGTTTCTTACTCCCATCAAAAGACCGAAGGTCTGTCCAATCACAGAAGCTTGAATAGCGTGCAGGTGAGCGCGATTCGGCGCTTGGATATATGTATCCCACTAGTAGGCCGGTTAGCAATTGATTATGTCTCGTAGCAGTCTCGCAAGATAATGGTTTAGAGATGAAAGATCATTACCGATGCCAATATAGCCTTTTGCAATCTTTCAAACATGCTTATTCCATGCTCCAACGCTTTCGATGAGCTAAGGAACAAGCTGCCAATCGAACACATGGAAAGGAGCAGCACTGCATTTTTTCTTGAAGGCTGGAAGGTCGGGGCGTGGATAAGAGGGAATATGGCTTGGAAGTGACGAAAGTATGCTTGAAGACAGAAGTCCTGTGGTATAATTAGCTGTGCCAGTGTAGGCAGAGAAGATTACGAAGGTGCCACACCAGAAACTTTGTAGAGGGCAGGATGCCAGCTTGAACGTTGGGCCAAAGGCTTTCTATCAAATTTTGACGATCAAGATCATCGGCATGAGTGCTTATCTGACCGGGAGCAGCGTCCCTCAAGGGTACAGGTGAGGCCCGTTGTGATGGAACCTTTGTCTCGGAAAAGGTGTGCCATCTTCGTTGTATTGTTGTGAGACTCATTGTAGGGTCGGGTAGCGATTCAGTAGCGGGAGAAACAAAGGCAGGCTGCGGTATGAGATCTTGTGGCCTCTGGTCCGTTGACGCGAGCAAAGTATGATTTACCGCGTCCAGATCGAAATCATCTGCAGTCAACAACGATGTCCAGACCTCATCCCACTGGCCACTCCAAAAGGTTGGCCATGCTCCGATGCCGGTCGCCTCATTAGCAAGCAAGTCAGCCACTAGGTCGTCGTCATACTCGCGAATATTCTGCACAGAAGGGGAGGCGGTATAATCAAGCGAATGTATTGACAACGAGATGGTGGCCGAGTTCGCATCGTGGATGAGTGATGGGCATTGCAGGCCAGGTAGATCGGTCAGAATCGGCGGATATGCGCTGGCTAAGTTGGTTGAAGCGCCGATCGGATGCTCTAAAGCCGGTTGCCCTGGGGCCAGGCCGCCTGCCAGTTCATTACTTGGCTGCTCATGCAACTCGCTCTCGGGGTGTTGTGACCGCGTATGCCGCAAGAGAGTATCCCTAGTCAAGTCAGGAATGAACTCAAGTAAAAATCGCACAGGGGGACCCAAACCGTCTGACATAGAGCTTGTCGCAGATAAGACACATGAACGGCCGCTCCTTCGTGTGGGATCTAAAGTGGCGGGCTAGATGTTCTGCCTTTTTGAAAGTTTGCGAACACACCGGACAGATTCGCTCCTCTTGCGAAGTCTTGCGCTGGCGACGCCGCTCTCGCGGCAAAGTGGAAGACATGATTAATGGGGAAGATTGGATTTAGAGAATACCGCAACTCCTACAGACTGCTGCTCTGAGCAACGGAAGCACAACTACCATAATACCGAACACAACCCCCACACCTCCACACTGTTTTCGTTGTCTTCAATACGGGGTAACCTTAGCGATGAATCAGCTCGCCTGGATCAGCTTGTCGGTCTAGCGTTTGGGCGCTCGAGGCTTGAATCATCGAAAATATGGTGGCGCAATGACGGGAAGACTTCCCAAGTGGTGGCAGATAGTTGCCACATTTCAAGTGGGACTTATTCCGTCCGCCAGAAATAAGGCCCATTTGTCCAGCCATCAGAGGAAAAGGCAATTAACTCTATAAACTGGGGACACTACGGCTTACGGAATTGCATAAAAGATGCCGGCAAGCTGAGGATCCGGCTCACTCGCCACGGCATAAACCATTGGCATTTTCAAAACCATCTGGGATCCGGTTTCTTCTGAGGAGAAATTGGAGATCACGTCGCAAAAATGGCCTATCCTACTCGGATTTACTCGTTCGTTTCATAATTCTCACTGTATGTCAAGAGCTTTGACCGCGGAGATGCGGAAAATATTCTCTATATGTAAAGGAAAACAGATCAAGATGCGCAAATGATAATTTCTCGCGTCCCCAGGTCCTTTCTCAAATCAAAGCCAGAAAGGATTGTCACGACTAAGATTGTTTAAGGCTCAAAGGCCCAACCTAGAAGCTAGGCTTGACACTCGGCTGATACGACACGCCCTGTGCAACTACCGAAGCCAGATGCTTTGAGCTCGACAATATCGCCATCCTCCAAGTATCCTCGAACGATCCTTCCTGCTCCTGTTTCTGATGTATGGAACTCGTAAGGTTCTGAACCATTCTTCGTGGCTTCGAGAAGGCATCCGAGCTCCTTACGAGACGGTCCACTGAGTGTGCCTGTGGCGATGAGATCCCCTGTGCGTAAAGAGCATCCGCCAGCAGTATGGTGTGCTAGCATCTGCGCAAAAGAGAATAGCACATATTTGGTATTGCATTCGAACATTAGATGATCTAAGGGCGTCCATTAGCGTACAAATTACAACGAACGGACTGTAGGGTTTCTTGCCGCTGAGTGAGACGGTAATTGGGACGCTATATACTGAATCTTCTCTTTTCTGGTGGAGATATGGGAGCAGCGGCCCCTAAACAGAAAGTAAGAAAGGCCAAGATTACAGAGCAGTGGTTGAACTTACCGATGAGACGGGGGGCTCTCGAAAGGGCTCAAGGGCCTCCAGCGGGACTACCCAAGGAGATATAGTAGTCGCGAAATTCTTGCCGTTAAATGGTCCCAACGGGGATGATTCCCAGTTTTGTATATCCCTTGCTGACCAGTCATTCATGATCACAAATCCGAATATGCGATCCTCGGCCCCATCAACAGGGATCGGGGAACCATCTTCGCACCCTTGGCCTATGAAAGCTGCGAATTCCACCTCAAAGTCGAGCTTTTGAGAATATGCAAATACTGGTTTATCATCGACCAGGAACTGCCCTTTGGGGCGGCGGACAGGAGTTCCAGAAATGACAATCGAGGACGCGCGGCCGTGATAAGCAATTGGCTGGCTCATATAGTTCCGGTGGAGCGTCGAACCCGGCTGGAGGATATCGTAGCACTATTGATCAACAGATTAGCCTAGCCACTGGCGGTAAAACTTGTTGTGAGGGACAGGATACATTTTGTGCATGGTATGGTCCGACAAAGAAGTCGGTATAATCCCCTATACTCATGGGCAGATGGAGCGTCGCATCAGACATCTTGACAATGACTCTATCTCGCCTTTTTTGGTTGTCGCGCAATTCAGTGCCACGGCTGGTATCATGGGCCAATAGCTCCTGGAGGAGATCCCTGACTTGCCTGTGGACTTGCTTTCCCAAAGCCGCGTAGGAATTCAATGTATTTTCCATCAGAGTCGAGGAGTCAAAGTCAATTGTTGTAAAAATTCCTTCCTGGGCCAACGCCTTCAGGTCAAGTATGTAACGCCCTATCGCCGCTCCAATTCGAGTGTCTCAGATTCTCGGTACTGAAGATGCCATACGGCAAGACATCTAGAGAAAACCCAGAGTCATCTCCAGTACTAGAATCTATCCACGAAGTCATAGTGGGAGTTTATGGCCAAGACCACAAGAATTTCGTTCAGGAGTATTGAGTAATTCCCAGGCAAACCTTGGAAATACGGCAATTCGAAAAGTTCAAGTTGTCGACGGTAGTGCTCACGCAACTTCGAAAGCCTGGGCGCTACCTTGTTATATAGTATACCTAGGTATGATGCTTGTTTGAACCGAGCTGTCGCAACCTTCCTTAAAGGGCTGTTCTTTTGCCTAAGCCACCTGGGCATGAAGCAGCAATTGGTGGGTTGCGGATTTCGGGACTTAGATCCCACAAAACGTCCATGCATGTGTACTTTCACTGCGGGATGCCCCTGAAAGACATCACCATTTATTTCCGTTATTTTGAACTAAGAGACTGAGATCGGAAAGTATCTTCCATAAGTATTTTGCTTGATCAAAGTCTTTATAAGCTGTTTAATCAGGTCCAGCACTTAGATTGTATCCGGGTCAGCTCGACTGCGGTCGCGCCTGTTTACGGTTTCGAAGAAATGGTTGGTGGACCACCAGAGGTGCCGCACGGAACTGATAATAAGAACCACCCGTACATCGCCGGCTCAATGCTGAATTGAGTCCAATTTTTATGGTAATACTTCGTATAAATTGCTTCAAGTGCTATGGTAGGCCTCATCATGGAAATTTCATCTGCTCTCAAAATGCCACCAACACTCATTACCAACGTCCGGATCTTCGACGGCGTCTCAGTCATCTTCGACTGCGGGCATGTTCTGATCGAGTCAGGAAAAATTCAACAGATATCGGAACACCCATTTTCTACTGCCCCCGAGTGGACTATCGTCGATGGCTCAAACTCAACACTAATCCCTGGACTTACCGACGCCCATGTCCATGTGTATCAGGACTTGACTTTTATTGAAACGGCGATTCAATATGGCGTAACCACTGTGCTAGACATGCATAACGAGTCTGAATGGTTCAAGAAGATGAAGGCAATTTCCTGTGAGAGAAATGATGTTGCGGACATTCAAAGCGCGGGCCTGGCTGCAACCGTCAAAAACGGCTGGCCGTCTGCGATCCTTCGAATGACAGCTTCGGCAGATCCGACTGTAGGCAACCCCCAATGTCAGATTCATCCGAAATCATGCTGAATTGGGTGCAGCTAGAAAATCGTATCTTAGGGTGGCCAGATATAACAGACAAGGAGACTGCAGACCAGTATGTTGCGAAAAATAAGGCGATGGGTGCGAGGTATGTGCTCCGGTCCTCAAAATCCTGTGAAATAGCTCATTTTAAATTATCTAGTTTCATCAAACTTATGCAGGAAGATGGATGTACACTGAGTCTGCCATTTCCCACACGCCCGATCCCCACTCCCCGTTTAGAAGTCCAAAAGGCTGTCGTTGACGCTGCTCATCACAACGACATGTTGGCGGTTGCTCACGCCCTGACCAATGACTCCGTTCTCAAGATGCTCAACGCTGGAGTAGATGGCATCACACACTCTTCACTCGAACCAGTTAATGAGAGCGTTATCAACGCATTCAAAGATACAGACGCCTTCATAATTCCTACATTTGCTGTTCATGCATCCAGCAGTGGAGAAGAGAAACACACCCGCGAACGTCTCGCAGCAGATATAGCAGATACGAGAGAGAAAGATCACTTTCTCGGATGCCTTCACATCATGCATACTGGATTTTCGATTCAAAATGCCTATGATCAGATTGCGAGTCTGAAAGAAGCTGGGGTGGATATCTTATGGTAATTTTCCATCCTTCCTGCAATATTTCTTTTTCTCATTTGGTTCGTTTATCCGACGGGGTGAAAGCTAATATACTGGCTCAAAGCGGGACCGACTCATCAGAGCACCTCGTAGGAACCCGAGCCGGAGCGTCAGTGCTTCATGAGCTTTGGCTATACGTAAACCGATGCGGGTTTACACCTACTGAGGCTCTTGCGTCTGCGACCTCGAAAACAGCGGAACGGTTCAAGCTCAAGGATCGAGGAATGATTCAAGTAGGCCGGAGAGCGGACCTTGTGCTGGTGAAGGGTAATCCTACCGAATCTATTGATTCTTTGAATGATATAGTCGGGGTTTGGAGAAACGGGGAGCGAGTGGTTTGGGCATAATTATCTCTTTACGGTCTATCTATACTGTTCAAATTGATTCTCCACTCCTCGCAAAATTTCCTGTCCTCATCTTAAATAATATTGTTTTGTATTCATTGACTCTACGCAGCCCTGGCAGACTTCCAAGGTTTTCCTGGCCGGCGGATTCTGAGAGCTATAATAATTTCGCGGGGGGGTGCAGCGTCGTGCGAAATATTGAAAGGCAACTTGAAGGACCAAGGTTGTGGTCATGTATTGTCGAATTCATGGATGCGCATGAAGGACTTGTACTAGGGCTCATGGCAGTCCATGTAGTATTTCATACTACAGACCTCGGGTCCTTAATGATGCTTAATGCGAATTGGATCTCTGGCCCGGGCGAAAGTCGTAAAAGATCGGGGATAATATTCGCGAAACTAGGTAGTCTATCTAAAGGAATCAAATGAACCTTGGAATATATCGGACCGGTAATGTCACGGTGATAGTACTGCTCTTTGTCAGTAGGGACTGCTAAGTGCTGCAAAGGCGGCTCCAAGCAGCCCCATTTTCTCAGCTGGCGGAGCGTCGCGTTGCTCGAGATTGGAGAGTTCCACACTGGTATTGACCACTGTCTTCACGCGCTCGTAGCGACGCTCCACGAAGGCTTTGAAAGCCTCATCGACAGTCGGTGCGTCTCGAATGCATTGTGCGAGGACGACAGAGTCTTCGAGCGCCATTCCTCCGCCCATGCCCATATGAGCTGTGGTTGCATGTGCAGCATCACCAATCAAGATACTGCGATTGTCGTACCAAGGAGCCGAGAGCAATATCCACCTGAATGGGCGCGCAATGAGATCGGAATCCGGGTGCAAGCGCTGGCGCAGCTCTTCAATGGCAGGCGCCGTCATGGAGTCGAGCAAGTCACGGAATAGGTGATAGATCTCTTCCTTTGTCAACCGCTTCTTCTCGGGCTGGTCAAATACGGACGGAACATAGACGTAACCCTCTGGAAGATAATAGAAGCCAAGTCGGCCAAGTGAGCTCTGATACCAGCTCTCTGGCTGTACTTGGGGACCGGGTGCCATCCAGCGGATGCTCAGCTGGCCTGAATACTGCGGATCAGGGCTAGAAGGGAAGATATTCTTGCGAGTTGCCGAGTTGATCCCATCCGCGCCAACCAAAAAATCATAACTGCGCTGCTCTCCCGTGCTAAGCTGAACAGTCACGCCACTGGTGGAGTTCTGAATCTTCTCAAACGTAGTACCTATGTGGATTTGGACCCCTCAGGTCTACGGCAACCTTCATCATAATATCAATGAAAGTCGGCCGGTATATGCCCACGGCTTCCTTTGCGTCTGGCCATGTCGGTCGGCTTGGGCCGCGACTCAAGATATTACCGGCCGCATCACGCATCGTCGCAACCTGGGAATCGTATGGAAATGGAGTGCCGGCGCTGTGGACCAAGTCATAGATGCCAAGATCGACAAGAGCGTTTGCTGCACGGCCGCTGAACGCGATCGATGCCCCTTCTCTGGGGTTGCCCTTTTCAAGCACCTCGCACTGAACGCCTACGCGGGTGAGGGCGATGGCAGAGGACAATCCAGCGATTCCGCCTCCCACGACGAGTGCTGTCAATGAAGGTTCCATGTTTTCAATCTGGACTGTTCATGAGCAATGGTACACACGATAACGAGAGTTGACGGGCTCGCACCTTTTACTTCTGAACGATGACTTAGTATTGAGGCAGCAATGGAGAAACTTTTTATACTTCGCACGATGTCGAGGGTCCGTGACTTATAGTAAATGGACTCGCGATAATTTCCAGTTTATGCAAGATTCGACCCAGGTCTCCATAATGCATTAAGACCAATACCTCGTTCCGGTAACTTGGATTATGCTTGTGATTTAAGCCCCGTATGGGGCTCTCGGAAGAGGAAGCGCAGAAGTTTCATACAATTGAAAATTAGGGAATTTTGTGCAGGATGTAAGAGAGGTTGGGTCATAGCATTTAGTGTACACCCTGAGTAAACTGTTCATATCCCTAAATTATCCCTTCTAAATTTGCTAGCTTACTGAGGCCTAGACCTTGGCTGCTGGTATGTGGGTATTTAACTTCGTTTGTATAGCATAAATTCGGATCTAATGGCTCCCGACACAACATGCAAGACCTTAGTTGCCACATGCCCCACATGCTTGATTGAACTGAGCCAGCCCCTGGGAGACGCTTCCCGGTGGAGCCTCCCCCGCAATTATGAGGACCTGGAATTTCTGTGGAGAGGCTAATACCTAGGGGGGCTCGAGAACCTTGGAAGCTGGGGTAAATTTCGAACCCATGCTGGATATAAATGCCCGTCCGACTCTCTCAATGGCATCTAGGTAAGCACATAACAGAACGAGCCGACATTCGGTCAAATGACTCGACCTCATTCTACCCATCATCACGCTGCAGAAGTCTCGGCCGATATGAGCGAACTTGAACGCGAGAAATTTTCTAGTCGAGCTTCCCATCATGAGCAGATCGATAAGGAGCTTTCTCATTATATTGCCGATGTCGCGGTGGAAATATCCAGCGAACGCAACAAGGAGCTTGTGCGTAAGCTAGACAAGCGCGTCCTACCCGTCCTCATTGTTGCTTGTCTTCTGCAGGCCCTCACTCAAAGCACCCTGCCGTTTGCATCAATCATGGGTTTGATCGAAGATACGGGCATGCGAAGGCCCGATGGGAGAACGTCCCAACAGGTGCGATATCAAGATATAGATTTGGGGTTTGCGCCATAGGAAAGCTACTGACTGTGCAACAGTACTCCTGGCTGACGACTGGCATGTACCTTGTCATGCTGGTGGCCGAATATCCTCAGAACTATATCATATCGAAGGCTCCTCTTGCAAAATATCTAGGTTTCTGCATGATATGTGAAGGTTTCATTGTAGCCTCCCATGCCGCTTGTGTGAATTTCACAGGTCTGATTATCGGGAGGTGCCTGCTTGGGATTTTCGAAGCGGCATGTCAGCCATGCTTGGTGCTGATATCTGTAATGTGGTACCGTAAAGAAGAGCAAGTTGTGCGAATCCCAATCTGGTATGTCCGACTTATTCCCTGTTCGTTGACGTACGCTCCTCTGACTATCCTGAAGGTACATGATGTCTGGGGTACAGCAAATCATCGGAGGTTTCCTGGCCTATGGCTTTACATACATTAGCAAAGGACCGCTTGCTGCCTGGAAGTGGTGGTTTATATTCATTGGCGTCGTTTTAGTTATCTGGGGATTGTTCATCATGTACTGGCTACCTGACTCCCCAACGCGTGCCAAATGCTTCACAGTCGAGGAAAAGCGTGACATGATCGAGCGTGTCCGTGACAACCAGACGGGCATTCAAAACGAAAAATTCAAGCGCGAGCAAGTGGTTGAAGCCCTGCTCGACCCACAGGTTTGGGCCTATTCTGTTATCAACCTATGCACCACATTGCCTACGGTTGGATTGTCATCATTTGCGAACATCATAATCAAAAGTTTTGGATATTCAGCGAGGAATAGCCAACTATTGTCGATGCCTCTTGGACTCTATGTAATGATTATCCTTCTTTCGGCCTCTTGGTTTGCCAAGAGAACAAACCAAAATGTGCTCGTGATGCTCGTGTATATGATCCTGTGAGTTCCCCTTTTTCATTTCACTGAGATGGAGAGTAATACTGATAGTGCAGGTCTTTTGTAGGAACGATTCTTCTTATGACTCTCTCAGAGAATACAAAGAGCCAGCGCATTGGTCTCCTTTTGTGCTATTACATCACCTTTTCTTTCTGGGCGACTACAGCTCTGAGCCTGTCATTGCTATCGAGGAACATTGCTGGACAGACTAAGAAGATGGTCACCCTCACGCTCACATTCATCATGTGGGCTGTTGGCAATACTGTTGGTATGTCCCCCAAGCTGTCCCCGTGGAAAGGCAATAAATTTAATACCTCTGCAGGACCCCAGGTCTTTCTGGCGTGGGATGGCCCGCGATACTTCATAGCATTCGCAACCCATCTTGGATGCTACTCTGTCCTGGTAGCTGTCCTGGTTGTCTTACGTTGGTATTTGCAGAAACAGAATAGTTATAGAGATCGTATGGCTGCAGAAGGAGTGCAGGAGGCAGATCCCAAGGACAGATCTAGGGCTTTTGACGACCTGACCGACAAAGAGAATCTGTCTTTTAGGTACGTGTTCTAAGGTTGATATTGAGATTGCATCATAGCCTGGTTGATGGTTGCAAATATGAAGTCCGGCTTTGATGGAAGATTTCAAGACCCTTTCATGTCACCGCATACTAGCTCTACCTTAGAAGAGGGTGGGGTTGGAGGTGCTTCTACCCCAACGCTCTGATTTTAGTAGTTCATAGTCTGAGATGAGGTTAAATGCCAATACTACATACCCGCTTTCTAAGGCTCCAAGCCTTTCCTACCATCAGTTCACCGGAATATCCCGTTCCAAGGTTCTGTCTCGTATTAGCGGGCCTGAACACCCATGGGTGGAGAGTTGCCGAATTGTCAAATCAGATACTATTCTGAATGGGCTTTAGGCTGGATCAGGGATCATTCTCTCCGTAGAGTAAGAGGTTGGTGCTGCTCCGTAGAAGTTCCTTGGTTGGGTAAAGAGACGGCAGTGAGTGGTGCTATAATGGGGGACCTGCACTTGACCATTGCTCTGCAAGTTGTCGTTATGTCCAAAAAGAGATAGATAGATGACACATCCATGATATCCTGCTTTTTTGCATTTTAAAAGCCCGTGGGCACTTCTCAATTTCATCAGGATCCACTCGTCTCAATTCATGTTCACATCACTTTTCTTTGCCGCACTCAATGTGTGCCACACAATAAATCAAGGAAAGGGAAAACTGCACCACTTTTGTTTTTGGAGTATAAAAATCAATCAATTTCACTGCTGTGCAGATCCGCGATAAGCCCCGCCTTCGCTACTTTAAAGGCACTTGGACTCCGAAGAACAGTCCCCTTTTGCGTGGAATATTAATGTCCTGGTCCATCTTTAGTAGCAATGATGATGCCTCAAGGCAAGTTAAGTGGAGAAGTAGCAAAACCGAAGTGGGAAGGATCGGAGCACATAACGACCGAGCACCGATAACCCAATTATATTGTTGCGTGTTAGCCTATCACGGGAAACACGTCGGACGGGCGAACATTGAAAGGCCGGTGCACCGACAAAAAACTCTTGGACTTGGCTTGCCGAGAGCCGGAATGGAGATGTTTTCCAGATGCTTTAGTATCATCTGAGCAGCAAATCATGAAAATGGCGCATAGCATCGGCAATTTTGGTGTAGTATTTAAATATTCTTTGGAGAATACGCTCTAGAAATAATTTAGGTTCCGCTAGATTGGGAAGCTGGTCCTCTACAAACGCCGAATTTCGGGAGAGATGGTTCTCAAGCTCAGTGATAGGCGTTGAGAGACATTGTACCTTGCTACCAAAGAGAATCAAGCTAGCCCATAGGTCCGGGAGATGATGAATAATTGTCATAAATTCTCTAGCCTTCCAACAATTGTTGTGAGGATCGTCAAGTAGCAAAGAATGGCATATGAAGCCTATTCTAGACCTTCAATAAAACAAGCACTTCAGCCAATCGCGCCAATATCTCGCTCTACCTTCGGCTCCCTAAGCATAATCAGTCCATTCGACGATCCTATCTTTCTCATCAAACACCAACACGCTCAAGCAGTCCAAGGAAGCACGAGTTCCTGCCTTCCAGCCAAATCCCGGCACGTCAATTGCGGGCACTCCTTCCCATTTGTGCTCAAGGAAAAGAACATTCCCATTCAATGCCCATCGTGCGGGCGCAGAAAAAGCCCTCCCAGGAACATTTGCAGAATATTCCTCGATCGATTTGAGGAGAGCGTCACGCCTTTGGCCTTTGAAGCGGTTGCTGTGCGCCCAGAGTAGATCTGAATCCACTACTTCAGTTATATTCGAGGCATCCGATGCGTTGTAGGCGTCGAAGAAGCGCTTTGCCACATCAAGATATTTGTGTTCAGCCATAATGATGCCCAAATGTTGGAGGGGGAATCAGAATGAAATTGGACAATTAAAATGGGCCCAGGTAGTGCTTTAGCTTGAAGTTGTCGCGTAAGCAAAAAGAATTATGATGTGTTGAAGCGGTGGAATACCCACGTTTTATACTAGTACAATCTATCCCGGAGCCACGGGCGATTCTGTTTGAACGTCAACAACCTTGGAATATGACCACCAGCTCCAATAATGTATGTGTGTGAAGCCAGAATAGGTAGCGCAGCTAAGGCCACCGATGTGGAGCCCTGGAGCCCAACACCGTGACGCGGAGATCAAACGGTTCAGTTCCCAGACTCGACCCTTCCTGCTCATTCACTGGCAACACTTTTTGCAGCCAATAGGTCCCACATTCAATACCCGCCCGGCACCGTTGCGATTGGCTTGAGGGCGAAGTTTCTTGCGTCCTCATTTTGCAGGTATGCCCACGAATGACGTCTCTGCAGTATCATCTCTATTTGGAACTACGACAGAAAGCAAGTACAGAATCATCCTCGTTTGTCGAGGTCGTTGCACGATTAAACCTTGGAAATGTTGACATAGGCAAGATGCGTGCCATGCGGGGCCTATCTACCGTTTAAAGGACGTCGTCTCCCTTCCTCCCCATTGCCAAATCCTCTTAATCTAAGATTATGACCTTGCTCACATCTCGACACATTATAACAATTGAAAATGGCGAGAATCGACGTTCATGCGCACTGCGTGCCGCAATCATACCGCGAATACTGTCTTGCGAACGATTTCGCGCAGAAGGGCCACCCTGATGGGATGCCTGCGATACCGGTATGCGTTCAGGATACCTTCAATACCAATACCTACCACCTGGTACTAATGTGTCATATAGCCCTGGGATCCTTTGGACCACATTGCCTTGATGAAACACCTCAATATCCAGAAGTCAGTCCTGAGCATGTCATCGCCAGGTACTCATTTGACGCCCGGTAATAATGAGGAAGGCAGGTTGGTGACCCGACGTGCCAATGAAGACATGGCCAAAATCTGTGCCGATCACCCGGACCACTTTCTATTTTTCGCATCCCTGCCACTTCCTGACGTTGAGGGGTCTCTGGAGGAAGTCGACTATGCGTTGGATCATCTCGGCGCATTGGGATTTCAAATTCTCACGAACTCACACGGCATCTACCCCGGCGACCCGCGATTTATCCCCGTGTTTGACAAATTGAATAAGCGCAAGACAATTGCCTTTTTCCATCCAACTAGCTGTCATGTTCAAGATCCACAAGATGCATCATCGGTGCAGCGGATCAACCCGCAACCAGGAGTCGCAAGCCCAGTGGTAGAGTTCATGTTCGATTCAACCCGATCTCTCCTGAGCCTGCTCACATCGGGGACAGTGACGCGATGTCCCAATATCACGTTTGTGGTATGCCATTGTGGAGGGACATTTCCGCCCGTTTTGGAGCGGATTGCCGAGTGCTCGGGTTTTCTCATTGAGGGAGGGAAACAGATCAGTGGTGAAGAAATCAAAAATCTCTTACAGAACCGATTCTATTTCGATTTGGCAGGCGTACCATTCCCCGACCAAGTGCACGGTCTGCTTCGAATCGTTGATTCTTCAAGGTTAGTGTATGGAAGCGACTATCCGTTTACCCGGGCACCGCTGGTTGAGGCTCTCGCCAAAAGAGTTGATGTTGGTCTGGAAACTAACTTCGGATTGGCTGTGAAACATCGTGTTTTGTCAGATAACGCCAAGAAGTTGCTGGGGATATAACATGGATTTCTCTGGGCAGTATCATAGTACCGAGGGCTGCGACTCATGGCATCTATTATTCGCTGTGAGTATGACCTGAAGAAAAATAGAAAAGAGTGGAGATTTAATCAAAATTTCTTATATACAAATCACGACAAATTGTAAGGACTCGGATGTTTGCAAATAAAACAGTAGTACTATTGAATGAACTTCAAAGTAATAAGTTCAAGAGGAAAGAGAGAGAAGAGACGATACATCTCTAGACATAAGCTCATCCTACTCTAGATTTGGATCGTGCTAACACACACCTCACAAAACCAAAGAAATTGGGTGGCGAGCTAGGAAGGGTATGCTGAAAGCGCATTAGGCTGAGCGTCAATAAGAGCCCCTTTGATAACGAACTTGGGCAGTCGCTGGCCCCATTGAATGAGTGATATGTTGAGATATTACCGCGTTCGTTGTTGCGTCTGCCGTATCCTCAGCCGTTGCGTCTATTTCCCCTTCTGCCTCTGCTTCCGCCGTTGCATCTGCCTCTGCTTTTGCTTCCGCTATGAGATCCGTTTCTCGTATTTGCAAACCCGTCTTGTCCCGAACAAGATCAACCCACTCTTTACTCTGAAGCTCGTCCCAGTTCCCGTCATACTACCCACATTACTCAGTAAGCAATCCGCCTCGGTCTCGTTGCCTTATCAGCCGGTTGACATTTACCTCGTTTTTGATCTTCATTAGGACATCGCGGATGTTGTATGTATCCTGCGCTGGAATGCGGGTCAAATTGGCGATATAGCTTTCGCTGGGGAAGTCTCGGGGCCGCCGCGTGTAGCGCCACATGGAGGTGTCGCTGGTGAATGGACCGGGAAGATCCGATACTAAAGGTACCCGAATGCAGAACTTTTCCTTAAATGTGGGTTCTAGGAGCTTAGCTTTGTTCCTGTTACCACTGAAGACGAGAGCGCGGTGGAGACGACCATATCGCTTCTTGAGTCTGATCTTTTGACCCCGTGGGATAGCGACGCGTTAGCCAATGTTTTATAGTGTGACACCTCAGGATATCGGGGTCGCTGTTAGCGTACCTGGATGCAGAATTTGAATTCGAGGAGCTGTTCCAGCGGAACATGTCGGCGGTCCTTAACCTGCCGGTCAGCTAGTAATCCCTGCCATGTCTCCTGCTCTTTTGTAAAAAGCGATTGCCTCGCTGAGTCGAGTTCGTGTTGTGTTGCATTTCCAGATTCGGTCCTATCGACCCAAGCCCTCCCTCGCAATACGCCCCTGGCATTTTCGAGTCTTTCGATGGGAAAGGAATCGATCGGGACAGCTCGCTTCACGAGGACGTGTCGCTTGACAGTATGCGTCAGATCTGGAGTGAGTGATGCGATCTCTTTGTAATTAGCTGCCCAGAACCATTGATATCGCGGGGTGTCGACCTTGCGGCGTCGCTTTCGCGCTTCTGGTTATTCGAAGGCGTTGTTATACTCATAACATAAGAGTTAAGATAGTGACGTGACTGACTCACCAGAAAACACTTGATGTGCGCTCACGCTCCACGTGTTGACACTGTGCTCTATGGTGCATTCCCTTGACCGCGAGATACCCAGTGAGATATTCGCGGAGGGTGTACCAGAGAGGGAGATCCCAAGGTCTCCCCGAAACCGTCTTACTCGACGTTCTAGTCACCGTGAACGCGCCTGTGGTGTCAGATTTCGGCTCAGTCAGGAGATCTTCATCGCCAGATGAGTTTAGGTACTGTAGACAGATGTCATGGAAGAAGAGCTCATGACCGTCTCTAATAGATGAGACTGTTAATAAAAAGTCACGACACCAAAATGGTCCAGGGAGCCAAACTTTTTATGCGCGCTATAATCAACAATAGTTGTTTCGACGTGAAACCGGGCAGTAATGTGGTATTTCCCATGGTGTCTCTCAACAGTGATAAGCGGATCAAGTATACCGATCGAGACGTACGGGGCTCCCCTCGCGTTCGACCCTCTGAGCCACTGGTCTCGGAGCCCAAAGTATGCGACGTTATTGCTCTGCTGCTCGTCAAAGGACAGATTTGACGGCGTGCCAATGAGTCCAGGCTCAACCCAGTCTGCTACCGATCCTTCGCCGACAGCTGCAGAAACACGCGACGCGCCGTCTGGAACTCCGGGCCCAGCTGCCCTCTCTTCCGAGATCGAGTGGGGTTTTTCTGATCCATCGCTTCCAGCTCGCTTCTCAGGATCAGCTCCCGACGCCATTCCAAGTTTTTGTAGTGGACTCTCTGGCGTCCTGCAGGATCACCAGCGGGGTACGCTAGAAATACACATTAGGCAGGAAGTCACAGTATAACAGAACGTCCGGGATACGTGAGGGAGAATCTCGAATTCGTCTTCAGCTCGAGTTGTAAGCGCGGATTACCCCCGCGCGAGCGAGCCACTAAGATCTATCGTATCCAAAATAATACATAGGCCCGGGGTAAATAAAGCGGAAATTCGCGTCAGTCGCCAAGTTCAAAAAAACACAACCTTCGAAGCGATTGGAACCACCTGTTTGAAAACACCAATACTAATTTATGTAAATTATGCAACACATGTACCCTTGGTTTTCGCCCCGAACAAGAATGCTTAAGCCGAGAATACCATGCATGGTCATTTTGGCTTCACGAGGCCTATCAGGAGCTGGCCCCGGCTCGGGATCTTTGCTCGGACTACGCCGATGGCCTCGGCCAACAATCAGATTCACTATGTACGAGTCCCTTCTCAGAAATGCCAAGCAATCGAGGGGAATTCGCCAAGATGCAAATTTTTCTTGTATCTCGGTCCTTGTTTTTTTCTCTTTTCCTGATGAAATCGCTCCTCTCCGCCTTTTTTCTCCCATTTTTTTGTACCTTTCATGCTACAATAACATCTCAGTTTTTCCACGGTGATCCATCTGTATTGCCGGCAGCATGTCCCACTCAGACTCCAAATCAGATCTAGGCCCCCATTCGCCAACAGTGGCCGCTATCCAGTCCGCGGAGCCTCCCCGCACTTTCTCTGACCCGGAGACCAACTCTGTCAAGATCGTGGGTAAGGGGGTGGAGGTTGTGGAGAAGGACTCGATGGATAAGCGCGATGACTCCATCGACGGCGGCTCTATCAAACCCACCTATGATCATACTCACCGTAAGCTGAAACCACGCCATGTTCAACTGATCGGCATCGGCGGTACGATTGGCACTGCATTGTATGTGCAGATCGGCTCTGGCCTGCGCACAAGTGGGCCTGGGAGCTTGTTTCTTGGATTCTCTATTTGGTAAGTCGAAATCCTCCTCCAGCTTTCCTATTTGTCTTTCCCTTGGAAGCCTGGGTTATCTCGACAATTTCCTTTGAGAGTATAAGCTTTACATAAGATGAACATCATACGAATCAACTATCCCAAAAAGGGATACAATCAGAACAAAAGCAGAGCAACGCGGGAGAAAAGACGAAGACAAAAGAAGAAAGTTTCAGTCCTTCAGCCACCTCCAAGGACGTAAGCAGATCTAGGCAAAGCTTGTTTCGAATCCGACGTATCAAAATCAGTCATCTATGCCCAAACAATGAATCCCAAAGCGAAATCAACCCAGACATCCAACCCCAGAATTCTGCCCAAAAAGCCCTTCTGAATACCCGAATTGGAATCTTACACCTTGATTTTATAGGAGTGCCGTTATCCTGATTATCACAGTTTGTACGAGTCCCTCTTCGAAGTTGAACCCCCAGCCCCAACAACAAAATGGCAATCCTAAGCAACACTATACTCCCAAAGCACCAAAATGAACATGAAACTTCCCTCGCGCCGCCCATACCTGAAGCAAAAAGGCAAAAGAGAACACTTTTGCATCACAATCACCGATATTGTAGTCTACTATACTCACATCTCTCTCCAGGTCTCGCAGAGATGGTCACCTACCTCCCCATCTCCTCACCATTCATCCGATTCGCCGGCCGCTACGTCGATGAAGCCCTCGGCGTCGCAGCAGGATACAACTTCTTCATTTTCGAAGCCGCCCTCGTCCCCTTCGAGATCGTCGCCGTCAGTCTAATCGTCAATTACTGGACGAGCGTGATCCCCGTCGCAGCTATGAATGTGATCGTCCTGGTACTATACACGTAAGCACCCAACCCCATCCACAACATAAACAACTTGGAACGTGAACAAGTTCCAACTTCAACTTTCAATTCCTTGTCATACTAGTAGCACCTTCGATTTCCAAGGTTCCACGGCTCCAACACCCCATTCTAACATCTCCTACCTTCCTCCAGAGCCCTAAATGTATTCGCCGTGAAATGGTACGGCGAAGCTGAATTCTGGCTATCCCTCGGCAAAGTCCTCCTAAGCATCGGCCTAATATTCTACACGGTCGTGGTAATGCTAGGCGGAAACCCACTCGGCGACCGCTTCGGCTTCCGATACTGGAACGAGCCCGGCGCCTTCAACGAGTTCTACAAGACCGGCGACACGGGCAAATTCCTCGGCTTCCTCAGCGCACTAATAACAGCGAGTTTCACCATTGCCGGACCAGACTACGTCTCCATGGCCGCGGGCGAAACGATGAACCCCCGCGTCGTTCTTCCAAAGGCTTTCAACGGCGTCTTCTACAGACTAACGGCCTTCTTTGTCCTCGGAGTTCTGTGCGTTGGGATTCTCGTGCCCTACAATGACCCCACCATGGCCGATGCGTTCGATAAGGGTAAACCTGGAGCGGCGGCTTCGCCATATGTGATTTCGATGGATCGGTTGGGAATACCTATCCTGCCGCATATTGTCAATGCGGTTGTTTTGACGGCTTCATTTAGTGCAGGGAATAGTTATGTTTACTGCGCTAGTCGAAGTCTTTATGGGCTGGCGTTGGAGAAGAAGGCACCCGCTTTCCTGACGAAGTGTACATCGAAGGGTGTGCCGGTTTACTGTGTGGGTGTTGTGCTTTTGATTGCGCTGTTGAGTTTCCTCCAGGTTTCGAATGGTGCTTCGGTTGTTTTGAATTGGTTTGTTAATCTGGTACGTTCTACTACCCTTCAAGTTCCAAGGTTTGGAATAACTATGATTTCTCGCTGTGGATTCGGTGCATATCTAGTTATATCGAAATAAACTGACACTTTGCCAGGTGACTGCCTCCCAACTCATCAATTTCTCCGTCATCACATTCACATACATCCGCTTCAAAAAGGCCGTCGAAGCCCAAGGAATTTCCCGCGAAACACTGCCCTATCGTAGCATGTTCCAGCCATATATTTCCTATATCGCATGCATCGCTACGACGATTATGGCTTTTGTCGGTGGCTACACGGTCTTCCTGCCGGGGCATTGGTCCATTCCGACATTCCTGTTTTCTTACACTATGATTGGTGTTTTCCCTGTGCTTTACTTTGGGTGGAAATTCTTTCATAAGACGAAATTCCTTAAGCCGGAGGAAGTTGATCTTGTTACTGGTCTCGCTGAGATTGAGGAGTATACCAGGGATTATGTCACTGAACCGCCCAGGTAGGTTCTTCTCGCCCTGTTTTTGATTTTCGTTCTCCGTGAGACTGTGATTCTAACCTGTGGGCCTACTTAGGAGTACTCTTCATAAGTATATCGGCAAACTGTTCGATTAGCGAGAGGTCGAGCTGAACAGCGCAGCGCAGAGCGAAGAGCTTGAACTTCCAAGGTTGTTGAAGTGACTTGCGAAGCTGAACAACAGAGATATCCACGTTGCATAACTTCTATAGATCCAGTGCTTTGACCGGTCACTACATTACGATGAAAATTATAGAATAGTCAATTGAAGTTAAGATATGCCCAGATAGAAAATCTTTCCAATGCAACGCTGTAAACATTCTTTAAGAAACTATTGTACATATGGCCCTTGCACTTTCATCCCATATATATGAGTTCTAGCAGAAACCTCGCTGGAAGAGCGCAGTTCTCAACAAAAGGTTCCGAGTCTGGATTCCCTACTCCACGCCCTGTGCCTTCAACGCCTCAAGCCGCTGCTTATTCCGCTTCCCAAGCACTCGCAGCGTACTCTTCTGCTCCATCTCCGTCATCTGATCCCAATTTCCGATCCGCGACAACGTCCCGTCGACATTCACAACCATGGGACCGAGATGGTCTAGCGAGACGCCGCCGTCCGCACCGAGGTCTAGGCGAAGCTGCTTTGGTTGGCCTTCTTCTGCGGAGGCGGTTTCGGGGAGGTAGAGTTGCTCTTGCGCTTGTTCTGAGCCGGAATTTTGGGGCTGGGACGAGGGCTCTTGGTTGGGTTTGTTGGTGTTGGTTTCGGGGGTTGAGGAGGGCATTGTGTGTGCTTGTCTTGTGTTGCACTGGGGGAAGAGAATTGTGTAGAGGCGTGAGGTTGGGGTTTGGGGTGCTGCCGTGGTGAGGCTCCAGGTGGGTTGGTGGATTGAGGCGCGGGTGAGCAGAGGGTTTACGCTGAGGTGGAGGAGGGCGGCGCGGTAGGCTGTTCGCGATAGTTGCATGCTGCCACGGTATGTGGTTGGAGGTTGGTTTGCGGAGGCGAAAAGTGGTTGACGGGGAGGTGGAGATGTAGGTCAGTCGGAGGTGAGCCGGGCGGGTCTTCACTACTTAGTTTGTACTCGGGACTGCTAGACAGTTACCAGCAGCCTGGTAACAATTCTATATTCTTAGATTATTGCTAATATTACATCTGTTTATTATATCTATTTATTGTACAGGCTTCTGCTCGTCACCGAAACCACCAGTTGACCTGTAGGAACAATTAGCACCCACCACTACCTGAAACAATGCACAAAGAAGTACTTACCGACGCAGTAACGCCCTCCCCGACACCTTTAATACTATGCCACCACCCCTTTGGAATAAACAAACCATCCCCAGCACCAAGCACAGCCTCAACCCCCTTCCCATCCGAACCAGCAGAAACAGGAGCACCCCAAACCATATCATCCAACAGCGCCCGCTCTTCCCCCTGCATCATCTCCTCCCCCCGAATCGCCGCCGCGCCCCGATCACTACTCTTCCCCAACTGCCTCCTCACACCCGCGAAAACAGCCTGCCCATCCTCTGGAGCAAGCAGCCTCACAATTTTGCGCCCCGCCAGCTGAACAAAGAGATTCGGATTCGGATCACGGTGCAGAGGCGTGTAGGTTGGCGGGTGGCCAATCCAAACATTCGCGTCGTAAACATCGCCCTTCCCAGCGTGCGCGACGATATCCGGCGTCGGAACGTCGGCGCGTAGAATTGGAGGTAGGTCGAGGAGTTGACACTGTGCTAGGTAGAGTCTCGTTGCTTGGGGCGAGGTCTTGGCCACGCGCATCCATTCTAGGAAGAGGTGTAGCGGGGCGTGGAATTGGCGGAAGCTGCGGACTTCGGCAGAGAGGGGGTCGGCTAGTTCTGTGAGCTCGAGGGGGACGAAGGCGTCGGCGGCGTGGGTTTGGAGGTATTCGGTGTTTAGGCTGGCGATTGATTGATCTTCGCTTGTTAGCGAGCTATTGCCATTGACAATGCCATTCCCATCGTTGTTCTTGACGTGGAACCATTTTGTTCGCGCTGGTGTATTGAGGAATTCTGAGCGAGGGAGGATGGCGGGTTTCTCGGGGAGAAAACATTGCTGTTGGAAGGTGGTGATCTGTGAGTCGGGGAGGATGTTGAGGGGTTGGTATGGGAGGATTGGGGAGTTGGAGAAATCGCAGAGGGCCGATCGTGGTTGTAATGGGTTAAGGCTTGTTCTGTGGGGAAGGGGTCGGCGTAGAACTCGACTTGGGAGAAACCATGACTGCTGCAGGGGCATACAGGCGTGAGTTTGGGGTGGTGAGAGGTGAGATGGAAGAATTAAAGAATGGATGCACGGGGGGAATTCCCCGGCTTGCATTGATGTCTTGGCATCAAAATGAACGCAAGTACTGAATAGCCTCATTCAATCATGTATTTCATTGACTCCGCGATATTGGGATGCTATTGTTTCCTTAATTAAGGACAGTTAGTAACGTCCTGCGAACACAAACCCAGTATGAACTAATGTACTATACTAATGTACTATACTAATGTACTAAGGTAGTAGTGCATGGAATTACCGAGGTTGCCAAGCGGGACCCCCTCTTCTCTCTTTCTTCAGATCTTCGAGTCTGGGTCATCTGGGCCGATCTGCAATCTATTTTACTCTTGTCGTCGTAGCTGATTATTTCTTCCCTTCATATCTCTGTACCGCGGTTGCTAGTGCTCCTCTTCACATGCTGTACTAGAACTTGATCTACTAGGTAACTTATTCACTGGGTAGTATCTACCACCACATCTATTATCCGACCGTGTACTCTGCGCAGGTCAGAGTCAAGTCCACCTGGGAAGGCTCCAAGGACTGGACTTGATAACTTTCAAGCTTGGCTAAAGGAAGAGCTAAGATTTCAGGATGCCTTCTGTTGCAAGAATTCATAAGCGCCATGCTTATGGCAAAGATGCGCATACCTACTACCCCGTTCTTATCGTCGGTGCCGGAGAGTCCGGCGTCGCGATGGGCTGTCGATTGAAGCAGGTCCTGGGAACAGACCAGTTTCGAATCTTTGAGCGACAATCCGGTATTGGAGGTACTTGGTGGATCAACCGGTATCCCGGTGCTGCTTGTGACATGTATGTGTTGAGCCGATCCGGTTCGCGACCTGCCCTGTGTCTAACATATTACCTCTCCTTTCTTTAGTCCGGCAGTATTCTACTCTTTTTCCTTTACGCCCAAGAAGAACTGGTCGACCTTGCACCCTTCTGGTCCGGAAATCGCTCAATATCTAGCCGACGTCTGTGAAGAGTATCAGATCGTCGATAAGATTCAGTTCCACACCGACGTCAAGCATCTTCGGTGGATTGAGCAAGATGAGGAGTGGGAGGTAACTCTTTCGCATCTTGTTCCTGGAACCGGAGATCTATCGGCCTACGAACGGGAGCAACTTGCTATTGAAGATGGCCCACATGCAGTCTTCGTCAAGGAAGAGATTGTCCGCGCTAAGGTCGTCGTCAGCGGAGTAGGCGGTTTGGTCGAGCCTAAGACATGGCCAAAAGATATTCCCGGAATCGAAGGCTTTGAAGGAGAAATCATGCACACAGCACGATGGGATGACGAGATCGACCTGCAAAATAAGGACGTGGTTGTTCTCGGCTCTGGATGCAGTGCCGCACAAGTGGTTCCTGAGCTGGCAAAGCCCGAAGCCAATGTTCGCTCTATCACACAACTGATGCGAACACCTCCATGGGTACAACCCGATCTCCTCCCACCCAATTTACTGGAGAAGTGGGACAGATGGATGCCAACTCTGTGCACCAATATCCCAGGCCTGTCACGACTTCTGCGCAACAATGTGTTCCTCATGCTTGAACACAACTTCTTTGCCATGTTTACGGACAATGCCTACGGCCGCTGGAAGAGACCGCAGATTGAAGAGGCATTCCTTGCTCATATGCGCAAAATGGCACCGGAAAAATACCACAAGATTCTCACCCCAGATTACAGCTTAGGCTGTAAGCGTCGTATCATCGACGGCACCTGGTACCGTAGCTTGAATTCATCCAAGGTCGAGCTGACGACCCAACCATTGACCCGTGTTCACGCAAAGAGTGTGACTATTGGACCGGGCAACTTCTACCCACGTAATCAGAGCAATGATACTGAGGACGTTCGGGAAATCCCCGCCGATGTTCTCATCCTGGGCAATGGCTTCGAGACAAACAAATGGCTCCATCCGCTCAAAATGACCGGCAAGGGAGGTAAAGATCTTCAGGACCTCTGGGATGAGCGAGGAGGTGCTCAGGCGTATTTGGGAATTGCGATGGACCAGTTCCCTAACTTTTTTATGTTGTTCGGTCCGAACACGGCGACGGGACATACTAGTGTCATCTTTGCGACTGAAAATGCCGTTAACTACTCGCTCAAGTTCATCAAGCCCATTCTCGAGGGCAAGGTGAGCTCCTATGAGGTTAAGGAGGATGCTGAACGTGCGTGGACAAAGCGGTTGCAGGATCAACTGCAGAAGACTGTCTTCCGTCGAGGCTTGTGTGCCAGCTGGTATATTACCGAAGACGGATGGAATTCTTCGACTTACCCGTGAGTACCCCCCTCCCCCTCCCTATCTCTCCCTTGTTCTGCCAGATCAATGGAATCGGTTGCTCACCAGAAGCAGGTGGTCTCAAGTTCATTATTGGCTGCGATGCTCGTTCCCATATTGGAGCCATTGGACTGCAAAGAGAACCCACAAAGGGGCTGTTCTACAGCGTATCCATAGGGGCATTCGAATTTCTGTTCTCTTCAGTATCTTTGCTGCTGTTGCGTGGCTGCGCAAGAATCCGCGTCAGGGCACCCAGCTGCTGCAGAGTCTACGGATGGGCAAGGCACTGCTCCTGTATAAAATCCAGGACCTAGTTTCCAACTGAGATATATATATAGCCATAGTTTCAATAATACTTCCATTCATCATACCCATCAGACACAAAGAGTAGTACTATGCAGCTCGTAATTATATACCCGATTATATACATAGAACCCGAGTAGTACAGACCGACCAATCGGAGGGCCTTTAGAGTGGTGACTCAGCCGATCTGGGGAAACGGGCGACCCCGACCCCCGCGAACATGGAAGGTCTCCGCACTCCCTCGCCGTCCATTCTCCTCAAAATTTCTTCTGGTATCTTGTCTTATCAAGTGAAATGGCTTCCGAGTCGCCTCAGCTTGAAGGCACTCCGCCAACAACAGGCCCTGGCGATCAGGCCACTACTCCTGGCACCGATTCCGCCAAGAGGAAGGCGGAACAGAGCAACGGAACGAACACGCGCGCAAAGCGGAATCGTTACATCTCCATCGCATGGTATGATTATGGTCTGACTCCATCTGATATCGTTCCGAGGCTCCGTCTGTCCACTTCAGCCCTATAGTCGGCTCTGAACTGCGGCATTCATGCAAAATCAGGCCACGACTTCCTTCGTGGCCATCTGCTAGGCCTCGGATCTGTACATGCCGCTCGGGACTAACCTCCGGCTCTTTGTTTAGTAACGAATGCAAGCGTCGCAAAATCAAGTGCAATGGGCAAGTTCCTTGCCAGCGATGTGGGCATCTCAATCTGGAATGTATGAACTATCTATTTACCCACCCATCGTATGAGGTCTGCCGTCCACCGACCACCATCCAGCAATGGTCGGCTCGGAAAGCGAACATCGATGTCGGAATAATCGATACTGACACCAAAACCAGGCCGATATGCGCCGAATTGCTGCACCAATAACTTCAAGGATTCCGAGTAAGTCGCGGAATTATGATCAGAGACTTTCCCCTTTGGGCACTGGCTAATCCAAAGCCAACCTAGTGAGTTCCGCTCGATGACCTCTGAGATCACGACGCTACAAGAGCAAGTCAATACTTTGTTCACCAATCTCAATGAGCTCCGCACTCAGCGGCCCGCCTTTGAGTCTCCATCGTTTGATCATCTCTCGCGTGATGGCTCTCAGTCGGTGTTCACCCCGATGCCCGCAGCCATGCCGAAGACCCGATCCCGTCACCCACGCTTCCATGGCCCCACCAGTTCGGCATTCAACTTCGATGTTGCCAAGTCTAGTCTGCAGAGTATGGGTATCACCCATGGAGAGGACGGGATACCCGATGACTTGACGACGGCGCAAGTCACGCCGACGGGGTCTCCAGCTCCTAACATGGGCGCGCTCGTGCCGGTGATCCATCCTACCAAGGACCCGATCTGGGCTATTCGTCGAGAGGAGGCTGTGCGTCTATGCAAAGTGTACGAAGAAGAGATCGGGATTATGTATCCCGTGGTGGATATTACCACTGTGACTAATCAGGCTAATTTGTTATACACTTTCATGGAAGCTGCCACGCGGACTGGATTTGCTCAGAGGGGACTCCCAGGCGCTGATAGTCTTCAGGATGATAGTACTATCTTGTTGAAATTGATCCTGGCCACCACACTGGTCGTGGAGGCGGGTGGGCAAAGTGAACTCGGCCAGCGACTGTTCCTGAGTATCAAGCCGGTGATTGAATCGAAGTTATGGGAGCCGCATGATATCAAAAATATCCAACTCTTTACTATTACGGTATGTGAATCTCCTTGAAAATAATATTTGTGTTTGGTTGACTGATTTGAGTGTTCCTCCCACCAGGCTACCTACCATTTTCACACTGATGACGATGCTATGGCCTATCGGTTAATCGGACTGGCTGCACGCATGTGTCTCGAGATGGGTCTACATCGTAAGGATGCTTTGGTCAAGTCTTTTCCTCTTGAAAACCAGTGGACTGAGGTCACTCGGATCTTCTGGACTGTATATAGTTTGGACAGGAGATGGAGTCTAGGCACGGGCTTGCCCTTTGTAATTCAGGACGAAGATATCGATCCAAATCTACCCGAACCGGTGAGCTTAAAAGATATTCCCCTAGATCCCAATGCCCGGCTAACATATCTACTCCCAGGACTCATCTTTGCTTTATCTACGTTGTATGATTTCTTATAATCGAATCAGTTCCAAGATCTGGTACTCTGGCCTTGGCTCAGAAGGCGCCACCGATATCCGACGCGATGAGATTGGATATTTGGACTACCAAGTTCTACAATGGTACAAACAGGTACCGGACGAACTCAAATTCTATCCGGTGGAATCGCCCAAGAACGGCGATCCCGCAAGCCGAGGAATGAGGCGTCTCCGCATTCTGCTCTACCTCCGTATGAACCAGCTACGCATCCTCATCTACCGCCCCGTCCTCCACTCAGCCGCAAGTATCATCGAGGACCGCGGTCATGCACAGACTGTGGTGGATGTGGCCAAGGACACAGTTCGGGTCCTCACCCGCCTCAACCAGATGTCCGATATATACCGCACTCAGCAGATCACATTCAACTACTTCCTCGTCGCTGCTCTAGCGGTCCTCTTCTTGGCCGTGTCTCATGCCCCGGCAGACTTCAATCGACAAGTGCGTGACGAGTTCTACATGGCCCTCGATCTGATCAATGGCTTCAGCACTAAGTCATATGTATCCAAGCGATTGTGGAAGACCATCAAGGGGCTCCGCAAGATCGGCGAAAAACTGGGCGTTTTTGCCCGCACATTTGGAAATGATTCGAATGACCCCCACTCAAGTGCGGCGGTTGCCATGGCGGGTCTTGCAGGGCACTCGATCGACGACTTGTCTGCTTACGGCCCGATGAATGGGGTGAATGAACTTGGCAATAGCCCCTTGAATGGACTACAGATGAGCCACGAGCTTACGAACTTGTTTGAGGCGGTCGGGTCATTTGGTAGCTTTATGCCTCCGACTAGTGGTGCTGATAGTATGAGTGGGTTTGTTGGTGACGATGGTGAGATCCAGAATACTGGGGAGGGACTCTCTGGCATATTGGGCGGCGAAGAGGAATTTTCACGCATTATCCGTGGCCTATTTTGAACATTACCATATTGTAACAAGTCTGAATCTTGACTGCAATTCCTGTTATCAAGTAAATAGGTAGTACCTAGTATATATACAAGTATCTGGATACCTAAGGTATAGTCCCATTTTATACGAAGTCCTACTGTACCACGTGACTGCCATTACCTTTTCTGCCCCGCCCAATTCGCATCAGATCAGCTTCCAGGGCTTGCTTTGACATCCAGCGCATGCAGCTCTTCATCCCTTGAAGTTCTTGTACCTCGAAAATAAGGCTCATCCACTCTTCTCATCTTCCGCCCCTCACCTCTCCAACCGAGCCGAGCCTACAAGTGGGAACGACCGAGGAACGAGTTCAGTCGAACTTGCAGAAACCCAAGCAATCTCTGAGCCTGATGAACATTTATCTATGAAGGTTCATCTTCATCTGCATATTCCTCTCCACTGTAAGTCAATCACCTGGATGATCATCCTCCAAACTAGAAAATGGTTGATGGAAACTGATAAGGCGGTGGTGGGGCGAAAGCAGGCTAAGATACGCCGTTCTCGACTTTGATCGCACAACCTCCCCCCCCTCCCGCACAGTGCCATGAGCGCTCAGCTTCCCCACTAAACATCGACCTCCTCCACCCAAGTCGAATCCTGACCGATCTCTCCAATTCCAACGATCCTTGTCCTGGGTCGCTGAAACTCGCCTTCCCGCCCATTCCCCTCCACGCTACCCACCGGGTTTCATCCGAGTCCGACCGCAGCCGTCCAACACCCAAGCCCCTCTGATTTTCGCTCGACGAGTCCGCTTCGTCGTCGCAACCCTCTCCCCCAACGGCTCTTCCCCAAATCTCGGCAACGTGTCGAGAGAGACAGGTTCGGCGTTGGCCGACGGCCTGGACAGGCTGGATCTGAGTCAACTGTCTGAATCGACCCTTTCCTCATCCGTCTCCGCCTCATTCGATATGTCGTCGTCAGAGGGTGCCCCGGAGTCATGGATTGCCTCATTCTGCTCCCTGATGGGCCATGAGTTTTTCGCCGAGGTGTCGGAGGATTTCATCGAGGATGACTTCAACCTAACGGGTCTGCAGTCACAAGTGCCCATGTATAAAGAGGCTCTGGAGATGATTCTCGACGTCGAGCCAGAGGAGGATGAAGAGGAAGAGGAAGAAGAGGAGGAGGAAGAAGAAGAAGACGAGGACGAGGTCCTTGGTGACGAACGCCCTCTTGGATATCGCAGAGCTGGTGACCGACGACACGCTCGTGTCGCGAGCGACCTGAGCGTCATCGAGAGCTCTGCAGAGCTCCTCTACGGACTAATTCACCAACGCTACATCACCTCGCGACCCGGAATCCAACAAATGCTTGAGAAATACGAAATGCAGCACTTCGGAGTCTGCCCGCGCGTCAACTGCAACGGCTGTAAGGTTCTCCCCGTCGGCCGATCTGATACCCCGGGCCAGGAAACCGTCAAGCTCTTCTGCCCCGGCTGCATGGACATCTACACCCCCCCCCCAACAGCCGCTTCCACTCCGTCGATGGAGCCTTTTTCGGCACGACATTCGGCTGCCTTTTCTTCATGACATTCCCCGACCTGAGTATTCGACCCCGACTGGACAACTCCTCGCTTTCCTCCCTTTCACGAAGCACCTCGCAGCCTGCAAACCGCTCCCCCGCCGCCCAGGGCCCCAAGCGAACCCCCACACCTGAGCACCAGCCTGTCGAGATCAACGGTGTGCACACTCTCAACTTCTGCCCGGGCCTCGGGCGCGACAAGATCTACGACCCGCGCATCTACGGATTCAAGGTCGCGGAAGTCTCAAGGGTCGGACCGCGCATGAAATGGCTCCGATCGAAGCCAACAGACATGTACGATCTTGACGAAACGACCATTTACGAGAAAACATTCAACCCAAACACCGTCAACGCCGAGAAAGGTGATCGCGATGGCGACACCGAAATGAAACCCGAGCAATCCCAAGACGTCCTCATCGCCAACCGCAAGAAAGCGCCCATGCGGCGGCGGCGGCAACAGAACGATCAGCAACCTGCATCTGATAAGATGAGTGTGCAGGGCGCCGAGATCGGATAAGCGGGACCAGACAGGGACAGCCACAGCCAGCGGTGTTGGCGTTGGTGCTGGTGTGGCATGGCATGGCATGGCATGGCATGGCGTGGCGTGGTTTGGCATGACATCCTCAAGCTCAAGGCCTTGAATCTCTAATTGAGCGTCGCATCTGCAAACTATTTTCTCTCCCAGCGCGGGTGTTTCGAAGCGACGACTGCTTAGCTTCTTTGGTGATATTTTTTTTTCTCTCATAAACCGGTTCGAAATGTATGTGGCGAAGAGGGGGGCGCCCATATCTATCTGCTCCATTTGCATGTTCTGTTTCTGTAGAAGGGTTCGGAGGGGATGTGCTGGGGAATTGATGATGATGACGACAAGACGATGAGTTTGTTTATCACGTTTTCTTTTCATTTTGCTGGTCTCTTTCTTCCTACTCCTTTCCTCGTATCTGTGTCAAATGGGGTATTTTTTTTGTCAAGTATTGTCCGTCTTCTGGCTTGTCTATGCATCTTCTCCTGAGCCATCTCTACGTTTATTCTTGGCCAATTCAAGATCTTTCAATTTGTCTATAAGCTTATCCGTAAAATCAGACTAACTAGTAATAGTAAATCGAATCGCACTCGGCAGATCTACCAACACCGTCCACGGGTCTTGCGTACTCAAGTTGCTCTAATTCTAAAAATCCGAGTATTTATATACCCACCTGGGCATCCACGTATCACGACTCAAAAGCTAGTCGAATGAGAAATCTCCTTCATCTGATGCAAATTCTCAAGCAACGAGCTGACTTTGGACTGGAATCGCGCATAGCAATCCGGACCAAGTATCAATCGCTGAAGATCTTCCTTCCCAGCACCCATTCCAGTTCCAGTGACAACTTCGAGAATCCTCGACACAGCTTTCGCAGGATCACCTTGCTGGACCCCGTCGTGAGCCTTGAATGCCTGCAATGTCACATCAACAGGAGTCCCGATGTAATCGTCTCTCAACCCAGCCGCAGGCGTTGCGAATGAAGAGAGAAACTTCGTTCGAAATTGGCCCGGTTCGACAATAAGAACCCTGATGTTGAAGGGCTTGAGCTCTTTGGAAAGACTCTCTGACATTCCTAGAAGATTACAACTCAGTTAGTAGTGACTCGGAATCAATCCATATCAACACCCATCCATCCATCCCACAACCTTCCAAGTCGAACTTGAACCAAGCAGGGAAAGAACCTCGGAATAGAATACTCGCAACACACCTTCAAGCGCAAATTTCGACCCAGCATACAGAGCACAACAAGGCAACCCATCAATACCAGCAATACTCCCCACATTAACCACAGTCCCAGACCTGGCCTTCCGCATAAAAGGTAAAACACCCTTCAGCACCCTCACAGGACCGAAAACATTCGTGCTGAATTGCATCTGCATCTCCTCTTCGCTCATATCCTCGATACTGCCAAGCAGCGAGTATCCGGCATTATTGACAACGACGTCGATGGCGCCGTTGAAGTGGGTTTGTATTGCTTTACTTACCCGCTCGCTGGTGTCGGGGCGAGTCACGTCGAGTTCTATCCATGTACCGCCGAGTTCGCTGATCTGCGGGTATTCGATTGCGGCTTTGGATGGGTTGCGTGCTGTTGCGAGGACGTGGTGGCCTGCGCGGAGGACGGTTTCGGCGAGGACGGCTCCTAGGCCGGATGATGAGCCGGTTATGAGCCAGGTTTGTTGGGGCATTGTGGCGATGGATGGTGTTCTTTATACTACTAGTGTGTGATATCTACTAACTAGTAGGTTTTTGTTGTTCAAGACTACGGAAGCGTCGATTGGCAACTATTTGTACTACAAGCAACTCATTTGATATGGTGTTCCTTCGGAGTTTAGATACTCAAGTTGCTGTCGTGAGAAAGATGTGGAAGCTTCATGGACATAGAATCGGATATAGCGGGGTTTTCATCTCTGGCCCCGCTTGATTGGGTGTCTTTACGAGCAGGTGGGGGTGGGTGTGAAGTTGTTTACCGGAAGGAGTGAGGAGTGCGAAGTCGCCTACTCTAAATGAATATAGAGGGTATTTGCTCGAGTTTTCTTGGATTTCAGCTCTGGTTAGGTATAGATAGAAGCTCAGAACTAAGAAATTGCCCAGGCGTGGAGATCGGTAGATGAGGCAGCAACAGGGGCATGGCGATCTTGAATGCCTCAGGCACCAAGGCCCCAATAATTAACTAGTTAACTAGCTAACTGGTTACTCCTAGTACTTACTATATTCTTTGAGATTTCATAACATGATTTTACTGCGCTTGTTAAGCAAATGCCCTGAAATTCCTCTCTCTAAAAATATTCTGAATACGTACTAGTCAGATTTTGCATAGGTATTGAGCCATTGACAGTTTTAGTATGCAGTTCAACAAGTTGTAGTAATCGGATATTCAGCAGTATAGCATGAGGATTAACAATTTACCAGAATTTCCTTTTGACTACTTAACAGCCTCATTTGTGCTTTCCGGACACCCGAAATTAGTATGATCAAGTTGACATCAGGGATATAGCAACATTTTGTCGAAGAGCTGTCTCATTGTCTCAGATGTTTCACATATGTACCAGAGTTTGAGCCTTGATTCCAAGCCAGTCCTGGAGTGTTTCAATGCATGGGTGTCTCATTTCTCAAATGCAACGGAAAAGATGGAAGACGGCTGATTCAAGTAATATTTAGCTTGGTACTCCGGAGTGCTCCGTACATTCTTCTTTCAAAAAGTCATTCGATCACAAGACTACGATAAGAAGAGCGCTGGCAAAGGATTTCTCTAGCTGCGGAATAGACGACAACTAGCACATGCAAAATTGCACCCAAGTCCGACAAATTGAATTTCAAAAATCAGAAAATACCCCGTAGGCAAACAATTGATATCGGGCCGTTCTCTTGGCGATTGCTACCCTTTGGCCGCGTGGAGGAAAAGATCAACACCGGCGTTGTGGATCTAATTGATACTGCGCCACAGCCCGGGGAAGACTTGTAAGAAAATTTGGACACGAAAACGACACGAAAACAACTTCGGAAGTTTCTAAGGTGTCGAGCCGAGGCTGAGAACACCTGTGATTATGGAGTTCTCTCCGTGCATTGAATAGAATCCTACGAAACGGCAAAAACAATTGAAACAAGCCTCGTGATTTTCTTTCAAAGGTGACCTTGCAATACTTTACGTTGAAAATTCTGCTGCTCTCAATCGAGAAAGTCAGACACCGAATTCGCCCTTGTCCTGTGCTCGAGCATTATTTGAAAATTTTCTTTGTTGAATCCTTAGCCTTGGCGCCTCGTCCGTTTCGGGTTAGTTTCCCCCATTATCGCCTTAACCTCCTTGCCCGCGATGTCTCAACAACTTCCCTCCTCGATCCTTCGCCATTGTCCTGGTCTTGGCTGTTATTTCCCTTCATTTTTGGTTTACATTCTTTCACCCACGGCCGTGTACTTCCCATTGGTCATATCCGATAACATTTCTGCATGGCCGTTAAAGGCGTATGTAGCTCAGAATGGAGAGCAAAATTTCGAACTTCGGCCGATCTCTAGTACCAATCGGGAAAATCCAGTGTTTCTAAATTGAGGCAAAAAGGGCTGTCAGGGGAAAATCCATTGAGACTAGTGATTAGACTCAAACTTAGTAAAACCTCCCGGACCTATGGGATGCTGTCTAGGAAATGAACTTAAGCGCAAGGTGGAGAACATCGAAATTTCTCCATCGACAATCAACGTTTTTCCAATCCGTTCTGTTGGGCCGTTAAGCGAGTCTCAGGGATACGGGTACGGTTAAAGGCTCCCTGCCGTGATATTGGTTCAATTTTGACTCCATCCATGGATAGGGGCCGCCACCCATCTGGAAGGGGGCTAGAACGGCTCCGCATAGGGCTCCGTTTGTCGGATACCCCAGGGGCCAATCAATTGAGCATTGCGAATCATGTACGGAGTATCCATAGATAAAAATCTCTTAATAAGGGGCGACTCTTTGATCTTTTAACTGCTTCTGTTGCTGCTTCTTTGAGTCAGTATCATCAGACGCAGAAATGGCTTCTACAACTCAAACCGTGCCGCCTGTAGTGCTGCCATTGAAGGGCGAGGCCGAGGTATCTACTACATTTTCCCAGACTACCTTATCACCAATACTGACTTTCACAAAGGCTCAAGATCTCACTTATGGAGCAATCAGGGAGAAAATCCCAGCTCACTGCTTTGAGCGTTCCGCAGTGAAATCATTGGCATATCTCTTTCGTGATATCGTCTATGCATCTGTTCTGGTCTACCTAGCTCTCCAGATTGATTATCTGCCTACGCCACTTCTCCGGGCTGGTGCATGGATTCTCTATGGCTTTGTTCAAGGCTGTGTTGGTACCGGAATGTGGATCATTGGTCACGAATGTGGCCATGGCTCCTTCTCCGAGTCCTCTGGGTTGAACAACTTTGTTGGATGGGCTGTTCACTCCCTTCTTATGGTGCCTTTCTACTCTTGGAAGATTACCCATGCTAGACACCACCGTTACCATGGTCACATCGAGAAGGACACCGTCTTTGTTCCTCCAACTGAGTCTGAGGTTGAGAGCCGAGAGCCCAGCCTCATGAGCAAGTTCGTCGAGCTTGTCGAGGAGACACCTCTCTACCACGCTGTCACCCTTCTGGGACACCAGATCTTTGGATGGCAACTCTACCTGCTGTTTAACGTCAGCGCCGGCAACAAGAGTCTCCCCGACAAGGGAACCTCTTCCGGTCCCCACACTCTCCGAAACAGCCACTTCGACCCTCTGGGCTCCCTGTTCACCAGCCAGCAGACCAAGCTCATTGCGATCACTGACTTGGGTCTCTTGATTGTCGGAGGTACTTTGTACTATCTTTCTACCTTCATGGGTGCCTGGAAGATCGCGCTCCTGTATGCTGTTCCTTACTTCTGGGTCCACCACTGGCTGGTTGCCATCACCTATCTGCACCACACTCACCCGGATGTTCCTCACTACGACGAGAACTCATGGACCTTCGTCAAGGGAGCCCTTGGCACCGTCGACCGACGATTCGGCTTCATTGGACGTCACTTCTTCCACGAGATTATCGACTACCACGTCGTTCACCACCTGTTCCCCAAGATTCCTTTCTACCACGCGGAGGAGGCTACCAATGCCATTGTCCCCTTCCTTGGCGACAGCTATCGCATTGAAGAGGGATCCTTCCTCAAGGACCTTGCCACCACCTTTACTACCTGCAAGGTTGTCAGTGATCCTGATGCCAAGGGTGCCCTTCACTGGAAGGTCCCAGCATCCGCCAGCAAAAAGCAAAACTAGAATAGGCGGATACTCGGTGTGTTCGTCCTTGCGATTCATTTCTGTTATTATTAGACGATAGACTAGACTAGAGTTCATACATCTTTCGAGCTTTCAGTACCTGTGAATATTCCAAAATTTCCGTCAAATTGTATCATGCCAAATTGTTTATCTAGATTTATACTTGGGTCCACTGGTGCTCTGATCAAAGGCCACCCATAGGCCTGTCATACTCGAGAAAAGCGGGCAATATCTGCCTGGCTGGGGGCAAACGCTCTGGCGTTTGTCCTGCCGCCCAGGCTTAGACAGTCCACCACTGATGACGATGGGGGAGATCATTCATCAAAAGATGATATTGGTGATGGGTGTGTGGAAGAAGACAGGAAGAAGCTATTTCAACAAAAGGAACGATATCCTGATGTATCTGGGGCATACCAGCCTGAACAGCCACTCCTATATCTAGGATCGTCGAGCTCAAATAGTTTCTCATTCATATCTAAGTACACATATCTTCTCTATGGCCATCTCACTCGCCAAATGCTACCATGGCTGATGGAAAGAGACGATGCCAGTGTGTGTAGTCAAGGACCGACGCCATAATATAGACCGGTCTGGAGATATTTAGGGCCTGAGGAATCTGGCCTCAACAAAGACTCGTGCTAACCATGTCAAATCGGCTGGTTTGAAAGGTGACAAAGGTGTGATTTGCTTAATTTAATACGATCTGTTCAATTTAGATTGCACTAATTATGAATAAGCCTCTCCCGATCAAGTAAAAGCGGAGTCAAACGTGACCCACCCAATCAACAAAGTCCCATATCAAGGGATGTGTTGTGTGACGAGACTGTCACCATAGGAGGGCGGCCGATCGCAGATAAATGCGCGCGGGATAAAAAAGAGCGAGAGACACATTGCGTAAGGGATTTTTCGGGATCTGAATAGCTTGGAAGGGAAGGAGATCACGAACAGCTCCGTAGACTCGAAAATGGAGTGGTGTCTGAAATGAATCCACGCGGTTTTCAACCTGTCTCATCCTGAATCGCATAGTCCACGCTTTGCTTTTTCACCATGGCGACGATAGATAATCACGAATTAACGTACGTACCATCCCGGGCAGAATTCAAAGCGCTTACCGACCCGGACAGTCCGTACAAAACTATCTACATAATTTTTCCAAGACATGGGGAGTTGGGAGGCAAAGGGAGGCTTCAAAAGAGTCGAAAGGCTTTTGGTGGCATCAACCTTGAAGATATGTACTGTATGATGTCGATGTCGATCCTCGGCTATTCTCGCCACGTACTATTCACCCATGCGCAAGCCATGCATATGTACACGTTAAAGTGCCCAGGCGGTGCGATAAACTGCAGCCATGATCAACAAATCTCAGCCAAGCTGAGTGCCACTGGCAGGTCAGCTCCGAATTGATCAATGAGAAATTTGCG